CAGGGCCAGCTGAGCGACGGCAGCGAGCACCACCAAAGTGTAGCTTGTGCGAATCATTAGAGCACAACGCTCGTACGTGCCCTAGACGCCAGGCAACTAGCTAGCAGGTAGCTACACCAAATACAATTCGTTGTGGTTGAGCAATTCGCAATATTTGGCGTTGTGGTTTGGTGGGGTGGGCCACATGCTATCCTGGGCCACATGCTATCCGGCTACGTTAAGACCATTGTCGACTACGCGCCGATGAGGGGCTAGAGCGCTTTAGGCCATTGGTCTAGGTGATTGAGTTGCAAGTTGTCACAGTTCTAACCGTGCAATAGGATAGTTGGGAGACGTGGAGGGGACGCAGAGGGGACGTGGCGTAGTCACTTTTACCCTTTTCTCGATGCTTCTAAATCGGGTTCTAGGGAATAGGATCATCGTGCACAAGAACTGAGTTCTGGAAGTACCCTAGGCTAAGAATTCGGATGCTTTAGTTGGAAGTTCTTACGGATCTAACCGCGTAGATGGGTTTTTAGGACACGCGGAGGGCACGCCGCGTGGTTACTTTCAACTGGATTTCGAAGCTTCTAAATCGGCTCCAAGGAAATAGGATCATTATATGCAATAGTCAAGCATTAGGAGCGCCCTAGGCTAAGGGTGTATGTGCTTTGGATGGAAGTTCTTACGGATCCGACCGCGTAGATAGATTTTTGGGGCATGCGGAGGATACGCGGAGGGGGACGCGAGGTGATCACTTTTTGCCTCTATTTAGCGGCTGTAAATCGGGTCCTAGGCAAGGGGATATTTTATAATAAGAGTTTAGAGGCTAGAGGTGCTTCGGGAGAAGATTGGTCGGCTTAAGTTGCAAGCTTTTACAGATCTGACCGTGTAGAAAGATTTTTTAGGAGACGCGGAGGGGACGCCGCGCGGTTCCTTTTAACTGAATTTCGAGGCTTCTGATTTAGGGCCTAGGCAAGACGATTGTCGAATATAATATCTGGGCTGCTGGAGTGCTTCACGCTAAGGAATCTGATAGCTTAGTTACAACTTTTTACATATCTAACCGCGTAGACAAAAATTTTAGGCGACGCGGAGGGGTACGCGGCGTGAACACTTTAACTCTAGAATTAGAGGCTGTGAATTGGGTCCTAGATTTAGAGATCGCTAAATACACTATCTAGGCTGCCGGAGCGCTTCATGCTAGAGAATGGGAACTTTAGTTGGAAGTTGTCACAGATCTAACCGCGTAGATGATTTTTTTAGGAGACGCGGTGGCCACACGGAGGGGGACGTGGTGGAGTCGCTTTTTGTACCCGGAGTAGGAGGCCCTGAATCGGCTCTTCTTTAAGAGCGTTGGGATAGACAGCTGAGGCGCTTCTGGAAAGGAACTGAGCAAGTTGGTTGCAAGTTTGTACAGAATCAACCGCGGAGAAGGCGTTTTGATAGACGCGGTGGGCATGCGGAAGGGGGCGTGGTATAGTCGCTTCTTATAACCAAAGTGAGAGGGACTGAATCGGCTCTTCGATTAGAACGTAGGAAAAAACAGTCAAGGCGCCTCAGGAAAGGAGTTGAGCGACCTAGTTATTAGTTTCTACAGATCTAACCGCGTGAACGGATTTTATTAGACATGGAGGGTACGCGGAGGGGGGGGGTTGTGTAGTCGCTTTTTATGACGAGAGTAAGAGAGTCTAGATCAGTCTACGATTAAGAAGATGATAAAAAGCTAGTGAAGCATGTCCAGCCAAGAATCGGGTGCTTTTGTTACAAAGAGTTACAGATCTAACCGTGTAAACGATTTTGAAGGGGACGCGGAGTGCACGCAAAGGGATAACGCGACGTGGGCCATATTGCAGTTGTTTCTGATAACAAAAGTAAGGGGGCCTAAACCAGCTCTGTGTCAAGAGGGTGCTAAAAGACTACCACGGCGCCTCACGAAAGAAATAGTGTAGATTGGTTATAAGTTTGTACATATTCAACTGTATAGAAGAGATTTTGATAAGACGCAGAGGGCACGCTGCGTCCACCTTGTGTAGTTGCTTTTTAACCATCACCCGCTGGGTTTAAATCAAGTCGACGGCGCGAGGATGACGATATGTTGCTGAAGCACCTCCGGCCAAGAATTTGGTTGCTTTGTGAGAAGTTTCTACAGAATGAACCGTATTGAAGTGGTTTTGTAAGACGCGGCGTAGGCAGGCATTGGGCCACGTAGGACGCTATCTCCTGCAGCGAATCAGTTACCATAATTGGAAGAATTTACAAATCTAACCGCTTCGAAAGGTGTTTTGATGGACGCCGCGTACACGCTGGGTAGACGTGTTGTAGCCATGCTTTCTAACGGAAGAGGAGATATGATAGTGGGATGATGGAAGGATGGAGATTTGGTATATTACGATGTCGCTTCAGACCCGTATGATGAGTCCTGCGCTCTTTCGGGACGACCCTACGCAAAAGCCACCGCTTTTGCCCACCAACCAACCTCGTTACCCTGTCCAGATAGATAGAAGAGTATACCCATCCACCTCCCAACGCCATGCCCATGCAGCATCCCATCCTAGAAACACACCCATACTCCCCTACACCTTCAACCACAGATTCAACACCCCCTTCGCATACTCCACAATCTCATCCCCGCCCAACTTACTCTCCCCATACACCCGATCTACAAAGCTAATCGGCACCTCCGCCACACTACACCCCATCCCCTTCGCCCGCACCATCATCTCCATCTGAAACGTATACCCCTTACTCTCCGTGCTCCCAATCACCCGCTGCAGCACCTCCTTCTTATACAGCCGGAAGCTCCCCGTCAAATCGCTCACCCCCGGGCGCAGCACCGTATCCGCGAACAAATTCGCTCCCCTGCTCACAAACTTCCGCTTCAAGTCCCACCCGTACACGCCGCCGTTTCCGGCATACCGCGTCCCGGTCACGATATCGTAGTCGCCCTCCTTCTGCTTCGCGATCATCTCGGGCAGGAACTTGGGGTGGTGCGAGAAGTCCGCGTCCATGATGACGACGAAGTTGCCCGTCGCATACTGCAGGCCGTGGACGTACGCGGTGCCGAGGCCGAGCTTGCCGGCGCGTGCGCGCAGCTGGATGCGGTTGGGGTAGGCTTTTTGGAGCTGGAGGGCGATTTCTTGGGTGCCGTCGGGCGAGCCGTCGTCGACGATTATGAGTTCCCAGTCGATGTTGCTGTAGGGGGAGTTTTGAGGTCAGCGGAGGGTTTGGAGAGGGGAATTGGGGTATACGGAGGTATAGATGGGGGGAGAGGGGAGAGGGGAGAGGGGTGTTTACTTTTCGGTGAAGGTGCGGTTGAGCAGCCAGCTACATTTCCAATTAGCCCTAAATTCCTAACCAGAATGCGATTCTTAGCTCACGTTATAATTGGAAGGTTGCGGCGTTCGTTGTAGGTCGGCAGGAGGATGGAGTACTTGTTCTTCTTGGGCGTTGTCTTGGATTTGGGCGCCATCTTGAGGTGTTGTTTGGTGGTATGGAGAATTGTCGAGGATGTATGCTGGGAAGCTTCAGGGCGCGTCAAGGGTGAGAGGTGGCCTTGTTGGAGCTAGTAGAGTTCACGTGACTTTTCCTCCACCTTTCCCATGTGCAATCGCAGATTAAGGTGTTTTCCTTGTAGGGGAGGCTGGAAGGGCATTAGCCACATGATATTGATGCTCAAGTTAAGGTAGTCTCACCTTTGAATCAGTGGGGCATAATTGGACCGTTCTCCGAGTTCACGACAGAATGAGCATTAAAGCTAGATCAAGTCAATCTCAATATTCGTCCGAATTCTAACTCTATTGAATATCCTTAATCCATAAAAGACATGCGTATATTTGCCTAAACTAGTCTAAGATTCGCTAGAAATGCATCAACACTGCCACCTGGATGCCATTGCCTTAGTAGAAGAGGTAATCCCGCTATTAAGAACAGTGCCCAAATAGTAATATATGCCCATTCTCAATTGATGCCGGACTCATGAACGCCATAACTCGTAAAAGGTCGTGTATTCATCGGACAGGACATAAAGCGATGTCCACGTATCACATTCGGCCTGGAAAGCATATCCCCGGAAGTTCGCTGTAACGTATTCAATGTGTTGACCAGCTTCATCTACTTTGATGTCTCCGGGCCATCGCTAAGGCTTCTTGTCTGCTGATGGCCCATCTTTCCTCTCTGCGCTCTCTACCTTCTTTCCTTTGCCTTTTGACACCTTGGCTATAGACGGTAGTGCTGTTTCTGTCGGCCGAGGCGTGAGTTCCGTCAAAGGCGCGTTGAGAATTGCGGCATCTCCAGCGGCACCGGTCTCGTCGTCTGCGTCATCGTCGCTCGAGAGCTCGTCGTCCTTGAAACAAGACTTGATGCTAGATGGCTTCTCAGTCTTATGCCTAGGATTTGAGCCTAGCATTTGCTTGCTTCCACTGTGGCCATCAAGTTGATCAATGCATTCGTTGACATCCTGGTCTAGAAGACTAGATCCGTCCGTGACACCATCTAAGGTGGCAGCTTGCGGAGGGAGTGTGCTTTCTAGGAGATCTGGGATCAGCACCTCCTGTTCGCCGGCCTCAGTCACTGAGCTCCCACCACTCTTATTCTTCTTCGCGCTTTGCTTATTCCAGAGGTTGACATAGTTTCCGCCGAGATCCAGAAGCTCCTGGTGTGTGCCGCGTTCGACGATCTCACCCTTATCCACGACCAGAATACAATCAGCGTCCATGATTGTAGAAAGCCGATGGGCGATTATGAATGTAGTCCGTCCAGTGCTAAGCTTTCGGAATGACTCCTGGATCTGCGATTCAGTTGAAGAGTCGATTGCCGATGTGGCCTCATCTAGTAGAACGATTTTCGGGTTCTTCAAGAAAACTCGTGCAATGGAGACTCTTTGAAGCTCTCCACCGGACAACTTCACTCCACGCTCCCCAACCTTGGTCTTGTAGCCGTCTGGGAAGGTCAGAATCTTCTCGTGAATAGACGCTGCCTTGCAAGCTTCGTAGACCTCCTCGTCCGTAGCATCCAGTCGAGCGTATCTTACGTTTTCCAGGATTGATATGTTGAACAGACTCGGGTCCTGCGGCACTACGCCAAGCCCGTCCCTTAGACTGCCCAGAGTGACGTCTCGAATATCTTGGCCGTCGATTGTGATACTTCCTCCGCTGATATCGTAGAATCGGAAGAGAAGTTTGAGAGTGGTAGACTTCCCGCTTCCAGTTTCTCCAACCAAAGCTACAGTCTGGCCGGGTTCCGCGACAAAAGTGAGGTCCTTGATGGTGGTTTTGCGCTCATCGTAAGCAAAGCTGACTTCATTAAAAGCCACCCGACCACCGTTGATTTTTAGATCTGGAGCTCCGTCGCGCTCTACCACCTTAGATTTTGTGTTGAGCAACTGTAGAAGGCGTTCAGAATCGATGAGGTCTATGGTAAGCTTTTTGTACGAGTACGCAAGCATATGAAGAGGGTATGAGAGTGTAGCCCAATAGCTAGAAAGAGCAACGAAGTTTCCAACCGGTCGATCTCCTTGGGAGACGCGGTACGCTGCTAGAAAGCTGATGGATAGCTGCCCAAAAAGCATGACTACTTCTTGAGTGCCAAACATGAAGTTCGAGAGATCGTTGTACTTCTGCCCTGTCATGGCCTGCTCGCTGCATGCTTTTGCCAACCGATCTGACTCGTAATCAAATTGGTTGAAGTAGGAAATTGTTTGCCAATTGCTGACATTCTCGTATAACACTTTGCTTTCGTTTCTCGATTTCTCGGTATACACGCGTCGCATTTTGGATGTCCAGTTCGTGAACTTGTACGTGACGAATGTATAAACCACCCCAATGGTCACGAGAATGAAAGCGAAGTAGATATCGAACAAGTATGTGACATATGCCATGGCAACCCACAAGTCGATGACGACGGGACCAGTTTGGAACAGTACTAACTCGACGAGCGAGTTGAGGCAGCTCGCTTGATCAACCGATTTGATAAGCTCTCCGGAATCTTTATTGTCGTGGAACTCCATGGAAAGACCCATAACGTGGGCAAAGGCGACCTTTGTGAGTCGAAGGAATGACCAGTATGTTAATCGGCTCGAAAGCATGCTCTGCAGAGAGTCCAAACAAGCGCGCGACAGCAAGAATTTGTAGAACATTAGGAGGCCGATTTCTTTCCATGGCATTTCACCGGTCCCCTCGGTATCGGTAAGCTTGTTGACAATGATACCTAGCTGTTGAGGGATCAAAACATTGAGAGCTCGCTCTGCAAGGATGCAAAACGCAATTATGCAGATGTAGAGCTGCATCCGCCGGTTCTTGGAAGGCCAGACGTATGGCAGGAATATCAAGAAGCCTTTCAGATATCCCAACCAGCCTCCCTGCTCCTCGAGACGTTTGCGCTGTTGCTCCTTGATTTTCTTGTTCCTGTCTTCGGGCTCATCCTCGTCCTCATCGTCACTGGCGTTCTTTGACGTTGCAGGGGTGGTGCCATACAAGGTCTCGCTGTCTGTGCCATCAGCGGTCCCATTCCCGTTGAGAAGCGGCTGCCGTTCTGCATCTCCTTGAGGGGCAGGTTTCGCAGGAGGGAATACGAGCAATATTCCATTTGTAGAGAGTACAATAAGGAATGCGATCCTGATGGTTTGCAAGGCCAATTGTATGTTTTCGAAGTCATTAGTCGGAGGATTGGCGGCAATGGACAGGCCGCACACTACTACCTCCAAGACAAGTCCGAGAACCCACGAGCCAACGTATGGTGACCAGACAGGATTTTTCGATTCGTAAAGCATGCAATATATGCACCCCCATACGAGAACAGACGCTAGGATATACAGAACGGAGTCCTGAGATGCCCACCAGCCATGGTTGGTAAGGGCGTGGAGAACGTAAATGAAGCCTTCAGCCGTGTAGGCCATAGTGACGGCCAAGGTGAGCCATGTTGCTGATGAGTGGCGAATCTTGCTACTCGGCGCATTCTTGCCAGTCTGTAGCGTGCAAAAGGCAACGGTGTGCGCGCTCAGAGCAAAAGCTACAATGGCGAAGGGAGTGAGGTAGTGGAAGATCTCCAATGAGAGGAGCAGCGCAGGGTTGGGCGCCATATTAGAGAGGTCGTGCCTGAACCAGGCACGAATGGGGAGAACAGAAGAGGAGCAACAAGTGGAGTGTAGTGTAGGAGGACAGCAGGCAAAAAGTGTCGTCGGACTGCGGGGAAGCTCCGAATTGTGGAGTGAGAGGCGGGAAGGCAGGGCAAGGCGTGTGAGCGCTTGCTGAAGATTACGAGTAGAGTTTGCTTTAAGAAGGCGTAGGAGGCCGCTCGACTCGACTAAAAGAAGCTATGGAGCAATTGGATCCATGGCAGTGCTCAATGCAGGTCCAGGATTTCCACGACTGCCTTGACTATGAGTTAGCTGTGCCGCTGGCGACGCCGCAATGAGAATAATCTCTGCTCTTCACCGCTGACGAGCTAGTCCCTGGCTTCATGCGCCTGCACGCGGCATGCAGTTTCCCTCGACTGGCATGTAGCGCGTGGTGCAAAGACATGCAGGTCTAGCCACGCTTCAAGCCCGGCGAGCAGACGTTCCCTCGTATTCCCACGCTGAGTGGTGGGGTGGGCGGGTCCCAACGGCATGCCCGGATCAGCTGCAGGCCCCCGTTGGAGCTGTGGCTTCAGCCGCCACACAGCCTCGCCTTAGGCATGCACAGCCTCTTAACCTTTTACCTCCCCTCTCACCTGTCTTTCAGCGGTGACCGTTACGATTTCATGCACTCGATGAAGAAGCTTTGCCACTTCCTCCATACTCGCGTCCTTTCGGCTCACCCCCTCCCCTACTGCGCGTACACTGGCTGCCTGGCAGGCTGCTAGTCTAGGCAGTCAGCCGACCTTCTGACAAACTCATACAGCTGAAGAAGACCCCCGTTGGACAAGCAATCCGCCCCGGATACGGCTGTTTGGACTCGTAGCCCACCGTGCTGACGGTGTGGATGACGCATGCTCTATCAGACTGGACCCATCGAGGACGACTCACCGCGCTACCAGTCTCTTCTCTATTTCCTATCCTATTATCCTAGATGCCATGCACACTATCAAGGACGTTTGTATACTCAACAAGATCCGGTCAAACGAGACTAGGAGGAAAGTAGTGAAAGGCATGCTCCGTGGATCTAGATGCCATCCATCTACTCCCGGTGTGATCCTTCTTTAATCTCCGCCATCCACACTGACTCCAGCCTCCTTCGAGGCTCTCTATATCGTACGCCATCCGGCCAAGTATGACTGGAAAAGACGTAATGAAAGTGCCATAATACATATTGGACCCCACCTTCAGCCTCTCACAGGTCTAATCGACGATCCGGTGCAACGTCACTAGAAGAAGAATCGTAAACGACGTCGATCAACCGCCAGTCATATCCGGCATCGTATTGCACACCATCTCTGAATCTTTGTACCACATGACGGATCCGGGTCCTTTTCTGGCAAATGCGCTCCGATCAAGGTGACACTGGAAGAGATGTCTTGCATGGCCTTGATTGAACTCCAATATTCCGGTGACAGCACGTGGCAGTCTTACTGCCATTTTTTGGCAAACAGGATGAAGAGGTCTGCCAACTTAAACGTGTTTGTATCTGCTTGCCAAAACTTGGTCGCCTTGCCTCAAGGAGAAAAGGTTGCTCGCATTGCTGTATCACCTGCGCTAAGAAAGCTTGGATATCATACACTCTCATGGAAAAAGGCTCCCTTCATTGCACTTCCTCTCTCTCAATCAGTCGACGTCCGGCACAGGTAGCCCGTTGTACAGCTTCATTCTCCTCCCAAGCTTCTCCATAGCCTTCATGGCATTCTCTTCCCTCAACTTCCTCGATTGCTCATCCGAAACTAGCACAAAGTCATACGACAAGAGTTTATCTCCCTCCTTAACACCGTACTTCTTCGCCATCTCCGCATCCACAGTACCCAGATCCACAACTAGCGTATCCTTAACCCCAAACACCGCATCCGACGTCTCATACGGGTCTCCCCTCAGATACAGAGCTCTATCCCCAAGTCAGCAACCTCCTCCCCAAACTAAGTGAGTCTCAGCTCCAACTTACGTGATCAAATGATCATACCCCCCCTTCTCAAACATAAAATGCATATGACTCGGCCTCCAACAATGCCGCCCCAACTGCATCAGCAGCTTCCCCACCGGCCCGTCATGCGGAATCGGATACGGCACCGGCACAATCGCCTTGAACCAAAACACCCCCTCTGCATCGCTTTTCATGACCACCCGCCCATCCGGCTTCCCGTAGTCGCTGTACTGCACGTCGTAGAAGCCCTTGCTGTCCGTCTCCCAGATGTCGATCTTCACGCCCTCCACGGGTTTCCCATCCGTGTCGCGTACGTTGCACACGACCAGGCACGGCGTGCCGTTCGGGTCGTGCGAGATGTTGGTGCCAAGCGCGAGGTGCTCGGCGTCGTGGGTGTGAAAAGGGCCCAGGACTGTGCCTTCGGTGGATTGCGGAGGTTTGGGGTGGTCGATGCTGTCGACGAGGAGGGAGAGGCCGAGGATGTCGGAGAGGAGGATAAATTCCTACTCATACCAAAACCCACAATATCAGCATCCGCAATTCATTCTTCAAGTCGAAATGTGAAAAGTTGTGAACTTGACCGTACCTGCCGCACATCCGTGCATATCTTCCCCACGGCCGTCAGGAACTCAATCCCAGCCATCCATTCGTTCGTGCTCAGCCGCGTTTCCCGCGCGAAGTCGTGGATGTGCGTGACGAGTTGCTCGAGGATGTACTTCAGGCGCGGGTCGGCGCATGTGGAGTTGATGCGGTGGACGTTTTCGGTGATGTTGTCGATTGTTAGGTCCTTGAGTACTGGGATCTTGACTTTGGAGGGATCCATTGCGAATTGGGTATGCTGTGAAGCTGGCGCGATGGCTACAAGTTAGGTTTTGGGGAATTGGGATGGTGGTAGGTATTGGGGGTGCACAGCAGAAGGCAGGGGAAGAGAAGTTAACAAATAGCTGAATTGGTACTGAAGGGTCTAACGTGTACGGTCCAATTCCGCACTATTACACAAATGGGCCGAGAGCTTACGATGCTGGAACGGATAAGTGGAGGGTTTGAATCGCGTTTAGGGAGTTTGCTGATGCTAGCTTTCCGCGATTGGTAAATCTCACGAATCAATGGCTTGGTGATGACCTGAGAAGTGTCAATTATACATTTAGACATGCTATGTATGGCCTGATGAATGATCGCATTGATCTTGCTTTGAGGGTCTTTGCGTGGCGGGCGATAATATCCTCCTGGTTGAACAGATGCCTCCCCACTATCTACCCCACAGTCGGGCGAGGGGTACGGTAGAGAGTTCTCCCTGAGACCCCTCCGTGCCCTAATAGATTGACACCAATCGGAGGGAAGCTCAATGCGGGGTCTTGGAATCACATTCGCGAGTGGACTTAAGATTTCAAGATCCTATTCGAAAACCGTATAGAATGGCTGCCCAGGATGATGAGGAGTGGTGGCCGGCAGTTGAGTAGGACTGCATTTATTCAACGAAAGCAACTCCCACGGGAGTTTCTCGTAGTATTTGCACCAACTGTTGAGCCTCTGAAACCTCGTCCATGCTTTTGATGTCATTTGTCTATGAACCCAATACCTCACCCCTCAACAACCACTGACCAAGTCAACCTCACGCTTTCGTCTTCGGCTTGATATTCTTAATAGCAAACTCAATCGCAGCCGTATACCCAAATGTCCCCAGCCCACAAATCACCGCCTCCGCCTTATCGCTCAGATAGCTATGATGCCTGAACGCCTCCCTCTTGTGTATATTCGTGATGTGCACCTCAATAAACGGTATCTCGACTCCTAGCAGCGCATCCCTTAATGCTACACTCGTGTGCGTGAAAGCTCCAGGATTGATCACAATCGCGTCAATGTTCCCCCGCGCATCGTGTAACCGGTCGACAATAACGCCCTCGTGGTTCGACTGCATGGTCTCGAGGTGGACGGAGGCGGCGTCGCATTGTTTCTGCGCGGCATCGACGACCATGGGGAGGGTCGTGGAGCCGTAGAGCTCGGGTTCGCGGGTGCCGAGGAGGTTGAGGTTGACGCCGTTGATGAGGAGGATGCGTTTTGCCATGTTGCTGTCTTTGATGTGTGGTAGATGGGGATTGGGTAGTGACGGTGTGAGGTTTAATGACGGCGAATTCCTAGCTGTTTGAAATAATGAGTAGAGTCAATGCCATCTTTGCAGTTACGAATATGCTCTAAATCGCAACAAAAGACTACTGGTGGGTCTTTGGGAAGAGCGTTTTGCCGGTTGCTGATTCGTCAAAAGATCACCGCTGAGCGCTCTCCGCAGCATGCCTGGAACAGCCGTGGATATCAGTAAGCCGACGTGGCCAGGAGCCAGGTTTAGAGAGACACGATCTGATTGCCTGATGGAGCGCAATGGGTGGTTAGAAGTGTTGCAAACACGAGGGAAAGAGGGCTCGGGAATAGGTCGGATCTAGAGAGGAACTCGTCTCGAGCTCCCCTTTCGGCTCCACACGGCCTTAGTTGAACCCTCACTTAGCTTGATAAATGTCGCTTGTTCGCGTCGCTCTTTCATTATGACTTGTATTGATCATGGCAGACCTTTCGAGAGAGGAGTTGGACGGCATATACGCTTTTGCTGTCAATCTGGGCAAGGAGGCTGGGCGAATGCTGATGGACGCTGCGCAGCTGAGGTTTGGGGATGAAAGGCCAAAAGAAAAGGAGCATGTTGAGAAAGAGAATGCTGTCGATCTTGTGACGCAGACTGATGAAGGTAAGAAGTCAGCGAAGACCCATCTGGAGTGTCCTCAGGCTTTCGCTCCGCCCAATCTACACACTCTGTGGGTCAAAGTAGCTTCAAGTTTGGGACCTTTCCTATCGGCGAAAGGCGCTGAACTAGTTACTAGATGTCGAAGCGTTCATCAAAGATCAAATCACAAAGAAGTATCCATTACATAAGTCAGTGCCGTCTCTCCAAACGCAAATATTGCATCTCAAGTCAGCAGATTACTAATGCGTGACTAAACACCAGATTCATCGGAGAAGAGACGTATTCAAAAGGTGCTTCACGCGACTATCTAATCGGCAATGAGCCGACATGGTGTGTGGACCCACTGGACGGTATGTATGTTTTCTTACACGATTGTCCCCAAGGTTGATTCGGTATTGTCTCGCATCGTCGAGGCAGGGACATGAAGAAGTAGAGAACACTTTCTGAAGCTTTAGGTTCCCTACCCGTATCTTGATAACTTTCAAGCACAACATATAACCTCAAATGAGACGATGATGGCTAACGAAACGCCCAGGAACCGTGAACTACATCCACCTCTTTCCCATGTTCTGCGTGAGCATCGGGTTTATAGTGAACGGCAAGGCTACGATCGGCGTCGTCTACGCACCTTTTCTGAACCAACTCTTCTCAGCATGCTCCGGTCGTGGAGCATGGCTCAACGAAACTCAGCAACTTCCCTTAGTCCGCAACCCGATACCGCCTATGCCTGCCAAAGCTCCGGCCGGCTGCGTCTTCTCATGCGAATGGGGGAAGGATAGAAAAGATCGGCCGGATAGCAATCTCCATCGCAAGGTGGAAAGCTTCGTTAATATGGCTGCTGAAATTGGTGGGAGGAACGGAAGGGGTGGAATGGTTCACGGGATGAGATGTCTAGGAAGGTCAGTACAAGCATACGTGATGGTGAAGTGAACTCGAGCCATCCGTTTCATTTTGTCAGTATGGATATGCTAAGTCCTCCTTCTCAGTGCAACCTTAGATCTTGCTTATACGGCTATGGGCTCATTTGACATCTGGTGGGAGGGTGGATGTTGGGAGTGGTGAGCAATTAACTCTACTCTACTCTACTCCGCAACACGAGTAGTTAATGAGGCATATAGGGACGTTGCGGCTGGCATTGCCATTTTGTCCGAAGCAGGTGGCTTAGTGACTACTGCAAATCCTCCAGAAAACGAAGCCACCGCCCCTGTGGAAGAAGTCAAACTCGGTAGCAGGTTATACCTAGCAATCCGGTACGTCCCTGGACACCAAACTCTCCTACTGTCACCCCTTGTCTGGCAGACCGGATGTCTCTTTCGTCACATATACCAAGTTCTTTTTTGCTTCTAGAACACAGCCATGATGAATGCATTCGCTAATAACTTCCGCGAAACAGCCCTGCAGGGCCATCTCCTACTGAGACAGGACGGGAGGGGCAAGAGAGGACGGTGCGGGAAGTGTGGCGGAGAGTGCGCAATCTAGATTACTCTCGACCCGGCGCTTGAATGTATGGGAAGAACGCATGCAAGATCGCATTGATACTCAATCAGATGTACGCTTCAATCCAAGTCGAAAAAAGGATCATATTCATGATTGAAGTCTACACAGCCGTACATTCCTTGATTACAAAATCTATCAAATAAGTCATGACTTGCTAATTTCGCATCGTGCTGGATGGGGTCTTAAGTGTGGTGATTCGGACAAAGCTGGGCCCATACCATGGCTTTTGCGGTCCTTTCACTAGCCTCTTTCCTCTTCCGTCTTTCCCGAGCAAGGACGCCCGTGTGACTGACATATCGGCTAAAGGTTGAGCAGCTGTCACTGCCCACGGCTAGATCCTCGATTCGTTCAGCTTCGACGCAATGACTTCGTGGACCTTCTTCACTGGAAGATCGTGTGCATTCTTCCCGGTCCAGAATTTATCCTGCGAGTCGTTAACTCCAGAAAGGAACAGCGTTGGAGCCCCTATTCCAGCCCTCTCAGCGCTATTGCATTCTTCCGCAAGGTGTGGAGAAGGAGTGGGCTTACCTGTTCTAACCCCTGCCAAATCATCGCCTCGGTGCCTAGTATCACTTTCCAGCCAGCTGTCTTGGAAAGCTCGGCAATCTCTGTCCATGAAGATGGGTGGTAGCACATTTCCAACACAGCACCCTTATGTGGTTTCGCCAGTAGACATTCTAGGACACCCCTGGCATCCTTCTCTGCCTTCGTTCGAGGGGGGAAATTCGGTACGCACGAAACCACGGCACCAGGACCCTCGAGCTGCTCCGCTTGAGCAACAGTAGCAATGTCGATGAGCTCGCCGCCAAACCCACGCTCTGTGCACTCCTTGATGACGGCATCTACTTCTGACCGGTCCCGGTTCACGAGGTAAATCTTCGTCGCCTTCATCCACTTCGTCAGGGCGTAGACTGCGCTTCTTGCTGCGCCGCCTCCACCTACAACTAATGCTGGTCTGCCATGAAAGCAGGCTTCGGCGTCTGAAATGTTCTCGTAGAAAGCATCGCGGATTCCGACCACGTCTGTGTTGGTACCGATGTACTGACGCTTGTTCGTGGTGGGATCGAGTCGCGTGAATATGGTGTTGCATGCGCCTACGTCGCGTCCCTCATCGGTAAGGGAGTCGAGGTGCTTGAGGATGGCGACTTTGTGTGGCATAGTCACCGATGCTCCTGGATTTTCAAATCAGTATACATAGATTATGAAATCAGGCGCCGAGAGCGCTATACAAAACAGTAGACTACTGAGAATTGAGGGCTCAAAGAACTTTTTCATTCTTGCTGTTCTGCCAGTCATCTCTGATGAGATTTTAACTGAGAATTCAAGAACTCACCGTAGAATTTTGGATCCTGAATCAATTTCAGGAAATGATCCATGTCTGTCGAGTCAAGAGGAAGCTGCGCCCATTTAAGCCCCAGCCCCTCGTATACCGTCTGATGAAGCAAGGGAGACATGGAATGGGCAATGGGATGGCCAAAGAGGTAGCCAACCCGGTCCAGATGGCCTGAGTCTGGTGTGACGGTCATTTTGAAAGTAAAAGTGCCTGAAGCGACGGCTCTGCGTGGTTTGAGACGTCTAGACGAACAGATCACGTAGATCGATTAATCAAATCCTAATTGAAGGCACTGAAAGACTCGAGGAAGGGGTAAACACTATACGAAGATAATTGTTTCTTCGACATACGAGGAATACCCTGTCTACCAGGAGCCGGCACGAGCTGATGTTCATGCCCAAATTCCACCAACCAACCCCACTGCCACCTGCGAGCCGCCGCTTTCCCAGCTGTCTCACGGCTCTCGGCACTATTGCGGGGGAAGGGCACTGAAAGATTGGTAGAATGCTTTCCCGGCAACATCTGGGCTGGGTGAAGTTCGGGTGGCCGTCTGCCGGCCCTTCTCCACAGCCAGGACACCATGCTCCGCAGTATGCACGGCTCGACCACCGCCCTGAACACCAATGGAAACGCCGGCATTTGTAGCCTCTCCGCGGCCACCGCTCTCCGCAAATCTGGAGCCCGCCACGACGAGGCCGGCGTCTTCCCAGAGAGGATCCCCAGGCCGATCGAAGGAAAATTTCTCTTCCCATGCGTACGGAGGCTTGCCAGAGGGAGGGCTGAGGGCGCAAGTCGGCCCGCTTCAGCACCATCCCCACGGGGTCGACGTTCGCTTCATTAGTCGCCATGGAGAGATATATAGATGAGCCCTGTCATGGCCTGTCACTTTCCTTCATTTTCATCTTCGTCCTCCCCCTCTCTCTTCCCTCTCTCTTCCCTCTCTACCTCCCTATACTTGAGGAGACCTTCACTGAGTCGATCCTCGTGACTCAACCCCCTTAAAGACTTCGACGCTGCTGTCAGCATATCCATCCATCCTTCTGAAAGAGAACGATCAAGTTTTCCAAGATGGGCCTTTTTACCCTCGTCGAGGATAGGCCGACTCCCAAGGCGGTCTACAACTGGCGTGTCTACACTTGCGCCGCCATCGCCTCGTTTGCCTCATGTATGATCGGATACGACTCGGCCTTCATTGGCACCACGCTTGCGCTCCCATCTTTTGTCGGGGAATTTGGCTTCGCAGAAATGTCAAAAGACCATCTAGCTCTTACCAAGGCCAACATCGTCTCCGTCTACCAAGCCGGTGCCTTCTTCGGTTCAATATTTGCCTACGCTACTAGTTTCTACCTAGGCCGTAAGAAGAGTCTTTGGATCTTTGTCACTGTCTTCATCCTAGGAGCAGGGTTGATGCTTGGTGCCAACACTGCCCGTGGTCTTGGTCTCATCATTGGAGGACGTGTCCTGGCCGGAATCGGCGTTGGTGGTGCTTCTAACATGGTACCAATTTACATTTCAGAACTTGCCCCTCCGGCTGTTCGCGGACGATTGGTTGGTATCTATGAGGCAGGATGGCAGATTGGAGGTTTGGTAGGATTGTAAGTTGATTTTCACTTGTCGGGTTTCACTCGCAGCGCACTAATGCAAATCACAGCTGGATCAATTATGGCATCAGCGAACACCTAGCACCATCTCACACCCAGTGGCTTATCCCATTCGCTGTCCAGCTCATTCCTGCTGGTCTCCTCCTCTTTGGATCAATGTGGATCAGGGAGAGCCCTCGATGGCTACTCACTAAGGGCAGGCGAGAGGAGGCACTGAAGAATCTTTGCTGGATCCGGAATCTGCCCGCTGATGATCTCTATCTTATTGAGGAGGTCGCAGCTATCGATGCTGGTCTTGAGTATGAACGCATACATGTCGGACCTGGTTTCTGGAAACCTTTTGCGGCATTGAGGCAAAAGGAAGTCCTGTGGCGATTCTTCCTCGGTGGCATGCTTTTCCTTTTTCAGAACGGATCTGGAATTAACGCTATTGTAAGTTTACTCGAGTAGCTCGACTCTCAAGCACAGTTTCCTGACTACTTTTCTAGAACTACTACTCTCCCACTGTCTTCAAGAGTATCGGTGTCCAAGGAACCAACACCGGTTTCCTGACCACCGGAATCTTCGGCGTAGTCAAGACCGTCCTCACCTTCATCTGGCTTCTCTTCCTGATCGACAAACTCGGCCGAAGGAAGTTGCTCATGATCGGTGCCACCGGCGGCTCTCTCTGCATGTGGTTCATCGGTGCCTACATCAAGCTCTCCAACCCAGCTGCAAACACCACGAACACTAAACTCTCCTCCGGCGGTATTGCCGCCATATTCTTCTTCTACCTTTGGACCGCCTTCTATACACCCTCATGGAACGGCGTCCCCTGGGTCATCAATTCTGAAATGTTCAGCCAAAACACCCGCTCCCTTGGCCAGGCCTCTGCCGCGGCAAATAACTGGTTCTGGAACTTCATCATTTCCCGCTTCACTCCCCAGATGTTCATCAAGATGGATTACGGCGTGTACTTCTTCTTCGCCTCACTCATGATCTTTTCCGTCGTCTTTGTGTACTTCTTCATTCCTGAGACCAAGTCGATCCCGCTCGAGGCGATGAACCGGCTCTTCGAGATCAAGCCTGTGTCCAAGGCTAACAAGCAGGTCATCCTCGAACTGCAGGAGTCGGAAGAGGACTTCAGACATGATGCCGAGGGTGCCGGCCTTTCTGTTGAGAAGACGAAGGATTCGCGGATTGAGAATGTGGTTGCTGATGTATGAGATGGTATGGATATGAATTGATGACTGAGCGCGTGCGCAATGAATTTAATGAGCGAATCTGATGCTGTAAGATATTTAGCTTTGTATATATGGGTTGATCGTGGGATTCCACCCACTTCATCTAGCATAGATTAATCAAGCAATATTGGATAGTTAACTCAAATTTTTCAACCGGGCTCTGTTTTAGTGCACGTGAGGCGTGACCGAAGACAGTAACATCCTGTCTCCCATTCACTTACGCTTTCCAATTTAAGTACCCCTCAATTCACTTCCTTGGTTCACTTAATTACTACTTGGCCTAGCTATACAACTTTCAAGCATTGAAGGGCCTTGCCAAATTTTGTCTATGTCTGCAATGGAAGTCTCACCCCATTCATATTGATATCCATGTAGCGTTACCGAAGGGCTGCTTTCTGCATTCATCAATCATCTACGAACCTCTCTGATCCCTATAGCCGCGCCTCTTCCAAATGTGCACCCCCATTCACCGCCCCCTTAACAGCATTCAGCCCCAAATCTCTTTCCAGTTTCGACCACGCCGTCGCAGCCCTACTCGCCAACTGCTCCGGAATCTCCTTCTCCTTATACGTCATGACGCGACTAAACAGCTCCATACTCACCCACCCCTCATACCCCAGCCCCTCAATAAACGCCCTCGTAATCTCCAGCACGGGCAAATACCCTCCCAACTCCTGCTCCCCGTAAAACAACCTACAATTCCGTGACCAACTCATCCGCGCCACCTGATCCTGCGCCCAGAACTCATGCCCCTCAATCAGCGGCGCAGCCAGCCGTTCCGCATCCACCACCTGGATATAAAACACCTTCTTCACGTCCACCGTCTTCAACAGCCGCGCAATCGACGCCGCCATATCCGCCTCCGCGTTCACCGTCTTCCCGCTCACAGCAGCCGGGTCCGCGTACACGCGGCCCGCGATGTTGAACGTGTCCAGGCACAGCCCGAAATTCGGCCGGTCTACTTTCGCAACGATCTCGCAGCAGCGCTCCCACGTGTCGATGTGCGTCGCCCACGCGAGGCTCTCGTACGCGAACTTGATGGGCGGGTCCTGCGCCGCTCCCATGTCGGCCACTTCGACCATGTCGGCCACGATGAGGTCGATGTCGGAACTGCATTCGGATGCTGGGAGGAAGTTGGTTGGGATCTGGATGATGTCGGTGCCTAGGGCTTTCGCAAGCTGTAGCCAGAGCTTCAGCTTCTCGATGCGTTTGGCGTGCTCGGCACGGTCGTAGAGGCCCTCGTAGTGGAGGAAGGGTTGTAGGCCGATGATGGTGAGGCCACGGTCTGCGCAGAGCTTCGCGATGTTCTTGGAGGCCTGGATTTGGTTGGCGGGGGTCGCGCCACCGGGGAGCTGGGCGGCGACGTCTTCGAGGTCTTCGAAGAAGATCTCGATGCCGGTCAGGTTGTGCTTGGCGGCCATGTCGAGCTTGTGGGTGAAGTCGTGGCCGGCCCAGCAGCGCCCGAGGGACATGGTGGAGATGGCGGGTTTGTAGGACATGTTGGCGGGTGTGGTATGAATCGAATTATTCTATCGAACTGGGTATGAAGTAGAAATATAGAGGATGCAGATTGCAAATATGAACAGTGGCGTTGTAGCCGCTACAGTATGCTATGTGACACGTGTGGTATGTCTAAATGTATGTGTCATGTGATTCTAAAGGGGGAAAGAGAAGAAACGTCAATTGGGGGAACGAAGGGGGCATATCTGAGCAGATGCCATCCCGATACGCTGAAAAAGCTACCATATTGCCTCACCTACCGTCTGATGGCTAGAAGCGGCAACCCGTAACAGGAGCTGGTGGTCTCCGCAGAGATGATTTGGCGAGAGGGACGCTTTGACCACAGGGAAAGTCTTTTTCCACCGCGTTTCCTTCGCCTCCTCCACTCCCAACAACAACTCCGGATCCAGCTGCTACGGCCGAGCTTCGAGTCAGTGCAGGGCCGAAGGGTCTTGAGGTGAGTCGTGGAGATGTGGAGATGCGGAGAACCGGTGGACGATGGGAAAAAACATGAAATCCCGCCAAAGCGTTCCCCCGTAGAGGGCGACGGCTGGTGAGTTGTCATACCACGATGAGCCTCTATGCTGCGGACTGCTGCCCCCATCATCTTCTAAGTTACAACCGTTTCTTCTACTTTTGAATCAAATATATCACCTATCGGTTTCGCTACACCATGGCTGGCACTTCGAAAGTCAAGCTTGCGATCATTGGCACTGGTTTAATAGGACCAAGACATGCAGAGGCAGTCTTGAAGGATCCTGATGCGGAGCTCAGTTGTATCGTTGATCCAAGCCCGGCAGCTATAGCTGTTGCCGAGAGACTTGAATGTCCCATCTACCCATCCATCCAGGCTATGCTGGCATCGCCGTCAAAGCCGGACGCTGCCCTCGTGTGCACCCCGAACCACACTCACGTGGCTGTCTCAAAAGAGCTATTAGACGGCGGACTTCATGTGTTATGCGAGAAACCCATCTCAGTCGATCTCCAGACTGGACAAGAGCTGGTATGTTGAGTGACGGGATTCGATGCAAGACCTTACATTTGTCACGGTAGGTCGACTACGCAGCGTCTCGGAATTTACACCTCCTGATCGGACACCACCGTCGCTTCAACCGTTATGTGGTTACTACGAAACAACTCGTACCCTCTCTCGGCCGTATTATAGCCCTGAATGGTCTTTGGACATCGTACAAACCGCCAGATTACTTCGATCCTCCCACCGAGTGGCGCCGACTTGATTCTGCAGGTCCGATCTTGATCAATCTCATTCATGAAATCGACATCCTCCATCACCTGTTCGGCGCTATTACCAAGATTCATGCCGAAGCGACACCGAAACAGCGAGACCACGCAGCAGAAGAAGGGGCTGCTATCATCCTAAAGTTCGCTAGTGGTGCTGTGGGTACCTTTGTGCTGAGCGATGCTATACCCTCGCCGTACAGCTTTGAAGCTGGTACTGGGGAAAATCCCATGATTCCCTACACCGGTCAGGACATTTATAGGATCTTCGGCACAGATGCGTCTTTGAGCGTGCCAGATATGCAGCTCTGGAGCTACCCTTCTGGTAAGAAATCTTGGCTAGAGATTATCAATTCCAAAAAGATAGAGGTAGAGGAGATGAAGAAACCTTTCGAGCTACAAGTAGCTCATTTCGTCAAGGTAATCAGAGGGCAGGAGGAGCCTAGTTGCTCTGGGAAAGATGGACTCCGTGCTGTCATCGTCTGTGAGGCGATCAAGAAGGCACTGAAACAAGGAGGATCGGTCGATATTGCAGAAGATTTGTAGTGGTTTCATTTCCGGATACAATCAACAACGATCAGTGCGTCATTCAGGAGCTTCTCGATAATTTCGACAGCCTACTTCAGCATGTTTGTCGGCAAATATTCGCGTGATCTATAGACAGTGAAGTATAGAAAGACTCGGCTGCGCCATCTTTGATTTCTCTTCGTCGTCAGCTCTACTGTGGCCACGTTTCGATATCACGAGTTGCAGTACCCTGGTATTCTAAGAAACCTAGTCAGATCAACAATGGAGCCCCACCCCGAGGTACGTCCGTCCCCGTCTTAAAAGTCCGCGTAAATACTATTCCATTCACGCTTCGCCTACCTTCCGAAAGATGCTAGCTCACAATATATTCGAACTGTTTGGCTTGATAGGTACGCATCGTCTCTCAAAACCCAAGATCTTATTGAATCTCTTTCTTTCATAATCAAATTAGTCTTTCAACATGGCTTCGATAGTAGAAACAACTCCTATCGCCTCCACAGACAGCCGCAAATACCTCTACCTAGCTGGTATCGGTGTCACACACTCCTTCGCCTATGCTCTTCACAATCTCGTCGCTAAATCGCTCGATTTACCATGGGAATTCATCAATCAAGAATGTCCTACTGTCGAAACTGTCGTCGAGATATTCCGACGCCCTACCTTCGCCGGCGGCGTTGTCACAATGCCCTATAAGCAGTCCATAATGCCACACCTCGACGAGCTCGATGATCTCGCGCTCACTCTTGGTGCATGCAACAACGTCTACCTCACGCCTGAGGGCAAGCTACGAGGCACAAACACCGACTGGAGAGGCATCAAGGGATGCTTACTTGGCGCCAACACCGAAGGAAAAGGCAAACCTGCCATGATTATCGGTGCAGGAGGCGCTAGCCGGGCAGCTGTATACGCTCTCTCCACCGAGCTCGGCTGCAGTCCTATATATATCATCAACCGCGACGCAGACGAGGTGGCCGCCCTCCTCAAAGATAGCAGCGCATACGCAAAGGAAGACCAGCCGGCACCAAAGCTCATCCACATACAGACTGTGGCTCAGGCGAAGTCTCTACCATCACCGTACTACATCGTCGGCACAGTGCCGGATTTCGAGCCGCAGACAGCGCAGGAGCTGGAGGCGCGGGCTATGTTGACGGAATTCCTCGACCGCATGGAAGGCGAGAAGGGAGTTTTGCTGGACATGTGCTTCAAGCCAAGGAACACGCGGCATCTGAAGCTAGGGAAGGCAGCTGGGTGGACGACAGAGGAGGGGACGGGCATAATAGGGCATCAGCTCGAGGAGCAGTGGCGGCTATGGGCTGGTCAGCCCAAGGAGAAGCTGCCCTTGGATGAGGCGTGGAAGAAGCTGACAGAGATTGTGGAAACGCATCCGGGTATCAACTTTGACAACTCGGCGCCGAAGTTGTAGCTCAGTCACCTTTTATACCAATTCATAACTTGTAAACTCCATGCGTGCTTGACAGCAATATTCTACGTGTGACTTCGAGCCACAATTGAACTTCATCGGTAACCTCGACACTCAGATATCGCTCCATCTTTACATCCATACCAACTGAGTCACTCAGAGTTCCACAATGGGCGGAATTAGTTCCATTGGAGGGGAAGTACGAAGTAGTGCCCCACATCTCCACTACCCCTCCACCCGTCCCCTGAACTCTCCTGAAAGTTTATCCCGCCTTACTTCCACTACACTAAAACAGACCTTGAGTAAATATGCCAAAATACTACTACAACCCCATTGACTCTCTTAGTTCTAATTCCTGGAACACCATCAATCCCTTCATCCTGAGTGACACTTTCTTAGCTATACAATCACAAAATGCCAGACCTCCACACCCTCCCCGCGGGCTCCTATCCCACCAAAGCCGTGAGAAACAACGGCTCCGACAACCTCGCCCTCGAGCGCTTCAAGCTGCGAGAATTGGCTGAGGGATGGCCTATGTACCGGTACATCCTCCTCTTCCATCACTAGTCCACCCAAACTTACACACCTCTCAACACAGCGACGCATGCGAATGGGAGAACCTCCTCTCCATCTTCCACCCCTCGGCCTACATCTACACGACCTGGACTGGGCGCACGCACCACCTCGACTTCATCGCGGCGTCCAAAGCCGGCATGGACAAGGGCGCATTCATCATGCACCGGTGCCACGGGTCGTCTACGGACATCAACGTCGAAGCGACGCGGGCGGTGACGAAGATGAAGGCGACGATCACGCAGCGGTTTGAGATCGAGGGGTGTGAGGTTGACGCGGAGAGCGACTGTCGGTTCTGCTTTTTCTGGGAGAAGCATGAAGGGGAGTGGAGGGCGATGTTTGTGCGGTGAGTGATCAGTCCTGAGCCTCTGATTTAGCTATGCCATGTTTCTGGACTGACGATACATGCTCAGGCATTGGTACGAGAAAGATAAACTGATCCCAATAAACCCGAACAAGGTGCCGAAGTTGGACGAGGCGAAACTGGCGACGTATCCGAGCGGGTATCGCTATCTGGCGTACTGCCAGGAGCTCACGATGGGCGTGAAGGTGATGTTGGACATGCCGGGACACAGGCGGGAAGGCGATAGTGTGTGTGGGAAGAAGCATGATCAACTGTACTGGCAGTGCCAGCAGTGGGTTGAGGGTGAGAAGGTAGATATTTGATTTAGCTTTGTATCATAAAGGCCTTTGCATGAGGACCTTATTGAGTGTGTACGAAGTAGCTGACGGTTGTGTGTGTCATGCAGCTTGTCGTTTTGGTGGAAGATGCGAATTTTGCGAGGCTGAAGATGTAAAGTCGCTATTACGGCCGTTGCGTGGATGCGTTCAAGATTCATAGTCGAATTTACTTAAGCGTATTGACATATATACGTTAGTCTAGTTGACGATTCCTCCATCTTAATTCGTGGCTCCGTCAATCGACCTAGAAAGTGCATGTGCTAGAGAGCCACTTTTGCGCTTTTGGGTCGCATTTTAGGCGACAATAGTTCTCAGAACTAGGAAGCTGTGAAAGAGATACTCGGATAGACCCTAGCCGCGGCTCCATCGTAGACTCGTCCTTGTTCGTAGTAAGTTCCTCACGTCTTGTGGGCCACTGCGGGCCTGGTCAACTCTCATGTATCCAAGCGGATAGAATAAAATACACTCATTTCCACAGTCTTTTCATCCCCCATCATAAGAGCCTGCTTGGTCTATTGACGAGTGCCCCACCACATTTGGGTGCAAGAACGCGGACAGGAGCGGATCAAATTGACCATAATCCGAAGCCAGCACATCCGTTAGGTCCGCATCAGGCGCGAATCCGAGATTCTGCATGAATTGTGGCTGGTTCTCACGGTTCTCCGCACCGTCGAGTGATGCCATCTCGTCAAAAAATGCGTCCAGGTCCATAGTGGCGGCAGGATTGTAATTATCCAGCGCGATTTCTTGGTAAACAGGGTGAAAATGGGACGAGTTGACGTTGCCGAGCTGGTGCTGAGGAGCCGCGAAGCCAGGCCCCTTCGCGTGAACGGGGTTCGGGGGGCTCATGTTTGGCAGGATATCTGGGAACAACGCTGGTTGTGGCTTCGATCTATCGGGGCCACGTGTAGATCTGGATGCCACAGCTGGTTGGAAAGGTGCGTGTATTGACTCAGGAGTCGGTAATTGGAAGTTTGCCGTGCTTGAAGATTGTGACATCGAGATCTGACAGTTGGGCTGATTGCTAGTCTCTCTTGCGAGTACGGTACTTCGAGTATGATCGCCGCTTGTTGGTGGAGACCATGCTTTGATATAAGCTGCCTTGAAGTTACGAATGCGGGTCTTGAAATTCATATTCAATGTGTTGAAGCCTTGGTGGTTAATGATGATAGCCAAGAAACTCTTTACCAAGGGCGGTAATGCTACCATACCGGCGGTCTCAGAGAAGTACTCCAATAGGCTGATCAAGTCACTGGTCGGACGAACAAATGAGGAGTCATTGACACTGACTGCAAAAAGATAGGCAAGGCGAAGTAGTAAGATTGGCGGTGTTGAGGTTACAGAGACAGTACCGGTTCGTACAAAAGAACACGTCCTAGGTAGTGCTGCAGTCCAGTCTTTCATTTGTGATGCAACTTCTAGGGATGCGGCTCGTGAAGTATCTTCGGAATTTCGAGAAGCGTTGAATATGGTAATGAGCTTGACAAGCTGATTGAAAACACTCAGACTGTGTACCGGACTGCGAGTTGAGTTTGCAAAGTGTTCCGTTTGTACACCGAAACCCTCACAGCCCACCCACGGGTGCCATTCATCCAGACCTTCCTCGTCTACTGGTCCACGTCGCCCCATATCTGAGCCTTTGAGATAGAACGGAAGACCCAGTTGAGCGGAGATGATGGTGTCAAGTACGAAACATCCGGCGAAGACGTGCTTGAGTCGGGAGTTGAGGCTTGTGTGGGTGTTGGGAGAGCTTAGTCGTTTTTCAAGGCACAAGAGAAGTCGACTTGCATGGCCTATTTGTAGCCACGCGATCTCGATCTTGTCTTGACCAAGATTTACTAAAGCAAGAAGAATGAGTGCTTTGACGTGCCCCAACTCGAATATTCCATCTTCGTTTGGTATGAGATTCCTGGCAATCTTGTAAAGGTCTTCTACCGATCGCGTCGGAGACTCGGCCTGTGACGGCGACTCATTTAGTGTAGAATTTTCCTGAATTGAAGCTAAAGTGAGCACACTCCAAAGCTCCGCATGTTCTCCCGATCCGAGTGTTTCTGGGCCTATTTCAAATCCATCTTCGGGATAGGAGTAAGAAAGCTTGAGTAGGTCATGCTTTTCAGAGATAGGAAGCCAGGAGTGAGTGTAGGCAAAATATATGTCAAACAGACGCCATATGTTCGTTGGCAGCACTTGTTTTGATTTCGCGGATCGCTCTGAAGCTAACCCGATATGACGATACGTTTGCGTAGATTCTTGCTCCCAGCGCTGGGCCAGGGAGCCCAATGGATAACTAGGAGATGGTAGAACGCCCTCGGATTGGGAAGATTGGATACGGGGATGGATAGGACTACGGGGAGTCGATAAGTTGGTAGCCCCGGCTTGTGCTTTAGAGGTGTTGGGAACTTCAGATTCCGGCTCTGGTGTGTCAGGGGAAAGTCTGTCGTTTTCAACGACGTCCGATCCAGACAGAAGCCTTTCAACTTCCTTGCACACTGTGCTCCGCCGCCATTTCTTGTGCAACTTGTCAGAATCTGCTGTGTCTTTTCCCACAAGAAGCGACGACCCTTGGCTGTTATCTGCAGTGAGCATAGTGTTCAGAGCAGCCTCGCTCCCGGCCACGTTAGTAAAGACCCAGGCGAGGGCAAGCTCCAAAGTTCTGATATATCCGGGTTGTATTCCGCGCTTCTTGGGATTCGTAGTATACGAGCAGTCCCGATTGGAAGAGACACAAGTAAAACACATGGGCTGAATGCCATCGCATTTCTCCCGGGCCGCACGACATTGATCGCATGCCCGTGAGACACGCTGCCTCTTCACAGGGGCCTTCTCGTTGCCTTCTTCGACAGCTTTGGGGGTAGAGTTGGCCGCCTTACGCTTCGTTTGCGCTCCATCATTTCCGTTTCCACGCATGCCTGATAGCCTAGTTCCAGGCTAGGGTGATCCTCCGGGAATAACTCTGGTAGTCTCAATGGACGGAGGGCGTCTTCTATTCGACGAAGTTCTCGGGATCCATACGATCGAATACTTATTTGCTACTGTTCAGAGCGTGTCGACAGTATTGTGGATTCAGAAATCTAGAGGACTGGTAAGTCTGGGTTCGGTAAGGTTTGGGTTGGCCGTTGAGTATCCTTCATCGAGCGCTTACTTGATTGGATCACCCTAGAGGGGTACGATTGAGAAGTGAGGATATTCCCAGGTTTGGAAAGTATGAAAGTGGCTCGAATGACTCCAAGCAATGACATATAAGCGCAAATTGATAACTGATAGATGTTTCCAGGACAGGGGCAGTAGTACTTATTGCCAATGCTATCTTTGTATGAGCAACGGCAACGTTGAAAGAATCAGTCGAGACAATATCAAGTGCGCCCATCCAAGGGGTAATAAGAGGCGGCTCAACAACGAGACCAGTGCATTGAGTATCATGGAACCCTGATAGAGTTCGCTTGATGATGCATGTTGGAGAAGCGGAGAAGCAAATCTGGGGAAGCCGTTGGCACGTGATTCTCGCTAGCACCAAAAATGATCTCCGGGATGAACATTCATCCATCACTCACCCCGAAATCTTCGCATGTTCCCGCATCTCCACAATTGATCGGACTATGGGAATCTCGAGCCTCAAGTACTTTGATACTTCGACGCCCCCACGTATACTCCAACCTGATTGACTGCTTGGACCGGATTCATCGCCTTTCACCATCGATTCTTCATGCAACGCGCGACCGAAGTATGGGATATGCTCCTTGGACCCTAAACCCCTAAATATCACCCCGTTTTACGCAGAGAGTGTACCACAGCCGCGGTATCGTTGTACTTGCCTGGATAGAGAGTACCAAGACTCTCCTTATTTGGGGACTATTTCGCGATGGCGACCGCCGTGGTTGGAACGAAGAGACCCTTTGCGGTGATGGAGGAGATGCAGCCTTCTCAAGAGACCCCATATTCTCTCTTCCGCCGGACTCCTAATACTTTGGTGTCTAGAACAGATGAATCTTGTATGCTGTGTTCTCTAAAATTCATGGAGCCAAACCGCTAACAATTCCAGATTCTCGATCTTCAAGTGCCCCCTCCACTCCTACACCACCCCTAGCGGCCATCGACCTGTCGAGAACATTCGAACCAAACGCTTCTTTGGTACTCGTTGGAGTTCGTGGCACTGGGAAATCCACACTAGCAGTCATAGCATCTGCAGCATTTCAGAGGCGTGTAGTTGATGTGGATAAGTTCTTTCAGGAGACGACTGGACATTCTAGTGCAGCCCACCGGAAACTACATGGAGCCTTTGAGCACAACCGCCGTCAGGAAGAGGTGCTCAGATCCGTGCTCAATACCTATAATCGGGACTGTATCATCGTCTGCAATGCAGGCTCGATGGAACGCAGCGGACAAAGCCTCTTACGAGATTACGCCGCCACACATCCGATAATCCACGTAGTTCGAGATTCCAAGAGCATACACGCTTATCTCAAGATTCGGGAAGAAAGTAAGCTCACCGGTCTACTTGCCATTAGCGGGCCCATATTTCGAGGCTGTTCCAATTACGAATTTTACAATTTCTCCGAAACCCAATCGAATCACTCCCAGCAAGAAGAGCATTCAGGAAAATCGTCCGGAGACCGGACGTCCGTTCATGAAGCGACACCTCCTTTTCTGGCTCTAAAACGCGCGGAACGACATTTTTTGAAATTCGTCGCGTTGATCATAGCGAGAGGCAAAGTGCCCTCACTGGAACCGGCTTACCCGCTGTCTCTAGTGCCCACAGAGCTCAGACGATTTACTTGCGCCATTGCAGTGCCTTTCTCTAAACTTACAGCCGAAGACTTGGACATTGAGGATCTGGAGATTGGGTCTGATGCGGTTGAAATTGTGATCGATGATCTCCAAAAGACATCTCCGTCGATGATGGCTTCTTCGTCCGCACAGGAGCTTACACCTGCAAGAGCGGACCAGATAAGCCGCACCATTTCAACTGTAAGGAGAACAGTGATTGTTCCCATCATCTTCCACGTCCACGCAGACTCAGAAATTTCTTCGAGCCATCGGTCGACATATCTGGAACACTTGCGGCATGGATTGCGGCTCGCCCCCGAGTTTTGCACGATCAACCTTTCACTGGATGACGAAGTAATCGTCCAGATATTGAGCATCAAGGGCTCAACGAAGATGATCGGTCACCTAAACACATCCAATTACGAAGCACCGGACTGGTCGGACCCTTTTTGGACGGACAACTACGAAAGAGCGAGAAGACTTGGTTGTGACCTTGTGCGGTTTACGCGCCCAGCGCGGTCATTAGACGACAACTTCTCGATTCGGATCTTGAAAGAGAAGTGCGGAGCACTTGCTGAGCCATCCATTCCTCTGATAGCCTACAATACTGGCCATCTTGGTCGTGTATCGATCTGCTTCAACGAAGTATTCACTAATGTTACGCATGAAGCTTTGCAACATTCAACCAAAGACCATCTATCATCTCCGACTCTCTGCGGGCCTCACATTACGGCACAGGACTCTACTCGGGCGCTTTACGCGTCTTTTGTCTTTGATCCAATGCAAATATACATCATTGGTGCAAGCGCTGGCTACAGTTTATCACCTGCCATGCACAACGCAGCCTTTCAAAAATGCGGACTACCGCATCACTACCAAACACACCAGACTCCGTCCCTGAATAGCTTGAAGTCACTGGTAAACGATCCCAACTTTGGGGGCGCTTCTGTCAGTTTACCATTCAAGCTTGAGGTTATCTCATTGACCCATTCCCTAAGCCGACATGCAAGGGCAATAGGCGCGGTCAATACCCTCATACCAGTGCGGAACCTCAACCCAGACGGCAGTATTCCGGATGATCTGAGCCTTTTCAACGAGCGCTGTCGAGCAGGCCCCGTCAAAGCATTATACGGTGACAACACCGACTGGATAGGCATCCGATCCTGTATTCGAAGAGGCCTTTCTCCCGCAAATGCGGTAAGACCAAGGACGACCGCCTTAATCATTGGTGCTGGCGGAATGGGCAGAGCCGCCGCCTATGCTATGCTGCACCTCGGAGTCAAGAATATCGTCATCTTCAACCGGACCATAGCCAATGCAGAAAACTTAGTAGCTCATTTTAATCGGCTTGTGTCTAGCTCAGATGCTAAATTGTTGCCATCCTCCAAGTCACCAGAGACAAGGCCACTCTTCCGCATAATCAAATCTCGAGAAGAGTCCTGGCCTGACGACCTCCGTTACCCAACTATCGTTGTCTCATGCATACCCACGCATCGTCTCGGAGATAGCCCAGCACCGAACTTCACCCTTCCCCCTCAGTGGATCAAGAGCCCGACTGGGGGCGTCCTTGTTGAAATAGCCTACAAAACGCTTCATACACCCCTTCTTCAGCAATTCCGCGCGGAATCACATAGAGGTTGGGTTTGCATGGATGGCCTGGACCTTCTTCCTGAGCAAGGCTTTGCGCAATTCGAGCTGTTTACTGCACGAAGAGCACCGCGAAGATTGATGAGAGAAGAGGTCCTGCGACGCTTCACTGACGCTGAGGGTCATACGGATCCCGAGGTCATCCAAACAAGATTGGAAGGCATTGATGATCAAGATACTTGAGAAATACTAGAAACGGCCCCATGCCTGGTGATTGTTGAGGGCGTAATTCTGCATGTCTGGGCGCATTTGCGAGAAATGGACGAGCTTAACGATATACCCATAAACATTCAATATGATGTGTACAAATATTACTCTTAACATGAAGGGCGACTCTAATTTCGCAATGTTTAACGGCTAGCTATCATATCACGCCATGCTTAACACTTCTTTCTAGTTCTACACGTGCATACATTCTAGTTATGTTTCAGCACCTTAATCCACGTGATAATAATACCTCTTCTACTCATACCTCTTAGAAGTCTTATTCTTTGTTCTAACACATACTAACTATGACCTGGTTGGCATAAGTAAAGACGGAATGGTGCGAAGGATTAAAACCCTAAACACCTCCGCTCCCCCACACTTGCGTAGGACCACCAATAGTACCTGTGTTCAAACATCCATCTGGGCTTCTGGATGTTTGAACATGTCCAGGTGCACAAATCGATCTCTGGAGGTTGAAGGATGGACCGTTGAAGGCTTTTATACCTTCTCGAGGAGGGTCTGGAGGTTTAAGGTAAGTTGGGCATGTTGTTTGAAGGGTTGGGTAGACGGGGTGGTGAATATAAGTTTTACAATTATGATTACAAAAGTTACATGATTCAGATTAGCTACCAATAGGGGAGTGGATATCGAGCGGGAGTGGATATCGAGCTGCTTTCATGACAATTTTGATAACCGTATACCTTTGTAAGGAGGACCCCATCCGCCAGGTCGCCGGCCATTCAAGAGGTTACTCAATTAGAGCGTCAGAGGTTACATCAAAACTCGAGTTCGGAAAGCTCATGGGGGCACCCCAAGCAGGGCCAAACGAGGGTGCGCAGGCTCTTAGCGACATAATCCATCTCAGTCATTCAGAAGAATAGCATAGTCCCCTTCGTCGTTCATAGGCGCATCGGATTCCCAACCGCTCTGGTAGCCTGGTGCTAGGCATTCCTCGTCCGGCTGCGGTATCAGCTTCAAGTCGATAACTGAATTGTCATCACTCCAATTGCTCTCGTTATCGTCGCTATCATAGACAGAGTTCTCCTTAGGAAAGATGATGGCAGTCGTACCGTCATCTTGCACCTTGCAAACCAGTCCAACATCGTCCTTCTCCACAAAGCCCATTTTCGTGAGGACTCTGCTCTTCCAGATTAGAGGATCAGCCTCGGAGACTCTCAGCTTGAAATTTCCGAAGTGCTCCTTGTGCTTATCTTCAAGGGTGTTATAGCCAGTTATTGGAACCAATAAGCCTTTCTCCTCACGGATGGCATTGTCAGAGCTCAAACATAGCGCCAGTGCTTCGTGGAAGTCGGTGTTATGGTCGCACTTTTCTGTGTGGCTGCCATTGCCAATAAGCAGCACCTTACAGAGCTTTAGAGTCAGATGGCGGACGCTAGTCATCAAATTTTTGAGATTTGGACGCTGAGGCCATAGATCCAATGCCGTTAAGCCCTTGATTGAGCATCCGAGAGCTAAGGATTCACAGACTGTGGACCTAGAAGTGAGCTTGCAGCGGGTCCCGCCTCGTGTAGAGAGAATCTCAACGTATTTGTAACAGACATCGAGCATTTCGTTGATGATCCCAAAACGAACACGACTGACGTTATCTGGGATATGATTAGCAAGAGCACATTGGCTTGTTGATAACTTGACAAGTACAACAGAGGTATGGGATTCTAAGCTGCACAAGTCTTATGGCCCTGGCAATAGTAAGTATGAAAGCTCTCATACCTAGGATAATGCGGTACACGTCTTTTTCAGCATCTTCGAAAGCTGAGTTCTCAGCAAGAGGATGTCCATCAATTGCGTATATGTCTTTGTCTGAATCGACGGGTGAGAGCAATACGCCGAGGCGCCGCATGGAAAGTGTCTTTGTATCCGAAAACCCAAGAGACGAAAAGCCATTCCTCATTATCAGGTTTCATCGTGGATGATATAATAGGCCAGGTCCAGTTGCGTAGGAATGGCCTTATCAGCTCACTTCCGCCGTAATTGACGCAGACGAAGGCAATCCGAAGGAGCGCGCTGGGGTCTCTTATACAATCCGGGCGTCGCGCATGTTTCCATGGGCAATATTTAGCAAGATTAGGACGCTTTCTGAATCGAATTCCTTCATTACAGGCTCTGTAACATCTGAATCTAAGAGAGACTTCCAAAAGTTACTTAGTCGGCGGACACAGGGCGAGAAGATGAGAATATGTACATCCGCATGTCCACGAATGATTAGCGTTCGATCGCCCGCTGGGTCTATTATAACGCTTCTATCCGGTTCCCGTTCGTAGCTCGTCGTGGACTCTTCTCCGCTCTCGGTCGATTCATCATCGCTCGTCTCGGCAGATTTATCGTCGCTCTCATCCTCCGGGACCATGATTTTGTCATCCGGAGGTGTACCGATCTCCATTTCCAGTTGCTTTTGAACAGCGGCGGCCTCAGTTTGGTTGTTTAGGTTGACGCCCATACCATCTTGACCGTCTTCCAGCTCAACCTTCCAAGTTCAGGCTCGACGATGATCTCCCAGATCCCCCATGCTTCACATTGACATGACTGGATAGTTCAATACTCTCGCAAGACGCTGATCTCTTGCGTTTCTTCTCAAGACCGGGCAGCAGTATAGTCTCATCTACAGCCCCGTGTGTACTCGCTGGCAGCGATAACGCAGGCCTCGCGCTATCAAAAGCTAGACTCGATTGTTCCTAGCCTGATGAATTGAAAGGAGTCGTCCATGGACTAAGGGGAGTTTCCATAGTTGAGATTTTAAATAGCTTCAGCGGTGCAATTGATGGAAGTACAGTACTTGTCATGTTTCAGCGTTCAGTATATGCTTACCGGGATTGAAGAATCGAACAAGATGGCGGCCGGCTGCTAGAGAAGGTCGCAATTGAGTACTTGTTCTTTTAATGAGGCGAAAAGGTTGTTTATTCACACATCTTTGAGACCGGAAATGCGGGAGATGAGCTGAAGTCGCGTGCACTGGATTGAGGTCAGCGTCGACGCGGTTTTGCGGTTGCTTCGCACTTCACGTGACCCTCTAGAATATCTACTTGAGAAGTCAGGAACGAATATAACGCTTGACGCAGCTGAGTCTGGTCACTGCTGTACTTACATAGGTGACGCTCAAAGATATCGTATCATTTATTCTAGGTACTCAGGTAGCAACACAGAACTAACCGCAACCCATTGAAACGTCCATCCAACTCAACTCCACCCGTCTTCCCCACTCGTACATTCCTACTCTCTCCCTTTCATCACTCACACAGCCTTCTCCTTCCCCTTCCCCTTCCCCTTCCCCTTCTCCTTCCCCTTCCCCTTTCCCTTCCCCTTCCCCTTTCCTTTTCCCCACCCCATCTCCCTCGCCTCCTTCAAACTCGGCCAGTCCCAGTCCCACTCGCACCCGCACCAGGCCTTCTTCTTCACTCTTTGCTCACACCTCTCACAAATCCCTTCCTCGCCAGCCCCATCAACGCAATTTCTTTCTTCGCTCTCAACATTAAGATCAGACTCCAAATCCCACCAGTCTTCTATCTCCCCTTCTTCCTCGCATTCCTGTTCCTGTTCCTTTTCCTTTTCTTTCGAAAGCGGGATAGAAGGCGCGGTAACAGGTATCCGACACCGCCATTTCGGACCCCGGGGGCGTGTCCTAGTTAACGGAATACTGGCATGCCACATGACCGGCCTCCCAACTCTCGCCTCGCCTTGCAGAACAGTCCAGCCCTCGTCGTCATTGTCAAAGTCCGAAGCAGTGGGCGAGGGGAGGACGTGCTCGAACTCTGTGGAGGTGGAGAGGTCTGAATAGGCTGGGAGGGGCGTGTCGGATGGCAGGGACGCGTCTACCGGGTTGGTGGAAGACGAGGCAGAAGATGCGACCACCGAATGCTTCGCCGCGAACAGCCGACTCGGCGTAGGAAGTACCTGCGTTGCCGTGACTGAAGCTTGAGTGCTCCGACACCAGCACGGCTCCGCGTGTCCCATCTCCAAGAACTTCGTCAGCGACGCCCTCACTTCATCTTTCACCGAGAGTGGGGTGGGGCTTCGACGGGCCACTGGCGATGGGTCGCTGGAGTTGGGTCTGCACAGAATCTCAGGCGTCTCGCCCGCGTCCGCTTCCGTATAAACCCCTTCAACAGACACCTCGGGGTTTATGGGCGCGTATGGTGTCTCAGGCGGATAAGAAGACGTAGAAACGGACTCGTAGTGGCAGTTTTGCCATGTCCTCCAGTTCGAAAACGGCGGGGTGGAGGGAGTAGATGCAGAGGGCGTGATGACGGGACTAGCGCTGGCCGCGGGATTGTCGGAGACGCAGATATAGTCACTGGGAGCAGGAACGGTGCTAGACGCAGACGGTGTGGAGACAGGTAAGGCGTTGGATCGGCAGAGGGAGGAAGGGACCCACGGCGGTGCAGGTATTGGCTCAAGAGCCAAGGGCGGGGTAGTAGAGGAAGGGTAGGGTGTTGTAACACCGGGGCTCTGGCTTCTGGATCTCAGAGGGGAGACCGGAGCAGATGGCGGCCGCAAGAGGGCCCGGATAGCAGCGGCCGCGGCAGCGTGGTGTGGGAAAAAGCGCGAATTGCGGCGTGAGGTAGTATTGACACAGTCGGTACTGTGTTCTTGAGTCTCGGTCTGTGTGGCAAAAACGGAGTCTTGAAGGAGATGTGGTCGCGGCCGATGAAAGGGAACGGTTATGGTTCCGCCTGTGGCTGAGGTAGATGAGGTTGTAGAGAGCGAAGAGCGGCGGCTGAAAGTCTTTCTGAGGATCGGTGATGAGCTCGGCGAGGGAGCTCCGGGACGGAAGGTAGCCGGCAAATTAAGAATGGACTGATTAAAGGATGTTTTCAGGAGTGGTGGGTGGATGGGTGGTGTTCGACGGCCGAATGTCGGAGTAGGGACTGTAGACTGTCTTGAGTGTGAGCTTTGACGGCTGAAGATGGCCCGGGCAGGTGGAGGTTTCGTGATAGAGGAAGCAGGCGGAGGTGGTCCTGCAGATTCGACTCTGCTCAGTGAGGCTTGCGGTGCCTCTAGCTTGCAGTCTTGAGAGTTGGGAGGACTCTCACGCGAGACCCTGCCTACGGTACTAGGCGTATCCGTGGATCTCAAGTCTGCGAATAGCTCATCAAAGACGTCAGATCGCAGTGGCTGCTTGGCCTTCATCTTGCTATGTCTTCCACCTCTTTTACCCCGGCGTCGCACAGCGAAGCGTTTCGAGGGCGGGGTGAAGTCGAAAGCCCAGCTAGACTTGTCACCTCGCGAATCTAGCTGTGCTAGAATACTGAAACGGTTCTCTGCAATTATTCGTCAGAAGAGCGAGAGCAATGAACTCATCGAAGTGTAAAGCTCACCGTTCGGGTCAGAGCGAGGATGGTGCCCACAAGGAATAGCTGGAAATCTATCCTCCAGGTTCGACGGCTCCCAGATGCGACAGTCGCGGCATCTCGCTTCTTTCGGAGGTCGAGGAAGGGGATTTGAGGGCTTGGTTGTAGGTAAATCGGCGTCGTGGTTTTGTCTCGGCCCATGAGCATTGCTCTGATGAGGCATGCTATGTTGTTCAGGACTGGCGGATATGTGGTGATAGGTGTAGGGATAAAAGCTGGGAACGCGAACAACGAGTGACAAGTAGTTGGAGGCTGAATGGTTGGCTGCCACTGTTGAGAGTGCATAGGATGGCTCTTGCTGGACTGGGTAGTCCGAGGAAAGAGAAACTGAGGCGAGGCAACAAACTGGAACTCTACCTGCGCCTGCTGCAAGATCAGAAGGTCCATATTCTCGCCCTCTAGAGTGTCTTCGGTCTCTGGTATATCAAACATCTCCGACTTCAGGTGATTCTGCAAGATATCCTAGCCTTTCAAGTAGTCATCTTCTGGCTGCCTGTAGGTCTGTGATTCTTAGACGGCAAGCTTCACACTTTTCGCACAACTATTGAGACATTAAAAGTCGAAGAAACCCACTACTTGTCCTAGCCCACTACTTCGTCCTAGGTAGATTTGGCACCCAAGGGTCCAGCGTCGTAATAAATGGCGAGCGACGACTATGAGAGTGAACTCGACGATGAGCGAAAATATGACGAGATTTGGTTTGCCAGCTGCGTCTCTTTCAAATTGCCCAGTCTACCAGAACATTGTTGTAAGGAACATGCGTATCAGACAGATGATGACCGTAATGTTAAGCTTCGTCTGTGCTAAGGATCGCTATGAAGCCTACTTCTAGATTCCAATTATTGTGGCTTCACTTTCCGCCAGTTCGAAAATGCTAAAGACGAGAATCGCTCGAGCCAGTGAGGCCGTCGTTTAAATGCATTTGAGAAGGGAGTGAGGGTGTTTTCGAAGATGACTCCTTTTCTCATCTCTTGCCACTAGCATAAGGGTGCCATGTTGACCACCCTGATATATCTAAGATTTCTTACAGACTCTACAACTTTGTGATCGAAGCCTGATACTTAGTCGCCGTTACATTCCAGAGTTGCGATATTGTGTCGTAGCAGAAGATAAGTTGGTTACCGTTGCATTTGAGCTGTGTAGCAAATAAATCAACGTATTTACTTGCATTCCGCGTCCATAGCGATATGGAAGGTCCTTATTCTATGGTTCGGCACAAAGAATCCCGCGCTACCTTGACTTTGACATTCATTCCTTCGCCGAGTCTCATCGTTTCTCCAGAAGATTGCAATTCGCGCATTTGTGATACCTACGGCCTCTACCAAACCCTCACGATGACGTGCGAGTAGCTGATACAGCGTTCTTTCTACTAGCACCTTAGCTGCGAGCTGTCTCCAGCAATCTCTGGCAAGAAATACTGGTGTAGTTATGGGCGAATACGGCCTTTTCTAAGTTCAGAAGTGTTGGTATTCTGCGCCTCTCATGACCCTGCCGCCTCATGGATGAAAGTGGGCGACCAGTATTCCGTCTCTTCAGCCTGGCGATCTACCCAGACGAGCGAATCTGTCATAAGATCATCAATCACAGCCATAGAGCGAACGCGAGTCCAGCCGAGATTGAGTTGCAGCATTGATGTGGTGACATAACCAAGGACCTGTATAGCTTCGAGGACGGTGGTCTGATCCGTGTTGAGTTCCTTAGGAACAGAGCGGATCATTTGGTTGTGGCCGAGCTTCATGATGGTGAAGCCTGATCCGAGGGGACCGAGTGAAGATACGGCGCGCAGAACATCATCGCTAGACACATTATGAGCTCATTTTCCGGGTGGTCGTATAATCTGTAAAGGCCATTTGCTTACTCTGAAACCTCCATTCCTCCCCCAATACCCTTGCCCTTTTGAACGCGCTGCCGTACTTCCGCTACAGCTATTATACCCCCGTTCTCTGCCCGAGTATCTCGACAGACCTCCACCACACGCACTGCCAGCTCGAAGTAGAAATCATTTACGCTGCCTCCGAGCATCTGTGCCCAAAAGCTGCCACCGTCTTTCCCCCCACCACCGGCTGCTTTGTGATGTGAAGACGCCAGAGGGTCAACACCGATGGCGTTACACATACGAGCAAACTCGGCGCGGAAGGTTGGATTTGAGCGAATGTCTTTGGCGTGCGTGATGCTGAACTGGTGGAGAAGCTGCTGGAAGACGGAGAGCTGGGTTTGGAGGGAGTCGGACTGGGCGGACCGTAGGGCGTTGCCGTGGGAGGCATATTGCGCGGTGCTAATGTGGTTGCGCGTGAAGGCACTGAGGCCAACACCGCGGCGATTCGAGGACATGTTGTATAGTTTGAGATTGTTGGCTGGTGAGGATTGATGGAGGGGAGGGTCGTCGAGGAGTAGCACGTGCTGTTAGCAGGGATTAGCGCCCAGAAATGCGGCCCGGCAGCTGTTCCGTGATTACTAAGGCCCACCACACGAAAATCTACTTTCCTCAATCTTCTTCTTCGTCGATGCCAACAAGCCCGGACTCCGACAACAGCAGCCATGTCTCCCACCAAGAAGACCTCGTGAGTGTCTCCGCCTCTCCTGTGCTGATATCCGAGATGCAATTCAGATGGTCGGTCTTTCTCGCTGGGCTCGCTGCTTGTCAGCGCCAGCTCGATTCTTCCTGCGTCTCAGTCCTCTCAAGCATGGGCTTAGCTGCTCATCTTGTTAGAATGTGAGATCGGGGTATTGGGAATGAAGCAACCCTTCTTCCTCAAATTTATATGCCGTCCCCCTTGGGGTACGCGCATCTCTTCTCGAACTTCTGTTTGGGGTCTTGTCGATTGAGACAGGTCATTTGTCGCACGCGCGCTGGTCAGCAGCATTGCGATGGCATTGTCCTCTCCCATTGACCAAATACATATCATCGAGTTCAACCTCCAGTTGAGAATGCCGCACTGGCTGCAATTCTCTTCTCGGACTGTACACTTTTTGTGTTCACCAGACCATTCTGACCATTCTCGTGTATTGCAGGACCGCTCCCACCAAGGACTCCATCCTCGTCCCGGAGACCCTCTTGAAGTAAGCCGACCCTCAATCTACTCCATCGCCGTCACATACTCACAACAGTGCAGGAAGAGGAAGTCCCAGGAGAAGGAACGTGAGGCCCGGGCTGCGGATCTCCAGAAGAAGCGCAAGGTAGGCGCATACTCTCACATGTCTTGCAATTGGGAGGGAGATTATGGTGATGATACCTACCAATCATAACGACTAGACCCAGGTCAATGCTGTCGTCTTGTTAACCATCTTTCGGGACTGATCAGTCAACCTCCCAAATTGCTTTTGCATGTCTTTACGAATTGGAACTATGCTGATGTCCTTCCACAGGCCAACAAGGAGAAGCGTGCCGTCATCTTCAAGCGCGCCGAGTCGTACGTCAAGGAGTACCGTGATGTAGAGAGGGAGAAGATCCGCCTATCCAGGGAAGCCAAGCAGGAGGGATCTTACTACGTCCCAGCCGAGCCCAAGCTCGTCTTTGTCGTCCGCATCAAGGGGTATGCCGCATCCTTACCTTCTTTAAACTACAACAATTTACTGATGATGTCTTAGTATCAACAAGATCGACCCCAAGAAGAGGAAGACGCTCCAGCTGTTGCGTCTTCTCCAGATCAACAATGGTGTCTTCGTCCGCCTCACCAAGGCCACGTCCGAGATGTTGAAGATCGTTGAGCCCTTCATTGCCTACGGTTACCCCAACCTCAAGAGCGTCCGTGAGCTCGTCTACAAGCGCGGTTACGGCAAGATCGACAAGCAGCGCATCGCGCTGACGGACAACGCTATCATCGAGGAGTCGCTTGGCAAATACGGCATCATCTGTGTGGAGGATCTGATCCACGAGATCTTCACCGTCGGCCCCAACTTCAAGCAGGCCAGCAACTTCCTGTGGCCGTTCAAGCTGAGCAACCCCACTGGTGGTTTCCGGCCGCGGAAGTTCAAGCACTTCATCGAGGGTGGTGACTTGGGCAACCGCGAGGACAAGATCAATGCTCTCATCAAGCAGATGAACTAGGCTACGACTTCAAAAGTTTGGAACGGGATGATTCATTTGCTGCATGCATAAAAGGAACGGGGTGCCTGTATCCTAGGTAGCTTGCTGAATACCACGGTTGATACCTCTATGGCGTTCAGGACGGTTCATAATGACAGTCACGAGTGCCGAAATTATGAAATTTACCAATGCATTGCCACTGTGTGACGCTAATGGAAAAACACTGTTACCATTATTGGTGTCATATGCGAGTCGGACACCCATCTCCTTCTGGCTGGAGTGGATATACACTTGTTGGGGCAGAGTGGGATAGGCTGCCACTCCGAACTACAGCCGGTTGGATGGGCTGCCGATGTCTGCTAACGGTAAAAACGGTCAGAGAAGAACACGACGCAAGTGAGCCGTGCCCCTCGGCGGCAGATGGTGGTGATTGCTGGCCGCGTCAGAGGAAGGATGACCACAGGCAGAAATAATCAATCCATGCAAAGATGTGCTCTGTTGCCTGGCAGCGTTGTGCGCGACTCAGAGAGGTTTGAGACTTTGGGTGAGGATGTCGACTCGGTCTGGGCTGGGCGGATGACCGAGTGGCAGCAGCTGCTACCATCAACGTGACAGAGGACGAGTTTTCCGTGGGCTGCCGATCTGGAAGAAGAGGGAAGGATTTCACGTGCTGGGCCTTTGATTTGGGCGCATGCTAGCCAGAAAAGAAAAGGACGGTGTGTTGGTATGCATGGCGCCCACCAGCTTCGTGGGCAGAGACGGCACGAGGGCCGCTGTATGACGGAGTGGTAAGTCTGCTTTTGCCTCTCCCTCTCAGACTTCTCGATTTCCAACCGAACTCTGATGGCAGTGCTGCAATCGGACCCTGGCCGTCCGCGAACAAACCTGGCTAGCCGTCGCCGTCCCGAGTTGGTCCATCATCCTCGGTGCATCTCGTCCTGCTGCTTGACGTCGTCGCGGGAGCCGACCCAGACGACGGGCGAAGGGCGTCGGTAGCACCACCACACCAGGCCACAGATGCAGCGCAGACGCAGATGCAGCAGTGGGGTGGTGAGCACGAGCAGGACGGTCGTCGCCCCAAGACAGAGCCAATAAGTGCGCGCCCGGATGCTGCATCGGGGTCAGTATATGTATCGTCTGCGCGGACCGAAAGGAGCTAAATTTACTGCCTGCCATCGTGACTCGTAACGGCTGTCTCAAGCATGAGGCACCCGCTGCTGCACGCTGCGTCCAGCACGGGCTGCAGCGCGAGAGCAGTAGCCGCTCGTGGCCTCCGACGTGGCCGGCTGCTCGATCGAGGGAGCGTGGGTCGCCAGCGGCGGCAACGAGAGGGCGTCTGCTGCCGTCCCGACCAGACGCAGGACGCTGGAGCGCGGTGCTGTGCTGTGACTGTGGTGCGGTGCTTCTGCGCCCTCGCCCTGATGTTGGAGGATTGAGGCCACTCACCACCCGGCAGCGTGGACCGGCAGCGTGGACCGGCAGCTCTAAAAGCAGCTCTGCGCGGGCCGTGGAGCTGGGCGTGTCGCGGGCTGACGGAGGCGAAGCAGGCCAGCAGCAGGGCGGCGATGGGCCCGTCGTTGGCTCTAACCGTGGGCGGCCGAAATCAGGTCGAAAAAGGGGTCCTGGCCGTTCGGTGCGTGTGGAAACCCAGCGGCCGCTGATTGGCCGGCCCGACACTCTCTGTCATCCGGCGCTCAGCTTTTCCTCGCCGCCGTGGACCGACTGCCAGTTCGTTGGCCTCCACACATCCACCACCACCCGCTGCTCGCTCTCCGTCTCTCCATCACCACCATCCTCCTTCCGCCACCCTCTTCTCTCCGCACGCTGCTCGTCGTGTGCTGCGCTTCGCAAGCCTGCCGCCCCGACCGTCCGTCTACCCTCTCCCCGGTGGCTGAGTCGCTGCGCTTCTCCGGAGACGGACTCTTCGCTGAGCCAAAAAAGCCGCCTCGACACCCGCTGCCCTGCACAACACCACGTCGGCCCACGCCCTCGGACTTGACGACACGCTTCGACTTCACGACCTGCTTTGCACCTTCTAGCGTTCAGCGCCTGCTGCGTCCATCACTCGGCTTCTCATCCTCCCTCAGCCGCGACCTCGGGAACCCACGTCTACGTCTACGTCTACGTCTCTCCGCCCAGTTCCAGCTGCCTTCCAGTGGCGATCTATTGATTTAGGCTTCGTCCTGGACTCCGCATTGAGCGTGTGAACACGTCACGCCACCGCCGCCTCGGCCCGCGTCACCAAGCAGAGCTCGACGTTGACCGACGACGCGACCGACATTCACCTTCACCTGTGGAAGCCCACCCTCCGCGCCATCAACACACCTCATTCTTCCCGCAACATCCCATCGGCCCAACATCTTTGAGGAAACTCTGCAGGCCCCGCCGCATTGTCTGGCTGAGACTCACGCGCTCCATCACCTTCCGACCTGCTTTCCTCCTTTGGCAAAGTACCTTCAAGCAATCATCTTTGTGCATGAGAGGAGCTTATTAGCCCGCGTCCGCCGGTTCGCTGAAGAGCGTGCGCTCAGGTTTTCCTTCGGTCGGGAGTAGAGGAAACTGTACGTGCGCTTGACTAACTGGGTCAATTCCACAAGCTGACAACTCTTCAGGGTATTCTTGTGCCGGTTCCTCTTGTGCAATCGCCACTGCATCTGCCATGCCATCATTCTACCCTCGCAACATGCCCCGCCAGTTGCCTCTGACTCCTCCGGACTTCGTCCCCAGCTACAACACCAACGGCTGCGGCAATATGCAGCCCCAGCAGCCGCAGTACCCCACCCAGCAGGGCCAGCGACAAGATGAGGGTTACGATTTCGCCGATCGCTATGGCCAGCTGTCCATCGCGGTTCCGCCGATGTACCCACAGTCCGGCACCTATCTGAGCAGCGCGCCTCCGGCCCTGCCACCCTCAAATTCCTACTACGAGCCTATGGGTGCGCCCATCTTGCCGCCAATGCGCGTCCACAATGGCCCTCGGATGGGAGAAGCAGCGATGCATCAGCGCCGTGCGCAGGATCAGCCCCAGCGCAATCAGCCACCAAAGGAAGACAAATCCGTTGGTGGAGTGTCCGCGAAGCTGGACTACGATATGGAAGTCATGACTGACTTCGTCACCGCAATGGCTCACGGAATGTACGAAATCTACTCCCTTCGAATCTGCCTCGCAGACATTGACGTATTCCGAAGCATTTCACCAGCCAAAGAACTCCCCCCCTCATACCGTAGATGGGTCGGGCAAGTCTTGTGCGCGACTAGACTGCCTTCAGCCACAATCCTGCTCAGTCTGCACTACTTGTCCTCGCGATTGTCTATGCTCTCTACTGGAGGCGGGCCTTCTGAGGTTGACATGTATCGCACCGTCACTGTTGCTTTGATCATGGGCAGCAAGTTCCTCGACGATAATACATTCATCAACCGCTCCTGGGCAGAGGTCAGCGGCATCGCCGTGGCAATCTTGAATGAGATGGAGACAGAGTGGCTTATTGCCATTGACTTCAAGCTCCATCGCGACCCAGCGGAGCAGCAGGGCTGGTGTTCCTGGAATGAGCATTGGAAGGAGTATCAGCGGGTTCAGCTTCATCGCCCTAACACGCTTAGTCCGATCGACACTACAGTGCAGCGCCAGCGCGTTCTCAATCAGAACAAGCCGCTCCCACCGACACCCCTCCATCAATCGTTCGGTCAGTGTCCCGCGTACGAGTTTGGCCCGAAGCCGCAGTCTCAGTACAGCACTCCTGCCTACTCTCAGTACGATCCTTGGCTGGTTCCCCGCTCTGCGACCGACAACTCTCCTGCATCGGCGCCAACCACAGGGCCGACGACTCCGGAGTACTATGGTGGACCGGGTACCTGGGCGCCGCCCGAAGGCTATTCGCGACGTACCATGTTTGGCTTCTCCTCGCTGTCTCAGCCACCGCACCAGTCTCAGCCGCACCAGCAGCCAGCCAACTACGGCCCACCTGCTTACACGCCTCAGTACAACACACCGGTCTGGAGCAATCACCCGGTCAACTGCTCTTGCATGTACTGTGCCCAGAGACAGCCATCTTACTTCATGGCTCCAGGATATGGACCCCAGTCTGTTGCAGGCTAACCAAGTGACTAGGTGTGCGATGTCTGGTTTTCCCTATTGCGTGTGCTCCACCTCGGATGACTTCGATTCTGAGGAGACCTGAAAAGCCCTTCCGAGACTTCGGCATATGTCGTCTGCTTTCGACTCAGCAATTTCCCTTGCCATGGGTCACATAACTCTTTCCTTACAAAAGTTTCCATCGGTTGCAAATTGTGGCATCAGTTCTGCGGTTCTCCTTGTCTTTCGGTTATGATAGGGCTTAAATCGGTCCACTCTAGCGGTACTGTCGACAAAGCTTTTTCATGCTCTCTACGACTTTTCGAAACAGAGAGTTCGACGAAAAGTTTACGTCCCGAACCGGTACAATCTTCACTTCTCTGTCGTTATTTCGGATACAGATTCGAAACCCACCGGACCCGGGGGAAAAACCTTTTTCCTAAGTAAGTTTCATATGCATTGTAGATTTCCTAGTGTTTTTCCTGTCGGCTTTGAGTTTTGTTTATTATTCCCCTTGCGTCTCATTAGACTGGGTTTTGGCAGGGTGCACTGGAAAGCGAAATGCGAGGGGAGTGTGGAGTCCATTGATTTTGGTGTTAACATTCGGCAAGCGACGTGCAATCTTTTCTTTTCGCTTGGAAACGACTTTAGGTGTATGCCCGCGGCACTTTGGCGCGCGCCAGGCTTTCTTCATGACGGCCCATTTGCGAACACGACAGTCGGAGCACATTTTGCGGTTTCTTTGCTCTGCATATTTGGGGCACACATTTCCTTGGTACCTTTCTTGCCGCCATGGCATTCACCATTGCGAGGCGGCCGCCTTCTTTCCTTTCGACACACGATTCTTGCACAGCACAGTCACCCTCGCTGGGCGAGCGAGGTCGAGATGACGGGAGAACAAAACATTCGAATTCGGGTCGGTTTTCCTCTTTTCTTTTTTTCCTTATATCCCCCTTCTGCGGCCAATGGATGGCTTTTACGACTTTTCTTCTGGTTTCCATGCCCCTAGGTTGCGTTGCTTTTTATGCTTTTTTGTGTCTCTTCTTTTACGGTTCGACAAGTCAGCGGGACTTTTATGCTTTTGCACTACACCTTTTCCTTTCCTCTAGTCGGAGGAAGGCTTTTTGCGAATCACTCGGTTAGCTCCTGGTTGTAATTAATGGCATTTTCTGCGCGGAGACTGGACGGGGTTTGGTTTCCTTTTTCCTGTGGGTGACGGGAGCGTGGATCAGGATGGATGCTTCTTTCCTGGGGCGGGGCGGACTTTCTTGCTTCTTTTTCTTCTTGGAACGGCCAGGACTGCTTTTCTTTTGGCAGACCGAGTTGCTTCAAAAAGCGAGCCAGCGAGCGGAATGGGGGTTGTTTACAGCATTTGGCAGTGGAGTGGTTGTTTTGGGGCGGGAAAAACACGAACACACACACACTACCCTATATTGAAACTGAGCACAAAATCACAAAAAATAAATCCTGTGCGGGCGTGTTGCCTGCACCTATCTATCTTTTTCTTTGCTTTTTGGACTGCGTGAATTGGGGGTTGGTTGTGGAGTGTTGGTGGTGTTTGATATTTATGTGCTCGTCCAACTCGGTTCCTGGTTACAGCCATAGATATCCGTACATTTTCCTACCCCTGTGGGACTCCAAGGGACTAATAGAAAACTGAAGGTAGCGGATAAAACTTCCAATCTGCATACACCCTGTTAACGCTGTCCAGATGCTGGGGTAGCCTTACAGTTTACTAGTCGTTCCAAAATGCCGACCTTCTCTGCCTTTCGGGGTGCTGGAAATGCTGTGAAGCTCCTCACGCAGTAGTGAACGAATGTATGGCTGAAGGAGACAAGTGCTGCGCTTGAACAAGTGTCGTCGAGAGAGGGCTCACTGCTGTTAGCCACGGACACTGCCGCACTGAGGGTGTTGTTCCCTGACAGAGATTCTGCTCTAATGTCCATTGAGTCGCGTAAAAACGCATGCGAAAATGGAGTGACTAGTTCTGGGAGTGATTTTGAAATTGGCTTTTCGAGATATTACAGACTTTTTTAGCCCTCCTCCATCCGAACCGATTCCGTCGTCGTAGCGGGCGTGTTGCTCGTTGCTCCATACTGGACGAGGATCCGTTCGATCTTCTTCTCTTTGCATTCTTCCCATTCTTCTTCTCCCCATTCTTCTTCACTCACGAAATATTGAACCACATTGGGGCTCATTATCTTGACCGCTTGAATGCTCTCGAGCGACCGCGAACCATGAAGAGGTTTGAAAATGCTCATAGAAGTACTTTCATTCCAATCGACCCCTTGAACGATCTCGAGCGGCCGCATACCATGAAGACGGTTGAAAATGCTCATAGAAGTACCTTCATTCCAATCGACCCCTTTGCCGTCCCCGATGCCGTTCACATCTGCTCCCGCCTCGAGCAGAATTTTGACACCCACCAAATCCAGACAGTTGACAGCAATCTGCAAGGGTGTGACTTTGTATCCTGGAACGTTTGTGCTCGCTCCTAACTGGAGTATGCGTGCTAAAGGACAGTTTTCTTCACTATCACCATTGCGGTCGTGGTGAACGCATTCAATATGCGAGGAGAGAAGAGTCAGAAGAGCCTGTGAAGGATTGATGAAGTCAGCCGCATGCTCCATCAAAAACCAAAATGCCCTGTGTGTCTCTGAGTAACCAAAACATGCAAAGTACTCAACGATCGATCCCTGAAACTGAAACTGGAAGTGCTCTTTAAATTCTTTTTCGAGAAATCCGACATCCACGACGCTTTCCAATAACGCTTTGATATCCACCTTTCTCATGAATTTCTTTGCAACCTCAAGGGCACCTCCAATTGGCTTTGGGTCTTCAAATCCGTCAATCCATGTTAGTAGACTTATCAGGGGCGCGATCCCACTGGTGCTTGGGGGACTGTTCCACGTGATGTCCCAGAACGGAAAATCTCCATAGTACCCGGTCTGATCTGCGATTTCACGGTTATGTAAGATGTCTGCAAACTTCTGGAAATGGGGCTGTGAGGTATCCAATAGCTTGAACATCAAGTCAACTAGGTTTGCATCTTCGGCTAGCTCTTTGCCGTGGTCTTCTAGACCGTTTAGCGAGGCGATATTGCAGAACGTGTTGAAGTGGATAAACTCATCGAGCTCATCAGAGGGATCCCATGTATCATACTCCGGGTTTTGTGTTACCTCAAGCAGTGTGGTCCGCATCAATTCAAGGCTTGTGTGTTTTTCCTTTATAGCGAAGACGTTGGCGGGGGATGTTAGAATCCGGGGGGATTCCAAAAACTCCTTAACAGTGTAATGTGCAAATGACACAGTGTCAAAAAACTTTTTCGATTCCGTCACCATAATCAGACATCCGCAAATCTCGCGGAGTACTTCTTGATCGTAACAGAGTTCCATGTCTGAAGGATCGGATTCCGGCATGCTGTGTTCGATAGCTTGTAGAAGTAAGGGAATGGAAATGTTATCGTCGTATAACCATCCTTGAAACCAGATCCATTGCAGCGCAAGACGAAGGAAAATGCGATCTTCGTGTGGTATGGCCGTGAATATTCTTTCGTACGTTTCGTCCAGCGTCCTAGGCAGGTTTTGGAGAGCATTTCTTATGATCCGGCTTTCAGGTTTCAGGCGTTGCAGCGCATCAATCTGACAAACGGCCCAGCGGAACCTATTTCAAAAATCAGCATCAGTACTTCGAGAAAACCTTCAGTGGTTGAAACAACTATTGGAAAGTAAAACCCACATTCCCTTCGCTCCATTGGAAAGAGCTTCCACAACCTCATCTCGGATCTGTACAGGCCAGCTCTTGAGTTTTTGGGTGCGTGTCCACCCTAGCGCGGACGTACAATCGTATATCTTCATCGAGGAGTGGGTTTGACATGGATACCGGTACTGAGATGTTCTGCATGGTCCCTTCGATGTCAATGTACTGCCTGCTCATTGCTAGTAGCTGGATCTTCTTAAATCTGGGGTCGGTTGAAAGATCGCGAAGGATCTTAAGAAGGTCCTCTCGAGGCATACTCTCATCGATCGCGTCCGTAAAGAGGTACACCGTATCAAATTCATCCAGAACTGATTCTAAAGCGTTTAGGAGATCCACAACGCTTGGCTGTTCACCTTTTTTGAAAATTTTGTAGATACACGCAGGAATTGTTTCAGCCTCGCGACACAGGCGATTTAGAGTCCAACGTAGAAATGGCGCTGCTTCGTCCTGATTGTGGCCGAAGTAACAATAGTAGTAGGCGTAAGCACACCTTCTACTGCCTCTATTCTCGCAGAGACCCTTGATGTTTTCGATGAGATGTGAGGCTAGGACAGTCTTTCCAGCTCCGGGAATTCCGTGTATCCATAGGCATCGATTTCGGCCGTCGATCCAGTCTCTCCATTCAGGGGACCGCAACATCCAATCACCGGTCTGGGGTTCGAATTGTTTCACAGCTCGGTGATGCAGAGGAGACGGGTCAGTGACACCGAGCCACTTGTATATTTCATTCCGCTGACTTTCTTCGAATAAAGTGAGAAAGAGTGTAAGAAGAAATAAGCGGGTGAGAGCTACCTGTGAGGATTGTGTGCAGTTCTGTCGTCATTTTCTTGATCTCTTTGATATCTTGACTAGTTGAAGGTCAGCATGATGTTACACAAACGATCGTCACAGGATAAGTCTTGCTCCAGCTAAAGAAAGTGTACGGTCATCCCCTAGGCATTCCAAATAAGTTGAAAGGACGAGACTTCTTACCTAGAGTCCGTAGTGATCGCCAAACTGATCGTCGTCTTATATTGGACCAAGTCCGTAAGAAGTTTTCTCGCCTTGCTTTCTTTCAGAGGCCAAGCCAAAGCCGCAAACGCACTCCTAACCTTGGAGCTGCCGCTCGTTGGAGCTGGGAATAGCCCTTCTATCTTTTCAACCGTCTTCTTGCACCCTTCAATTGGGCCATCGACACCAAATAAATTGTACGTGTTAAGCACCTTTGACAATCCAACTCCAATTCCACACGTGAGAAGAAACTGCAAGTTCTCCAAGATAGTTTTCAAGGTCGATACTTCTATGAGCATCGCACGAAGGTCTGATGGCGCATCATGTAAACTTTCGATGTAGAATTTGCAGACCTTGATAACGGTTTCGGAAATTTGGATTACAGCGATAACGTTCGCGACGAGGCCGATGGCTTCGGCCATGATGGCAAAGTTTCTGGGATGAATGTGGTGAGAAACATGAAGCTCTGGAGGTGTGGAGGGTTCAAGTTGTTCTTATGCAAAGCTGAGTGCTGCGCCGAAACTCCGAGGCAGTGCAATGTGCAGGCGCATTTCTCATGCACGACACACCAATCGAACTCATTCGTTACTACCTTCGTAGGCGAAGCCAATGATGTCGGTTAGGCAACAAGGCAGCAAGGCTTTTTACCTGAGCACAGCAACGACGCCAAATACGCTAGAAGGAGCAGCTAGATGTACTCGAGGAGGCTGCTTTCAACGCATGCTCTCCCTGTCTCTGATGATGTTGACCGCCTTTTGATGATTTGAGGTCGATAAGGAGTTTATGCCTCGATGCCTTGACCGATATGACTGGTTCGCCTACTGTGGTGTAGCCTTTATTGCCAGCACAAAACTCGACCGATGTCCAAAATTAGGCAGACGTGAAGTGAAAGACCAGAGAACCCGTCTTTGTTGGGACCACGACGGTTGGTTCACGTGGCTCGAGGTTCCGAATCGGAAAACATGAGAGTAGACGTTTCAGAGAATAAAGACATTCTAGGAAGAAGTATGAGAGAACAACTAGTATTGCTGAGGAGGATAAGATTGAAGAAAGAATTATTTGAGCCGTCTGTCCGGTGTAGACAACCAGATGGCCTTGCTACACGCTTGTGGAAGGCTTGTTTTAATAGTTACTAGTCTGCTGCCTCCGCTGCCTAACACGGACGCTGAGCGTTGCCCCGATTCCCCAACCTCAGATTTGCTAGCTGGAAGCCAGTGTCAAGTGTTGCAGGAAGGCCTTGGCCGTGTCGTATGCAGTCCGACTGCTCCTGGATACACGCTGGAGAGGCCCGAACCTGGGACTTGGAGTCCAAAGCGGAAATGGACTTTGGTCGGATCAATTGTGAGCTGGGAAAGCATTGCGTATCATCTGATAACGGAGCGTTCGTATAATTAGCAGTAAATACCAAACCGCTCTCAGGAGAGTGTGTAGGATTCTGCTCTGTCCCGTCAAGGCGGAGAGGGCCCGGTAGATGGGGCTGAGTCCGGAGATGTGATGCAGGGGACTGTTTTTGAGTTTGTGCGACCCCGAAGCTCACATCCAAAGTGGCCGCGTGTTGTTCAGCTCGTGACTCCACTGCTGTCGGGCTTGATGAAGGGCCGTGTGGCTGCAAGGAGAAACGATTGAGTAATTAGCCGTCGAGATTTTCGCAGCCACTTACGGCGGGCGGGCGTGGAGTTGTGGAGAGCGAGGGGAGCCGGGCGCTGCCATTCGCCCTGACGCGTATCCAAGCGCGTTTCAGTTCCTGGTGGCGTCGCTGTTCCTGCGTCTCAGGGACCATCCATGCAGTAAATTAACCGGGCGTCGCTCTCCACGCCACTCTTTGCAGCTCTGACGCAGGAGCCCTTAGACTGCCCAGCCCGTCCACGAACTACCAGAGACATCAGTCGCTCCTTTTCGAATCCTTCTTCTCTTCCTCCACCGCCAACTTCGAAGTGCTCGACGTGCTGGCCTCTGCCTCTCTTTCCTTGCTCTTTCTTCCCTTTGCTCGTCCTGAATTGACGGCCGGCCTCCGTTCAATTGCTCTCTCCCCCACCTTCTCTTCACACTCGTTGCGTCGAACGCCCGCGGATCATTCCTGAGAATCGGCATTCCTGCCCCGGCCTCCACCCCACAGATTCACCACTGTGTCCAGTGCTCCAGTGCTCCAGTGACGACACACGACCACAGCCAAGCGTCCCCGGTTCCACACGCGCCTCTGTGGCACCCTCGCTGCGCGCATCTCCATGTCAACCTCCCCGAACCAACACCGATTCTCTCGACAAGGATTCCAGCCTCTGGACCACCAGTCCTCTTCGGCAAACAACGCGAGCATAGCTACCATGGAGAATATCCCCCTCGAGACGGTCGTCAGCCATACCCCCTCGCACGCCCGCACTGTGCAGGACGACTCCATGACCGAGAAGAGCGGCATGTTCCACCGTAGCCCTCATGGCAGGAGGCGCCTCAAGACTCTCGACTCCAAGACGGGCGCCGGCACTCGTCCTGGAGCTGCCGAGGAGGACACGGCCTTGAACCGCATGGGCCGCATATACGAGATGATTCTCAACTTCAGCATTGTCACTCGCTACTTCATATATGTCCTCCCGCTGGCGCTTTGCCTCGCCGTACCCCTCATTGTCGGCGCTACGGTTGCTGAAAAATCGACGATTGGCAAGGTTAGGATTGTGTGGATCTTTACGTGGCTTGAAATTGGTAAGGGAATGAAGGCTTGAGATATATGAAGAGGATTTGACTGACATATGGCTAGTATGGCTGAGCTTGTGGATCTCTAAGATCGTCGCTCATTTCCTACCCAACATATTCGAGTTTGTTGCCGGCGTAGTCAGCGCTGGCGTACGTAAATACGCACTGATACTCAAATCTCTGGAGATTCCTCTCTCGATAGTCGGTTGGGCTATGGTTTCGCTGGCGACCTTTATTCCAGTAAGCTTGTGCAGCTTCATATCATGCAGGCAGGACTAATTAGTGTATCAGGTCACTTACTCAGTTCCAACCGCTCATGGCGAACACAAGGGAAATGTGGAACACTGGCAAACTATCGTCCGCCAGGTTCTCGTCGCGTGCTTGATTAGCGCCTGCATCCTCCTTGGAGAGCGCCTTCTCATTCAGCTCATCAGCATCAACTACCACCGCAAACAGTTCGATTCCAAGATCAAGGACTCCAAGCACAACATCTACCTCCTAAGCCTTCTCTACGACGCATCGGTCGCCCTATTTCCTGCTTATGGCAATGATTTTGCGGAGGAGGACTACATCATCCAAGATTCATTGCAGCTCAGCTTAGGAAGTAAAAAAGGCACCCATGCACGATCTGGGTCCGCGACTCCTATGCGGCTGCTTCAGGATGTGGGTAGATTCGGAGACAAGGTCACTTCCGCTTTTGGTCACATCGCACATGAGGTCACCGGCAAGAAGGTCTTCAACCCAAATTCGGCTCATTCAATCGTAATCGAAGCCCTAGAGAAGAAGCGGTCCTCTGAAGCTTTGGCCAAGCGTCTCTGGATGTCTTTTGTTGTGGAAGGAAAGAATGAACTTTACCAAGACGACATTGTTGAAGTCCTTGGCAATGGTCGCCAGACCGAAGCCGAAGAGGCTTTCTCTGCCCTCGATCGTGACGGGAATGGTGACATCAGTCTTGACGAGATGATCTTGACTGTCACCGAGTTTGGTCGCGAGAGGAAGTCAATCGCTACTAGCATGCATGATGTAGATCAAGCTATCAATGTTCTCGATGGGTTATTGTCCGCTGTTGTGTTCCTCATCTGCATATTCGTCTTCAGTAAGTCCTCCTTTTGCTGATATCTAATATCACCTGCTAACCGAAATAAGTTGCCTTCCTCAATGCAAGCTTCGTCACTACCTTGGCCACCTCGGCGACTGCCCTTCTCTCCCTCTCCTTCGTCTTCGCAGCCACCTGTCAAGAGGTCCTAGGTTCCTGCATCTTCCTTTTCGTCAAGCACCCCTTCGACATAGGCGACCGCATTGATATTGGACTCGATCAATTCACCGTAGAGCACATCTCGCTCCTCTTCACCGTCTTCAAGCGCGTCGCCACGGGTAAAATGGTTCAAATTCCCAACATCGTCTTGAACAGTGTCTGGATCGAGAACGTCAGCCGGAGCAAAGCTATGCGGGAGCAAGTCGCCATGTTTGTCAACTTTGACACCACCTTTGAGGATATTAAACTCCTGAAGAATGAACTCCAATCTTTCGTCACCGACAGAGACAACAGCCGCGACTTCCAGCCCGAGATTGAAGTTGAAGTCGTCGGCATCGCAGAGATGAACAAGCTCGAGCTCCGCGTCGAGATCAGGCACAAGAGCAACTGGGCCAACGAGGTCGTCCGGTCCGCCCGCCGCTCCAAGTTCATGTGCGCCCTCGTCCTGGCCTTCCGCAAGGTCCCCATCTACGGTCCTGGCGGCGGCGACGCCGGGCTAGGGGAGTACGGCAAGCCGTCCTGGTCCGTCGCCATCTCGCCCGAGGAAGCCATTCACGCGCGCGAGAAATACAACGAGGATAAAGACGCCAAACGCCTCTTCCCAGCCAAGAAACCCGAATCCCCAGACAGCCAAGACAAGGGCAAGTCCAGCGGCACTGACTACCTCGCCGCCGCAGGCGCACCGACCGAGAACAAAGCAGCCGGCAACCTGAACGCCCGCAACCCAGGGGCGACCGACGCGCGCGACGACGCGTGGGAAGCCCGCGACGACGTCAGCACGCTCGGCCGCCCGAGCACCGAACACCCGGACTTCGAAGAGATCCGCGGCTTGCTCCGGAAGGAGAGCAGCAGGGGCAAGCGCAAGCAAGGGCCGGTCGTCCAGCAGCCTAGGCAAGGCATGCCGCCTATCCCGATCCCTATCACGCCGCAGCAATCGCAGCTGCCGTCGCCGCCGGTGGGGAGGTACGACTACGCGCCTGCGCCGGGGCGGTCGCCGCCGTCGGTGGCGGAGGAGGGTTATCAGAATGAGGTGGCTGGGACGAGTAGGCGTCCGGTGCCGCCGCCGCAGGGTAATGCGTTTGCGGTGAGTATGCAGCGGCCGGTTCAGGCGCCGCGGTTGACGGGTGTGGCGTCGAATAATCCGTATCAGCAGCCGCCGGGGGGCCAGCAGTATAGGCCCTAGGTGCTTGGGTTTGGTCTGGCTTTGCGAAAGGTGGGTTGAGGATGGGGATGTGTACTATGAATCTCTTTTGTGCTCTGGGATGAAGATGGGGGGATGGCTGGTGGGATGGGCTGGTGGTGTCTACGATCGAATTCAGGTCTCTGGCTAGTCATGGTTGGAGGTGGGTATGCTGGGTCTGGATTTGATGCCAGATGCGGATGACCTCTTGCTCGTGCTCCCTTCTTTGGGAGGCACGGATAGGGTAGGTAAAATAAACAAATGTCTCTAACATCCTCTCATTACTCCCTCTTAGTGAATTGTTGTGACGACGGCAGTCAGCAGTTGAGGAGTCGGATGTGCAGACTGATAATTCTGTTTGAGAGGATTGTTTGAGACGACGAGGCTAGTTGATAAAGAACATGTGTGGTGCTCGATAGGAGTATATGGGCGCGAGATTAGTCACTGGGTTGGATAGACCATACTGGAAGGTGACATAGGGATCTGGCGTGAGAGAGAGGGGGTAGAGGGATGGAGTGGCAGTGTTGTGTTCATGAGGGGCTCGGTGAGATGGGAGGTTGAGCGGGTTTGAGTGGGGGAGGGGAGAGGAGGGGAGGGGAGAGAGGAGAAGACTACTTGGTAAAGGAGGGGATGGGGGGGTTGAGCGGGTTTGAAGTAGGGGTTTAAAGGGGGGACGGGTGGTGACGGGTGGTGACGGGTGTGAGGGACACGTTTTATAATGGTGGTGAGCTGGTTGATTCGATTTGGTGTTTGGGAGCGGTTGGGTCAGGTGCGATAGTTGCGTCGAGTGTATTTGGGACGGGTTGGTTGGGGGTGAGTGATCATTCCGTATGATAACTTTCATCTCATTTGGATGTTGCGAAGTGGGTCGAGGCGCCCATAAAGAGCAAGGGAGCTTACATAATGATGAATGAGAGACGTTTACGGCGCTAGAGAAGTCGGACTTTCCTTCGTACTGCTCCTATCTCTTCCTGAAATGAAGCAAGGTCCCCTCGCCAGTCTACGTCCATCATTCCAACACGAGAAGCCGAATCCCCGACCTTTTCAACCACCATCATGTAGACTTTTGTGGCCTCGGGATCAAAATCATCCGTGTAGCTATAAACAATCGGGAGGTACCATTGCTTCGTCTTGAAAAGGATTGGGAGCTGGTCGAGGCTGTGTCCCTTTGACAAGTCTATACTTGCCTGGAAGACGTCGTTAATGCGCCACTCCTTCCTTGAATACCATTTTTCAATGGTGGTTTTAACAAAGCTCTCAGGGTAAACGACCGCGCATTCAAGAATTATCGCTCTTGGATACTGGACGTCTGTTGGCGTTTAACATGCCCTCTTAAAGAAGGTCTCGTGGGTCTCTAAACCATGCGCTTCATGTTCAAACCACAGGTTCGAAATGGCGACCATATAATCCCCCCTCTGTCTATATCAGATCTAAGAACTGAACACCATCTCCCCACCCGGCCCAGGACCAGGAAGGGACGTCTGCTCGTCGATGAACGTCATCAGATTTGTCTCTCTAACCGAGGTGACTCCAAGCTAACCCTAGCAGGAACGCGTGTAGCGCATCTTCAGCTTCGCAAGGCTCCAGGAAAGGCATCCCCCACACTTGAAAGACAGGGCACCGAGCAGCCGCGAAATGGTTCATGACGCCCGCAAACGCTCGAAGTGCATCAGTATCAAAAGTAAGATGTCGCCCCGAGTAGTCCTGCACATGAAGTATTTCTGCAAGCTATCCCACGCGTTATCGATGCCGGGCGCGTCGAGTCTGCTATCCAAAAACACATTGCCCCTTATGGAGTCTCTGCTTGCGAGGATGAGATCAGGGCTGAGCTGTAGACCTTCCTGCCAATACATTCCGTGGCATTCGAAGTATATTTGTTCTTCGGTGAAGATGACGCGTCGGTGGGAGAAGATCTCCTCCTGGAACGTCCAGCCGCGTTGCCTCCAGGTGGACTCTGTGATAGCGTAAACTATAAGGGTGGCGGTATGGATTAGTGGAGGCTCGCAGAGAGGGCACCGAGTAGTTGATACTAGATCCGTCTGTTAAGCTCTTTGAAATACGATGATGTATCGTAAGTCTGTACCTGTGTACTTTTGCCTGTCACTGTCTGAAGGCCTTCAATGCAGTTCTAAACCTGTGAAAGCTAATTCCAGATTCCCGAAACTACCGTGAACTCCCTCAAACAATGGTAGACTCACTTGAGATCAGAGCATCACCTTAGACATGGTAAGAATGCAATACAAGAACTGCACATGTGGCCTGTTGCTCTAGGTGGCTGACATCTAAATAGTAGCAAGGACGTGTACCCAGGTAGGCAGATCTTGGACGAGGCGTTGTGTTGATCGGATTCTGGAGAGGGGCAAATATCCACGTGACCGCGTGGCCCGTGCTCAAACCTCGATCTTTAATCGCGTCAACCTCAACCTCACTTTCTCTCCCGGCGTCGCTGCACCGCCGTGTCGCCACCACGCCTGCTGCGCCCACATTCTTTGCTCGCAAGCTTCAGCCCGGACTTCAGCTAACTGTAACAAGCTTTTACAGTCAAGATCTACCAAAACCGCCCATCATGTCGAACCACCACTTCCCAGACATCCAAAACAAGCTCTCCGCACCGGTCAAGCTCTCAGCATTCGAACGCCGGAAACAAGAGGCCGAAGCGAAACGCCGGCGCGAAGCAGCAGAGGACGCAGCAGCTATAAAGCAAGCGGTGGAAGACATGCAAGCAGGCGATGAGGGCGATCCTCTACCGACGACCGAAGCCAAGATCAGCAATATGGGGGGGTTTGGGAACGCGCCACATCCGTCGAGACACTTTGCCGGGAGTTCAATGGGATTCAGGCTGCCAGAACAGCAGCCGCTACCGCCAACACAGTCGCTACGGCCGCTGGCGCAAAAGAGACAACGTGAGAAGTCGCCCGAGCTGGCAGAAGATGACATCTTGAGCTTCATAGAGTCGAACAAGAAGGCCAAACCGGGCAATGCGGAGCCGCGTTCGCGAAATGGCTTAAGAGCGGCGTCATGGGGATCATCGGACGACTCGAAGGCGCACCCGCGAAGTGACGGGCGCAAAGCAGCATTTAGGGATTCGAACGATTCGGATGTCGATAGTGTTGATAGCGAGCCGGATCCGAACGAGCCCAAGCCGCTGGTTGACGTATGGAACATACCGATTGACATGTCTTTAGACATGATCGAAGCGATGATCGACAAGATGATGCCTGCGGGCCGGGAAGCCAAAGAGGTTATTCCCATGCCGCCAAAAGGCCCGATTGCCAATTCTGGAGGACGCAAGTCGAAAATCGCTACGGTGAGACTGGCTCGTGGACTGCTTGCGGCAGAGCTCGACCAGGTCGCAGCAGCTTTTAATGGAAAGTATGCGGGCTGGGGATATTACTTGCGTGCTGCCCGCCAGACAACTTTCATGAGTGAATCCATTGACCACAATGCTCAATCACTTTATCCTTTCGGTGCCGTGCCAGTCGCCAACCGTGGAAAGGGCTCTGGCGGCAATCAAGTAGGTAATTACGGCGACAACCGTGGAGGGAGCTACAACGACAATCGCGGATCAAGTTACGGCAACAACCGCGGAGGAGGTTACGGGGAGAATCGCGGACGCGGATACGGCGACAATCGTAGCGGTTACGGCGACAATCGTGGAGGCTACAACGACAATCGTGGAGGCTACAACGACAATCGTGGAGGCTACAGCGACAATCGTGGAGGGGGCTACGGCGGCAATCAAGGAGGGGGCTACGGCGGCAATCAGGGAGGGGGCTACGGCGGAAATCAAGGAGGTAATTACGGCAACAATCGTGCAGGAGGTTACGGACGGAGTCCTGTAGGCCCTCAAGGAATGCGCGGCGCCCCAAATCAAGACAAGGGTGGTGGATATGGACAGCCGAACTATCAAAATGCTAGGAGAGGCAGCCAGGATTTCTCACAACTAGAGGTGAAGGTTACTCCCCCAGCTGATCTGCAGCAAATGAGGCTCATCCACAAGACGGTTGAAGGGGTGCTTACGCACGGTGTTGCGTTTGAGGCTCTACTGATGTCACTTTCGGATGTACAGAAGCAGGAGAAGTGGGCTTGGATCTGGGATGCCAGGAGCGTAGGCGGCATATGGTACCGATATCGCCTTTGGGAACTAAGCAGGCCTCGCCGTTCTCGCCGCCCATCTAATTCCAACGCCCGACGTGGTTCCAACGGGGGCCTCATCCAACTGGTCTTCGACGAAGGACCCACGTGGGTGGCACCAACGGACGTTCCGAAGTTCGAGTTCATCGCCGAAATCTCAGAATTCAAAGACGATCCCGACTACCACGAGTCTGACCTCGACAGCGATGACGACGAAGGTGGCGGCCGCCGCAGCTTCAACGACGGAACCGGCCCTCCACCCGAAGACCACCTCCAACCCAAGCTCGCCTTTCTCGAACCGCTCGCGAAAGCGCAACTTACGTGGCTGCTGGCCCGTCTGCCGAGCGAGATGACCAAACTTCGCGCCGGCGATGTCGCGCGCGTCACCGACTTCGCTATCAAGCACTCTGCCCGTGGCAGGGAAGAAATCGTTGACATGATCATCCTGAACGTCGAGAAGCCCTTCTGCTTCACCTCCGCCAACACCAATCCAAAGCCAACAATAGAATCCGCCCAGCGCTCCATCGAGCCTCCGACTGACACCACCGACAACCCTAGCTCCGAGCTCGGCCCAGCCAAGCAGCAGCAGCCCGTCGACGCGTCCTCCCCAGCCAATCTCTCCACCGAGCCTGTCGACATCTCCTCTGCGAAACTCGTCGCCCTCGCCGTGATCTACGACCTTTGCGTTGCCGGCACCGACCACAGCCTCGGCTTCACCATCAGCTCCTGGCGCTATCCCGTCGATTTCGCGTCCGAGCTCACACGCCGTCGCGTCTTCGCACACCTGGGCCGCCTCGACCGCGATCTCGGCTGGGGCAAGATGCGCGCGCGGCGCTGGAAGATTCAGATCCACAACGTCCTCGACCTGTGGAAGGAACGCGGTTTCTTCACTCCAACCACCATGCAGGAGCTTGCAGACCAGTTTGCGAATCCGCCGCTGACAGCACGCGAGAAGGAGATTGAGGCGCGGGAGGCGGCGGAGCGCGCGCGCGTGCAGGCGAAGCGAGGGAAGGTGGAGATTAGAGCTATTATGCCTGCGGATGGCGAGGGCAGTGAGGGTGATGAGGGCGGTCTGGCGTCGGTGGACAGGGAGCAGGAACGCAAGGAGAAGGTGCAGTTCTCGATGGCCATGGGACCGCCGCAGGGTCGGAAGCGCAAACCGCAGGTTTTGTGAGCTGGCTTCTGGTGAGGTGGAAAAGGGGCGGAGGCGCCTTTGGCTTGCTGGGACTACGGTCAGAACAGTAGCCTGTATGATATGATATGGATGGCTGCGGCCTGAGTATGAAGGGAGAGATAGTAAATCCGAGCTTAGCTCGGTCAGAGAATGCGAATTGCAATTCACTGATATATGGTTTGCCAACACCGTGACGGCGTCTAAAACATCCCAATGCATAAAAAATTAACCTTAACTGGATGTCAAGTTCGTCACGTTGCAATTCAGACTACTAAATATGGGACTAATCTCACACCTCCATCACTGCGTGCAGAAGCTTCGGCTTTCTAAGCTAATTTAGCTCTTGATTGATATATATCTCTCCCCTCTCTCTTGGTTCAGAAAACCCAAATGACAATTCACTGTTCAATCGTTTGACAACCCCACGACGGGGTCTGAAGCCCTCCAGCGCATCCGAATATGTCTGAATTGGATGTCAAGATCTTCACGTTGCAGTCCAACCCAGCATCTACGCACCTACTGAAACCGATCTCACACAGCTCTATGCACACGGACTCATCACTACCTAACTCCAATTTTGCGCACTCGACACCACTGTGAGGAGCAGTCCAGCCAGTTAAGCAGCTAGTTAGTCAAGAAGAGGGGGTCTGATTCGCACGACTTGGAACTTGACATCGGACCTAGGCTTTTGAAATACTGTGGGGGTACCCCAAGCGGTAGTGAACGCGTGGGCGTAGGCTTTCGAATTGGTGCGATAGCTTGGTTTAGAGAACGCGAAATGGGGTTCATTGATGAGTGGTTTGGCGGCGTGGTGACGGCGTCTGGAGGGTCTTAATGCATCAAGAATGATATGGATTGGATGTCAAGGTTGTGACGTTGTATTTCGGACGACTATCTAACGCGACTCATATTGAGCTTTCTTCTGGACTAGAAACTCTAAAATGTAATCCACTAATGAGTGGTTTGATGGCGTGGTGACGGCGTCTGAAGGGCTCCAACGCGTCCAGAATTGGCTGGATAGGATGTCGCCATCTACACGCCTACCCTCACACCCCCATTACCGCACGCAAAAGCTCTAGACTCGAGTGCTGATTCAGCTGCTCTTGATTTGATATACATCTCTCCACCCCCTATTCCCCCCCCCTCCCCCCCTTCTCTCTCGCCCATTTCCCAAATACCAGATGTCCATGGTAATAGCATGCTTGAACCCCTTCCGTCCGTCCCCGCCCGCCCGCACGCCACAAAAAAAAGGAGAGAACCACCCAAAAGCCGCCTCCAACCAGTTCAACGCAACCAAAAGAAAAGGGAAACAAGACACGCAAAAGATCAGTAGAAGAGGCCCACCCAGACCAAACTGTAGACTTACAAAAACATTGTGCCAGAAAGGGAGAATAAACAGATCGACTGGATCAATCACTCAGTCGATCGTGATGATATCGGGCCCACCGCCACCACCACCGCCACCGCCTCTATTATTACCGTTCCGCCCCTGATTCTGTCGGTTATTCCCATTGACACCGGGCCCGCCTCCCTGACCTCCGTTTTTCCTCGGTGCCTGTTTCTGCTCCCGGTTCTGATTCTGATTCTGATTATGAGCCAGCAACGCCTTCGCCGCCGCATCCTTCTGCAGCTCCAGCTTCGCCCGCCCAGTAGCAGCCGCCGCCGCCGCCTGGGGCTTCACGGCATTCGCATTCGCATTCGAGATCCCCAGCCCAACCACCGGCTGCGGAGCCCCCTTACTCACATTCGCATTCCCCCTCACCACCTCCTCAACTACAGGCACTTCCTCTGCACCACCGCCCTTAGTCGCACACCCCCTTACCACCCCATCCAACCTAACCACCGCCTTCGCAACCCCCTCAATACTCGCGACAATCCCCGTCCGCAGCCCCTGCCACCCCCCCTCGGCCCCCTCCTCTCCCGCTCCCTCCTCCAACCCCCCCGCCTCGTTCTCCCGCCACAGCTTCTCCAGCGCCTTGCGCAGTGCCTCGCTCTTCGGCGCCGGCTTGGCGCGCTGGTCCGGGTTCGCGGCGCTCGCGTCTTGGACATGCCACACGTGCCGGTCGTGCTGCACGCGCAGGTTAGCATCGAAGCTCACGCGGGGGTTCGTGTACACGAGGCGGAACGCGTCGGGCGCGCGGGCGTGGATCGCCGGCTGGGTTACCCTCTGTCCCGCTGTCTCTTTGCCACCTGAGCCTGTGCCTGTACCCTCAAGCTCAGCGTCGCTGGTGGTGTGGAGAGAGTCCAGCGCGGAGAGGAGCGGTAGTGTGGCGAGTAGGTGGTAGGTGAAGAGGTTGACGGCGGCGCGGAAGCGGGCGGCGTCGTGGCGCTGGGCGTTGAGGCCGGCGGCGAGATAGGCGCGGATGCGGTTGTGGGGGTTGTTGCGGGGGAGGGTCAGTTTGATGGGCGCGTCGGGCGCGAAGGAGACGGTGGCGGTGCAGGCGCCGCCGCTGCCGTAGCGGAAGGTGATGCGGTTGGGCGTGATGCGGTCGGCTTGGAATTTGCGCTTGCGCAGGATGCTGATGAAGTTGAGGAGGTGAGTGATTTCGCGGAGGCGTGTCGAGAGGGGATTGTCGAGGGAGGTGCCGAAGGGGACGGAGATGAAGATGCGAAAGTTGGAGTTGTTTTCGCCGACGAATTTGATGTCGGAGGAGTTGGATGTGCGGACGATGGTTGCGGTTTCGTGCTCGAAGCCCTTCGCCATTTCACCGCTGACAGAGAAGAGAACGGTAGATTTTGCCGAGTCAAAGGACTCATATTTGATGCGCATGACGTTGCGGGCCCACGGTTCGGCATCTTGCTGGTCGGATTTGAGGAATTCGTCGGCGGAGATCCAGAGAGAAGAGACATCAACAAGTTTTTGGGCGGCTGTTCGGCTCTCGAGAGGTGATGAAACCTTGTAAGGGACCTGTCGTTGCACCAGTGAGCTCGTTGTAGCAGACAGTGTTATCTCGGCCACCGCTTTACGCTGGATTGTAGTCATGACATCCCGCAAAGCAAGATCATTTATGGCTGTGGACGAGTCGCTCTGAATCCGTTCGGCGGTCTTGATTTTTACCCCTGGATAGCTAGGTTCTGTGTCGATGGCCCACCAAGACACACCAGACAGGTTGAACACGCCCGCCAAGACCCAATTTTGTGTCCAGCCTCTTGCTCGGAATAGTGTATGCTGTACTACATCCTGCTTGATTGCTTCCTTGATAGAATCGGTTCGAATGTTCATAAATGGTTTTGCCCAGCCAAGCAGTTGCGCTTGCTTGTCCACAGCAGTTTGAAGACTTGCGCAGAGTATCTGAGGTATCGTGTTGCTAATGAAGGATATAGGGTCCGGCGTAGCACTAGCTTTCTGTTCTATAGATGCAGAGATAGCCGTGCAAGGCTGCATGGCAAAGCGGCCAGTTACTGGATCCACCAAAACAGTCGTCGAAGTTGCGGAGGTTCCGAGATTGACCTCCAGCATGCAATCAGACGGTTCCGTGTCCGAGGTAGAGACTTCAGTTTTCAAAGTTGATCCTCCTCGAGCGGCTGCCACTAAACGGTCCCGAATGGTCTCAAGCATGTAGCCAATATGATGAGCTATGACCCTTCTCAGCATATTTTCCATGGACAGTGAATCCCAGTCAAATGATATTTCCGACTCTTTGACCTCCAATCCTTGACGAAACCAGCGGACGGATAATTGCGGAGGAGTAGGGCCTTTCCAGCAGATCTTCCCATTCTTGGGTTTCCCGCTAACGATTCCAATCTCTATCCAACTCTTCTTTCCCGGAAGCTCGGTCCAGTACTGCACAACGAGAGACCTGCGGACTGGTTCTACTTTGATCGATCCTGCCCAATTCCCGGCTGTTAGTTGGTACGCCTGGGCCTTCAATATGGCAATCTTATGGGTAAGGACGAGATTATGCAGAAAATCAAAGCAACCACTCAGTCCAGATGCGCTCAATACTGCGTTTGCCTGTGTTTCAAGCGTAGCCCGAAAAAAGCTATCCGGGATCTCTGGAGCGGGCGAGAAGAGGAACCGGAGATCAACAAACCACCACGGTCCTGACGAGTCTTCTGTGGATGTGGCAACGTCTAATTCGAATTCTCCGGGTACTGTAAAGGTTACGCGTCCTGATCCAATTTTCCATTGCTTGAGGTGCCGTGGTAGTTCCTCGTGAATATTCAGGCGAAGAGCGCACCGTACGTTGCCGTCCCTCCAGAGCTTCAAGATTTCCTGTGGAGAAAGGGGTTCTGGTGGTATGTAGTCCATCTATAACAATGTTAGCGAAAATGGTACTGTAGTATATGGTTTTACACACATCTGGCATCCATGATGCTTTCCCGGTCGCAAGAACCTTTAGAGCCGTATTTATATCGGGGCTCTTGAGTGTTGCATGCTCCATCTCCCGCTTCATGTTGCCCATAGCGTCTACAACGGCGTTATAACTCAACGCTTGGTCCCTTAACCATGACGAGACGTCTATCAGTCGTTGGACCTGCTCGGCACGACGGCTCCAAGCGGAAAGGACAAGCAGCTTGACAAATCTAGTCCTGTGGTACTCGGCAAATTCCATCATCAATATTTTCTTCTGGATATTGTTGGGGTGCATATTTCCGTTTCCTGGCCCATTGACGGCATGATTTCCAAGGCCATTGGTCAAGCCAGGCTGCTGGGCGACGGGCAAGTCGGCCATCTTGGGAATTAGCTCTTGTAGGCCGAGAAAACATTCCTGGACGACGCGGGACAAGAGGGTGGACACTTTGCTGTATACATCCTGGCCGTATGCGTCGCTGTTGGTGATGTGAATGATTTCGGGCGGGAGGTCCAGTAAAGACGCTGGTATGTCGACCTGGCCGGCGACAATCTGCTTCCCTCCGTTGATGGAGAAGGCGCCACCCCTCTCCGGCGGAGCTATGGCACGATCTCCATTCGTGGCTGGCTTGGTATGTCCCGGCGAACGCATAGCGTCGCTATTGCGGTCGTGAGGGCTCTTGGCCCCGGCAGCACCATTCGCGCCATTCTGATTCATGATGAGGAGTCCTGGCATACTCTTCTCCGCACCCTCCAGCGCCACGGCGCGCTCGCCTCGCCTTCCGCTATCCGGGGGGTCCCCCTCTGCTGCCACCACTTCTTCGGGTCGCGGGCCGGCCGTTTGGGTGGTGGTGAGGATGGAGAGGCGCGTGGAGACGTGGACGTGGATCGGGGCGGTCCAGGTTCTTTGTCTGTTGTCGCAAAGAAGCTGCCGCGTCGCAGGCAGGAAAGGCTGTCTCGGAGCGCTATGGCAGCTGAAGGCAGGAGCACAGGACGCGGTGTAGGGTAGCAACGAGCGTGGAGGAAAGGACTGGCGTTGGCGCAGGGAGGAGGTTGGTCTCGTTATCTCATTTTCAGGGCAGCAAGTCCGTGGAAGAGTCGCAGACTTGGGCACGCGCGAGGATGCGCGGGCAGTCGAGAGGGCGATGGAGACTCTCGGGCGCAGAGGAGAGAGGGTGTAGAGGGTGAATGGGCTGGGCGTCGGGGGGTGCGGCGTGAGGAGGTTGTTTGAGGTGACGGAGCAATCGTGGGCCTTGGGGCGGCGGGAGGCTGTCCACGCTCGACGCCAGCCCTAAGCAGGACAGGCCTTTGACGAGTGAGGCTTGGCGGGGAAACAAAGCAATTGTGGCGAGTGAAATGAAGCGCTGGCGGCTCGACGGCTGGCAGCTGCGGGCAGTGTGATCAGGCAGGACTTGCGACTGCAAAGTGGCGCGTCAGGCAGTACAATTGCTTGCGCTGGCAAGAGCTCGTGGCGGCAGCATTGCACAGCTTGTGCAGTCGGGCTGCAGTCGGCATGCCGAAGACGGATCCACTCGGCTCGAACCTCCGCTGCACTGGCACGTGACTGGGCACGAGCACCACGGCACCACGGCAGTGGAGACAGCCGCACAGCCATGGCAAATAGCTAGACTGATACGTCTTAGCCGGCCTCCAATCTATGAAAGTAATTAGAGAGTACTCCCAGCACTGATATACAGCGTCTTCTCACGTCCGGTGACCTAGCGCTAAAACCAAGCCACAAAATTACCGTATAAGGTAGCATTTCCGCACGCCTTTAAGGGAATAGCAGCCTCCTAGCCAATCAATCTTTAAGCTAGCTCAGCATTAGCCCAGAAAAGGTAGCTCACCGGGGTCGACTCGTACTTCGTATAAATGCCCAAGCGTAAATGCGTCCGAGGACGAGGCCCACAGCACCTCACCGCCAATACCATCTCCTTTGAGCATCCCAGACAGGCTTTGTATGCAAGTCTAGGCAAATATACCGCTTTCTCACGCCATGAAGCTTGATACCCAGGAGAGCATAGCTCCCTTCAGACAGCGCATGGGCGGGTCATGCCGCTCTCCTCGAGAGCCCCGTTGCAGCATCTCTTCACGTCCGGTGAGCATAGCGCTAACCTGAGTCAATCCTGGTATACCTCTTTTCTGGGCTAGTACGTAACCGGCGTGAGGATTGATTGGCTAGAACGCTGCTATAGCTGCTATTCCCCCCTAAGGGCGTCCGGAGTTGCTTCCTTATACGGTAAGTGTGTGGCTTGATATTAGAGAGTGACCACCGGACGCAAAGAGATGCTGTGCATCGTTGCGCGCGAGGTCAACCGCGCCGCATGCATCTGTACATGAACGCCTGCAATCCAAGCCCAGTCGCTGCACCCGCAGACACTCAGAGACTTTGAGACATGCGCCGTTCGAGTCTGGCATCTTCGAGTCTGGCATCGTAGCTCTCGGGCGTGCCGTCACCTGCCCACTATCTCACAGCACCCTGCTATCGCTGCCACGGCCAGTTCGCAGGTGCCTCGCATCGACCCTCTCCGTTCCTCCTCCACCTCCCTTTCTTTGATCCTTCCCGCGCTGCTCCCGCGCTGGAGCAGCTCCAAGATGCCCAATCCACCATGTTCTTCGTGCTACATGACTGCCCTTCCGAACCAATCATAGCGTCGTCGTCTTACTTGTGCCTGGAGCTATGGCGCCGCGGGCCCCGTCCCCGCCACGCTACCCGCAGCGTCCTGAGTTGTCCAGGGATCACTCCCGCGCCTCAAAGGCTTCAGTTCCCTCCGTCTCCCCCTCCAACGAAGCCGACGACGAGCAGTCTGGTTCCGATCACGACTCTTACAGCACCATGGGCCCCCAGTCGCGCACCCGCGAGCCCTACGACGGGGAGGACACCCGCCTGACAAGCACAAAGGAGCTGGCTGGCTTCTATATGTATGGCTGGGCCGCCGAGGTATATTGGTCACACCTATACGTATAAACCCATGCATTCAGCTAACAGCACCAGGTCTTTGTAGTGTGCGGAGTCGGTAAGCTCATCTCTCGTCGTCGTTACTTCTACGCCTCTTTCGAAGCATCCCATCGCGTCCCGGACATACCGTCAAACTCCGAATACAATATCACAAGAATTGCAGGCTGATGGCATTAGGCTCCTTCATACCCATAACCCTCGAACAACTCGCCCGAGAGCGAGGCGTGCTCCTCTCCGACAAAACAACACCATGTAGCGCCAGCTTCCACGTAGATCCCCCAGGTCTCAACATCACCTCCTCCCTGATAGGCCGCTCCCCCAAACAAGAGCCAGGACAATGCGTGGTCCACATCCTTGGTCTTGAGGTCAATACCGCTAGTTTCGCTATGTACACTTTCTCCATCAGTGTTTTAATCCAAGCTCTGTTAATAATCTCCATGTCCGGCGCGGCAGATCATGGCCGTTTCCGGAAGACCTTCCTACTTTCCTTCGCATTTATCGGCGCTATAGCTACCATGCTTTTCCTTCCTATTGTTCCGAGCGTATACCTCCTGGGTGCATTGCTGGCGATTATTGCGAATACTTGCTTTGGTGCTTCGTTTGTTCTCCTGAATTCTTTCCTCCCTCTACTTGTTCGACACCACCCGACTGTCCAGTACTACCCAGAGGACTCGGCAGACCAGTCTTACAGCGACGAGATCCCCATTGAAGGTTCCAGCTCGTCTTCATTACGAGAGGAAGCACGCTACTCGAATGAGTTGGCCGGGGAGGAGACCCTACTCGACGGCGTGATCGACTCCACCACCGCCCTCCTCCACCATAACAGGTCCACTGCCGATCTCACAATCCCCAACCCGCGTTCTCCCGCAACTGCGTCCATCGAACTCGCCCTCTCAACCAAGATCTCATCCTACGGAATTGGCATTGGATACATCGCCGCCTTAATCGTGCAAACCCTCTCTATCGTCCTTATCGTCTCCACCTCCTCCACTACTTTCTCCCTCCGCCTCGTGCTTTTCGTAATAGGCTTTTGGTGGTTCATTTTCACCTTCCCCACCGCCCTATGGCTACGCCCTCGCCCCGGACCACCCCTCGCCCTCCCTCCCTCCACCACCCGCGCGCGCGCGGCCCTCGCCTACTTTACCTACAGCTGGAAAGCCTTAGGCCGCACCGTCACGCACGCCCGTCGCCTCAAAGACGTCCTCCTCTTCCTCGCCGCCTGGTTCCTCCTCTCCGACGCCATCGCCACGACCTCAGGCACCGCCGTGCTTTTCGCCAAGACCTCCCTCGAGATGAAGCCCGCCGCGCTCGCCCTCATCAACGTCATCGCCACCGCCTCGGGCGTCGTCGGCGCCTTCTCCTGGTCCCGCCTCTCCATCTGGATGCGCCTGCGGCCCTCCCAAACCATCCTCGCCTGCATCCTCCTCTTCGAGACCATCCCCCTCTACGGCCTGCTGGGGTACATCCCCGCCATCCAGCGGCTGGGCGTCGGCGGGCTGCAGCAGCCGTGGGAGATGTACCCGCTCGGCGCCGTGTATGGGTTTGTGTTAGGCGGGTTGTCGAGTTATTGTCGGAGTTTGTTTGGCGAGCTGATCCCGCCGGGGTTCGAGGCGGCGTTTTATGCGCTCTATGCGATTACGGATAAGGGGAGTAGTGTGTTTGGGCCGGCGATTGTGGGGGCGATTACGGATCGGTGGGGGAGTATTAGGCCGGTATGTTATTCCTCTCCTACCCCCCTTTCTTCCGGAAGAACAGAGGCTGGTGGCTAGTTCACGCGCTGGGGAAATGACATACATTCTCGGGACTTTCGGGCGCGTTGAGGCACCCCTGACGGCGTTGGCACAAAGTCTGAGCCACAGCTAACTCTTCGTGATCTAGGCGTTCTGGTTCCTCGCGCTCCTGGTCGGTGTCCCGTTCCCGATTATGCTGTTTGTGGATGTCGAGCGCGGGCGCGCGGCGGGCGTGGCGCTGGCGGAAGAATTGGAAGGAATCGCCAAAGCTGCACTAGTAGATGGAGACGCAGACGCGGACGCAGGATCGGTAGTGGATGGTGAGAGGGGGTTGGATACGTAGATAGATAGAGAGTAGCTAACTTTTAAATTGGATGGGTTGATTGTTACAAAGTCCTCGTGGGGATAAGTGATGTTGGCCTCCGGGGGTTTGATTAGTGGGAAGAGAACTGGGGTCCTCCTCAAACCGATTTCACGCAGCTAGATAGGTGAGACTTTGCAGTTAAAGGGGTCGATTCGAGGCCGGAGGTGCGGTGCTTTCACACCTCATTACCATCCTCATACTGCTCATTAAACAGTACCTCCGCAGTTCGATTATAAAGCAAATGGACATACGATATGTGCCACGCCGCGTACACCAAATCCCGTTCTACGCGGTCAGATCCGTAGAGAACATGCAACTAACAGGGACAATACAATAGGTCAAGCACAAGGTCACCCTAGGAGGGTTTAGGCCTGGGTGGCCAGAAATGGTGGAAAGAAATCACAGATCGAACCGCAAAGAAAGAATTTCCATCACCATCGAGGCTACAAACCAGCCACAGCGTCGTCCTAATCGCGCATAAATCAGCCCTCTTTCTTCCCATCCGGGGCGCCTCAACCCTTTTTTTTTTTTTTATTCGGAGATTGGAAGATGTGAGACCCAAGCGACGGAAAATGGTGGATTTGAGGTATCCGTTACGAAGAAACTAACGTATATAGAATTTGGCAAGTTTGAGAACGCCGACATCCGCTCACAAGAGCCGCCCGCAGGGTATCAATAAATCACAATTCCCCCACCCACCCACCCACCGACCCAACCTCAGCACGGAAGACCAAAAAAAAACGCCTTGAGAAACTAGACAAATCCCACCCAACCAATCTCCCCTTCAGACCTCATCAAGCAGTCCATACCTCCGCAGCACAGCCTGCGACACCGTGATCTTGTCGAAATTCTCCGGGCAACCCGTGCCGGACCTGTCCAACCCCCAGTTAGCGCCCTCCTTGCTCAACTCCAAGTGCGATGTCGACGTACCTTAAATAATTAATCTTCATATTCCTCGCCTTATCCTTCAAATCCACATCCGTCCGATCCAAAAACATCTTCGTATCCGCCTCATCTAAGCTCTTGATGTACGCCCACTGACACCCGTACTCCTCGATATACCGCACCAGCTGGTCCTCGGCGCACGCCGTCCACGGATTGCGCGCGCGGCGCTGCGCTTGGCGGACGGGGAAGGCCGGCGTCATGCGCTTTGCCTGTTGCTGGACTTGGCGGTAGTTGGAAGACGTTGGCACAGCGTCCTCGTCTTCGTCCTCGTCTTCGAAGTCGCTGTCCTGGGAGGAAGGGCGGAGTAGGACGCTGCGGCTGCGGTTTTCGGGGAAGCGCCGCTGGGGCTGGTGGCCTGGGGGCACTTTGATGGGTTCTTCGAAGCGGAGGCGGCTCGCTGTGGGGCCGACCTTGCGCCGTTTGGAGACGTCGAATTGGCGCGTGTCTTGCTGGAAGTCGTCGTCGTCTTCGTCGGATTCCTCTTGGACGGCTTGTGCGTGGGTTCTCTTTTGCGCTTTGGGAGCGCTGGCGGAGGGGCGCCTGGGAGAAGTCGTGGAGGCACGGATAGGAGCCTTGCCTTTGCTCTTCCCACTTGGTCGCGGGGCAAGCTGAGTATCCTGGGTCCATGCTACACGTTCTGTGTTGGCCTGGGGGTCGACGAAGCGTTGCTTTCGGTTTTCCTTCTGTATCTGCTCTTCTTGGGCAAGACGCGCAACCCGATCATTTGTGGAAGGCGGAAAGCGGGCGGTAGATAATTCTTCTTGTGGGTCTTCCAACTCCTCGTCGTCGATGGGAGCCGGTTGCCAGTCGTCCTCGATGATCTCTTGGTTTACTTTAGTTGCCTCAGGAGCTTGCTCCTTGTTCGTGACACTCCTTCTAGACTTTGTCTGTTTGTCCCTTTTCGGGACACCAAGAAACTCGTATGCCTTCCAATGAACCGTAGAAGGCCTCTTCGGCTTTTTCCACTGGGCTGAGATGTTGGAAAATCCTCCAGGGGACCGATGGGGAAGTGGCTGATGTATTTGATCGTGCGATGGTAGTGTCCCGGGTGCCTCTTGTTCAGGTATCGCATCTACAGCTTCTTCGGCGTCTTCGTCCTCTTCGACTGTTGTGAGATCTGTGTTCCCAGCGCCTGTCAGCTTTTGCGTGTGGAGTTATGCAAGTTAACGGGAGTGAGGGGGGTTGTCGAGTAGGTATTCCAGAGATGAGGTGCGCAGAGGTGTTTCTATGTTCACAGCCAGATAAAATGATATCGGGGAGTGAAACAACCCTAATCCTAACCCTAGGCCTAGGTGGCAACTGTCGAAGAGGCCTCGGCGCACGCGCAGAACAAAGAGTGAATGGGTTGAGAGGACCCCTGATTGTTGACTTCTGAGATAGCCCAGTGATCACTCACCTCTAACGGGGGGAGCCTGAATATTCTTCTGTTGCTTTTTCTGCCCTCGAGTTGTCCGACTAGCACGACTGTCCGTACTCCCTATACTCTCAGTGCTGGCTTGACGGGCGCCTCTGCGAGTATTCTTTGTAGACGGTGCTGGAGCAACGGCGGGGGTTTCGACCTCATGGCTCTGACTTCTCGTTGCTCTTTTCGGAATGCGAGTTGAAGTGCGCGCAGTGGTTGGGGTGTTCGCTTTTGAAGCAGGTTGTGGAGTGGGTGTTTTGCGCCGGCTTGAAGCCCGGACGGGCCGGCGGTCAGCCATTGGGAGGAGTATTCAAGATAATTCGAGGAGGGTCAGCGACTGAGATACATGCGCTTGGTAGTAAAAGAGGCAGTCCGAATGCGACGGGGTGGTGGGCGTTGTTATGGAGCTAGTGGTGTTTGTTGTGGTTTTTGGGCGCGGGATGAGATGGGACGGAAGATCCCGAGCGGAGGACGCTTTCACGTGACCGAGACGACCGAAGTGTACATTATTAAAGTGTGGGCGATCCTGAATGTTCATGTATATGAGAGAAAGCAGATAACGATTCCAACACCATGAACTGCCACGAGGGTCTTGTAAGTCTCTGAAAACTATCAGTGTAACTCCATACTAGTAGTGAAGGTATCTGCAAGTATCAAAGGGCACACCAAACCGGTCAGGCTAGAATATCCCCAGATCTCTTGGCGAGATATATCCTGGCATCACTGGGAGGCGACGTGTGCAGGTGGATTCAAGGAAAGAGTTCATCGCCAACCAGCAATTATTAGGCGGGAGTAATACCCACTACCACAAACTTCGCCCTTCTCTCCATCTCAATCCATCCAACAACGAACACAGCTCAAGCCAAAGCCTCCTTTCCCGCGTCGTATCCCCTTGCGCGTCGTGCCCGTGTGGTGGTCCGCTAGCCTCGTACCCTGCCGCCCCTGCGCCTCACATCTGAAAATCCTCTGGGGATCCCATCCGCATCACCCACGACTTCAACGCAACACTCCTTTTCCACAACTCTAATTCAATCTTCTCTGCCGGCTTCTCTTACAATACGAAAGTTCTACTTGCTCCTTTAATCTTCAGTCCACCCGCGACAGGCTCCCTCTCCGGTCTCGTGAGCTTACGTGGTCTCCAACCCACCCACCGCCCCTTTCACATACGCCCTCAACAACATGAGACTACGAAGACGACCAGCTCCTCTATTTCTCCTTTTGCTCCCCACACTGCCAGTCTTCGCGTCAGCACTACCCAAGGACACTGATGGCAAGCAAGTCGCTCGGGACGCAAAGGTGCAAGAATACGCGGCGATACCGACGATTGCGCCTGGATCACCCGGAAAACTAGACATTGGTACAGAAGATGCGCCAGTTGATGGGCTTGACGGCAAACCCCACGCGGGCCCTTTCGTGGATGGAAAGCAGAAGAAGCCTCCCGCCGAAGTCGAAGACCTCTTGCCCGTGGGCACGAAATTGCCCGACCCCAAGAAGAAGACACAGGACCTGACTAAGGAGGAAGTGGCGGCGCTCAAAGAGGAAGACGGCGTGATGAATGATAAAAACCGCGCTACACCCAAGGACGGCACAGATGGCACAAAAGACGGCGTGTCAGCAAAGACAAGGGAGAGGAAGGAGGAGGAGGAACGGACGGGCGAAAAGGCCGAGAAGAAGCCTGATCCACCAAAGGAAGCTCCTCCACAACCACACGACGGGAAGAAGAAGATCAAGGACAAGCTTACAGCAGATTCGACCTCTACAAAGAAACCAGGCGCTGTTGGATTTGAGGTATGACCTCTACCTCCTCTCACTATCTGATACTAGCTAACCATTCTATCTACACAGAAACCTACTGACCTCCCCGAAACTCCCCACGATATCCCTCATCCCGCTCCTCCTACGTCCAACGACGACCCTCTCGACATCCCCACAAAGAAACCCTCCGACAATGGCCCCTCCTTCGAAGACGAAGACCCTAGCGGCGTCATCCAACCATTACACTCCTTCTTGCTTTCCCTCACCATGATCCTCTTCTCCGAAGTCGGTGACAAAACCTTTCTTATCGCCGCCCTGATGGCGATGCGTCACCCGCGCGCCCTCGTGTTCTCCGCCGCATTTGCTGCCCTTATTACTATGACTGTCCTCTCCGCCGTCCTCGGTCACGCTGTTCCGACCCTTCTTCCCAAGCGCTTCACAAATTTCGCGGCCGCCATCCTCTTCCTCGTTTTCGGAGCCAAGATGCTCCGCGAGGGTCTTGCCATGTCACCCGAAGAGGGTGTCGGCGAGGAAATGAAGGAGGTTGAAATGGAGCTCGAGGAAAAGGAGCAAAGCGCGCGCCGGAATTCCCGCCGCCGCTCCTCGATATCCCCTTACGTTCTCGAAGCCGGCCGCGCGCGACGCTCACGTTCAGGATCACGGCTCCCAGCTCCAGCTCGCTCGCCGTCGAGTTCTCCTTCTCGCTCACGGTCTCCGAATACTTCTTCTTTGTCAGCAGTTACCAGCGGTTTAACCAATCTATTTTCCCTCCTTCTCTCCCCGGCGTGGGTGCAGACGTTCGTAATGACTTTCCTTGGCGAATGGGGCGACCGCAGCCAGATCGCGACTATCGCCATGGCCGCGGGGCAGGACTACTGGTGGGTTACGGGTGGTGCGATTAGTGGGCATGCGGTGTGTACTGGGGTAGCTGTTCTAGGAGGACGTGCGATTGCGGGGAAAGTTTCTATGCGAGTTGGTAAGTTGAAATATATATCCTGCTTCATTTCGGATTCAATAAGAGATTTAGCTAACACTAAAACCAGTTACCCTTGGCGGTGCAATCGCTTTCCTCGTATTCGGCGTCATCTATCTCATCGAGGCGTTATACTCCGGCTAAATTCTACGCGTTCACTACTACGGAAAAGTCTTTCATTCGCTATTTTTGTCTTCTTAGGATCTCCTTGGATCAACCGGGATGATGGACTACACATGCATCTCAGCATCGGCGTAAGGGCAGGGGTTTCTGGTGCGTTGTCTGGCTGGCTGGCAGCATTTTTGTTCAAGTACGGATAAAGTAAACCGTTGTAATCTGGAACCGCTTCCCAGGTGGGCGCGTTTATCCCTTTGTGTGTGCGCATCAGCTTCCTATTGGACGATGGGCTGTAATCATAGTGTAGGTGTCTTAACTGGTGAATGATAGAAAATACGGGATGGAGCTATTGGAGGTATAGCATGGACAATGGATTCTTTGGTCTCTATGCATCGTCGTGGAAGTGGTTTCACTAACTGGCGTTTGGTATAGAGCCGCACTACGCCGAGACCACAAGTTTTACTTTTAGGAGCTGATGTCACACTTTATCTATGAAGGGAAGATGCTAACCTCCATTCCTACATTTAAGTAAACCTCATCGCCATTCTCTGACAATGACCAGCACAAATATCCACGTCCACCAACCCCAACCACCACAGAATGGCGAGACCATCAGGCTCCTCAGATAGTCGATTTGATACCACGACACAAGGCCCAGCCATCGCTTGAAGCTGTCAACGTCTTGACGACACTCCAATTCTTTCCAGCTCATTCATCCACACAACAAGTTTTTTTGATCTCCCCAACTCCAAGACTACAGTCATGACACAATCCACAACGGGCGACCATTGAGTCCTTCCATGCTTGGTTTGAAACCACCCCCACTCAACTTATGAAGTGGACCTCCGGGCGATTTTGATCCCGCTGCCCACTCCCACCTCCATAGCCCCTGCAGAAGAAAAGGCGAGGAGGTGGGGAGAGAAAGGCATTTATAATCGAAGACCCATGCGGATGGCTTGGCGCTTACGAGAGGCACGTGGTATGGGTCTGCTTGGGTACTAAGTAGACCAACCGCGATCAGGAGAGGGAACTCTTGACTTGGAAAACGATGAGTGGTGGTTCAATATCACGTGATGACTACTTGAGCGCATTGTCCTTACTTTTCCAATTTCAATCCAGTGTCGAAAGAGTAGTTGTTTAGAATCACGTGATGCATACTGGGGCACTGGCCACTCTTTTACTCCGAAAATTTCTTTTATCGACCACTAGTTACGCGACATCTGTCGTCCGCATTAATAATTCGAAACTATCGGGACATCACAAGATGCTCACTTCACTTACTCATCGCTCTGCTGCTAGGACTGGCGGTTCATCAGCCTTGACCGCCGTACAAGACCGAGACCTGGAATAGCGATTAGTTTTCAAGAAATCCGACAAATGCAGAATAAGTTTCGGAAACACCTCAGTCTTGGTGCCAAGTATATCTGTTGGCTATAGACGACGTATTGGTCAATATCTTTGGAGTCTACCTATAATAGGAAGGTTATCTATGTCCTCCAGCATTTTGTACCCCGCTTCCCAATGCAACTGTTCTGCAAGACTTATCGGGTGTCAGCATTTCTGTAGTCCAGCCGTAAATATGGTATGGAGATCCTCTAAGACAGGAAGGTTATGTGCTTGAAAGGATACTGTCAACCTGATGTGATATGTCGTTATGTAGACTTATCCGCATCCCGGTTTCCACTACCCGCATCAGCGAAGTCATTCCTACCTTCAACTTCGTAACCTTTTTGCTTCTCGAATTATCCAGTAGTGTCTCTATTCTTCTGTTCTGTCTTTTGATTACTTAAATTGTGTAAGATGGCCATGCTGGAGAACAAGCCCACAACGATATAGTCCCATTGCAGAGGAAGAGGACGAATCATCCCGAACATCCGAGCAGGATGAACTGCCTCACTGCGATACCTTACCAAAGTGGCCAATACGCACAACCTCTACCAGAGCTCGGGTCCTGATGGCTCTCGGGATTGGCCTCTTTCTTGTCGTGTACTCAGCGCTTCTCATTACACTTACTTCGATGTGGTGGAGGAAGGAAAGATTGCACGGTCCAGGAGTCATTGATAGTAAGCTCTCCAAGGAGATTCACGCTTGAATGATGTGCTCCTAAATCTGTGCCAGCCCCTCTTCGACCGTTCATGCATTACGAGCCGACTATGCTTCTTGGGCACTTACTCGTTCATGCATCAACTGCATTGCCTGGTATGCTTCCCTTATTACTCCCTCCCTCCGCTATCCTCCTGGCAAAGTTTCAGAAACGCGTGCATCACTCGTATTGGCCGGATCGATACTATCCCAATATAACGGAAGTGGAGGAAAACAATCTGCAAGAGTATAATCGTGTGTTACCTTCATATTCATCCGCAAAATCGGAGCTAACAAGGCTTATTTTACAGTGCATTGCTTGCAGATGCTGATGAACGTCGTTATGTGCAAAGCAGACGCAGATCCGGAAACCCTACGATGGGTAGAAGAGAGCAAGTTCCCGCTCGGTAATCGCACCTCACCGCATGAGTGCGTCAATTGGGATACGTTAAGGGAGGGCACGAAGCGGAGCCGTGTTGATCCGTTTGCGCCTGGAGTTCTAGTTCATCCGAAATTTGGTAAGATTGCATCTAGCACGTTCCTGGGTAATCAGCGCTAACTAGGAAGTTTTACAGGACCAGTAGTACCGGACGGCAGAGAGACTATAATAGGAGATGAAAATAGGCAGAGGTTTGTAATAAATGGGACAACCGTGTTCATCCCGGAGAACGAGAATAATGGCAGATAGAGCATGTTCAACGGTCACTACACCAATTGTTGCTCGACTTCAAGGACTGTGCTGTATGGAAGCAAGCCGCGGTAGTAGTCCAACACTAAGTCAGCGCAGATGCGCACCTTCCACTTTCTGTATAGCATCTTTCCACATATTCTACAAACACGCCAGACTCTCCCCTCCAGTTTCACATCTCCAGACTATGCGAGGCGTTTTCCAGCTTATAGCCGAGGTCTCTTCCCAGAACGCTAGCTCTAAGTGGATGTCGGCCCGCTCCTTCTGAGGCTCGAGCTACGGAACAGTCTCCCACACCCTACAGCCACCCCTTGGTATCGTCACCCGCGGCTCGAAGGCCTATTCCGCGGAGAATTCTTGATTGGCGGAACTCGTTTCATGGATTTGGTCCCGCTCTCCGCACGAAACCTCCCTGCTAGGCCCATCACTCGATCCCGAGCCGCTTCACGTGGCATACACTAGGACTGGGAATCGTCTATTCGGAGGCGGAAGGCATACTTCTACGAGCAGTTATATACATCATAATAGGACTATGCTTCGATGCGGGGTCCCCAGGATGTCCAGATCATCATATGGATGGTTAGGATATAAAAGAGATGTGTTACCAGCATATTGATCGATCACCTCAATTGTTCTCCGTGGTTGGCTTCCAGGATGCTTTTGGTTGAAACGCTTATTGCGCTTTTGCTACTTGGATCGGCTTTTGCCTTTGCCTTCCCTGCATCCGAGGCAAATGGAGGTGGGCATGGTGGACAGAACGCCCAATCTGTCTTCTATCAAGGACATGACCTCTCCAGCCTTGGGATAATGGAGCAGGGAGGTGCAGTATACCATGACACTGCTCGACACAACCAGACTCGGGCCGCAGAGGATATCTTGGGAGATGGGGGGATGAACACTGTTAGATTACGGTACATATACGCACTCATTTTCTAGTGCCCTCCCCTCACTGCCATCTCCTTTCAGTACTCCTACAACATCACGATTCTCCAAGCTAACACTTACCTTCTTCAGCCTCTGGGTCAACCCCATTCCTGGTCAATACGATCTCTCTTACGTCCTTGCCCTCGCCGAACGCTTTGCTAAGAAGAAATATCACATCTACCTCGACTTCCACTTCTCCGACAACTGGGCCGACCCACACCACAACATTGCCCCAGCCGCGTGGCCTACCACCCTTCCCGCGCTCTCCAGCACCCTCCGCACTTACGTCCGCGAGACCATCATGACCTTCAAGCACGCCGGCGTCGACCTCAGCCTCGTCAGCCTGGGCAACGAAATCCGCAACGGCATGCTCTGGCCCCTCGGCCAAGTCGACGTCGACATCACACCTCACGCCGCTCTCGTCTCGAACTTCACGAATCTAGCCACGCTGTACGCCGCCGCGCGTTCAGGCGTGACCGATGCCGTCAACGCCGGGGCCGCGAAGCCGCAGGTTCTGATCCACATCGACAACGGGTGGAACGTAACTCTGCAGACGACGTGGTTCAACGCGCTGACCGCAACCGGAAAAGTGAAGGTCGCGGATTGGGATGTTTTCGCGTTCAGTTTCTACCCTTTCTACGGCACGGACGCCACGCTCGCCAATCTCCAGAATAGCTTGCATACGCTGGCGCGGCATTATGGCAAACCGCTTCACGTTGTCGAGACAGATTGGCCGGCGATCTGCAGCGGGTCTGATGCACCGGAGCTTAGTGAGCCGAGTGTGCCGATCAGTGCGAAGGGGCAGACGGAGTGGGTGCACGATGTGATCAAGGTAGTGAAAGGGGTACCAGGGGGCTTGGGGCAGGGGTTCAACTACTGGGAGCCGGCTTGGTTGAATTCGACGAGTTTGGGGAGTGCGTGTCAGGATGCGATTTTGTTTGATACGGATTGGAGTCGGTATCCTCAGATGGAGGCGTATTCGAGGGAGAGTGTGGATATGTTGAAGGGGGTCTGAGCTCTTAAAAGATTGGTTCTACTGGTCATCTTGTCATCAAAGAACCAGAGACTTCGCCATTGAGTCCTCACCCTGTGTCGGCATTCCCGGTTTCTGGCTCACGCAATTGTGCATATAAAGGAGAGCACGTTGCTATTAGTGTCTAACTACCTACGCATCGAAGCTGTATGAGAGGCCTTGGAGACCCTAGGCATGCTGCACCATGTAGGCTAATTCAGTCCTGGGCAAGATAATAGGCTCTTTTTGGGAAGCAACCATGGTAAATTGCTCGAAAGCGTATGCTAGGCCGATGAGTTTCTCCTCGGAGAACTTGCGGCCAATGAAGCAAAGGCCGAAACTTCAGATGGTCAGCATTGCTCACAATGATGTTGGATCGGAAATCGCGTACGGTACATTTGGGGCTTCATCGATCAGATCTCCCCTCGGATTTTTTAGTGACAGGGGTGCCCGGTGGTAGGAATCCCATTGGAACAGTGATAGTCAAATGCCCAGCGAATCCTGGGATATCCGAACAGATGACAGATGGAAGAATGAGGGCATCAGCTGTGACTGCCTCCAACGCCCCATCAATGCCGCCCTCGGCTCCCAAGTACTTCATCTGCTTCGAAGCGGCCGCAACCTCGGGTGAATTGAAGCGAAGAGCCTTCTCGACGTTCTCGAAAACTGCAATATTGTGCGATGGATATTCTTCCAGAGGGTTTGGCTTTGTACATTCAATCATATCCTTAATGCTATGGATGTTTTTGGGATTGATGGATAGTTCTTTGAAGAATTTTGCTATATCTAATCCGTACTCGGAAGGTCCGTAGATGGCTTGTGGTGCCTTGCTGTACACATCGTCGTACGCTGGATAATTGGCATTTTCCACAATAGTTGCTCCGTTCTTCTGCATTAACAGAGCTGCGTCTCCGAAAGCCTTCATGATTGCGGCCATGTTGATGTTGACTCCGATGGGATTATTCAGGCCGTTTCTAGGGATTCCGATCCGAGCATTGCGTAGAGCATTTCGATTACAAGACTTTGCGTAGTCAGGCATCTTCTTGAACGGAACCAATTTTGTTACTGTATCGAGCTTGCTCTTCCCAGCCATAAAAGTTAAAAGGATTGCAGTATCCTTGATGGTCGAGGTCATCGGGCCTACAGCACGTCGAGATTTTGCGACGATAACATTGTCTTTCGCCACTGGCTCAGCAGTAGGCTTGATGCTCACGATGTTGCTTTCCATGGCTGGATATGTAATACTCCCTACCGTCTACGTCGAAAGGTCAGTTCTCAAAGCATAGAGGCGACGGGGGCTCTCGATACTCTGACCTCAACGCCGATCGTGGCGACTGCTAACCCCATAGCCATGGCCGTAGCAGAACCACTAGAGCTCCTACACAGATCCTGCTGGAGGGTGTAAACCCCGTATGCTTGACCGCCCCATGAGCTCCAGCCATTTGAAGCGTTGTCAGCAGACGATCGTCCGTTGTCCCACTGAGACATGTTGGACTTTTCAAGAATGATGGCTCTAGCTTGTCGAAGTCTGACAGTCATAGATGCCTCATTCTTCGTTTTGGCACCTGCGAGACAGTAAGAACCGGCCGTGTTGTTCATGCCATGTGCGCTGATTGAGTCCTTGACAAGGATCGGAATTCCATGAAGAAGACTTTCGAATTGCATTGATTAGCGCGTACTCGAATTTTTAAGACTTGAATGGGATGAAACGCACCTCTTTGGGCCAGAGACCTCTCTCTCGCGGTCCAGAGCTCGGGCAATGCCAAGGGCATCTGGGTTGATCTCAACGACTGCGTGTGTCCGATCATTAACTTCAGCAATTCTGACAAGAAATGTGCGAACGAGGTCTTCTGATGTATAAGAGCCGTTGGCCAGACACTTCTGGAAAGTCTCAATTGAAGATCCTCGAATTGGATGGTACGACGGTGGTGTTGGATGTGCTACTCATGGAACGAGTTATTAATATGAACCGACGAAAATGGACGTTGACTACTAACACCAAAACCCGAACCCGAACTACATTAGAATCAGAGCGCACAGAGTGAGAAGTGACCACTTCACAGAGAACAGCTTGATCCGTGACATTTTTCTGGAGAATGTAACGTGTCTCTTCGGGGGTGAAAATCATGGTCGTTTCGATCGTGAAAGTAGTCAAGGTTAGGTAGGATATTGTCAAAGCGTCTATAGCTACTCCGTACGTATGTGGCACAAATTATGCACGGCCTAACCCTAGCCAAGGCACAATCTTCTTCACCAACTGTGACAAAAGTAAAGGAATGTAGAAGCAGGAAGGCTACACGTGTTCCTACCCAATATGGTGTATTCATCGCTATCCCCTTCAAGTAACTCTGAAATGCATATCGAGCATATCACATAAGAAACCGAGGGTTTGAAAGTTACATGCTTGCATGTTGACATTTGATTGACTTTGTAAGCTTGAATCATGTGACTATCCCTTCAATGGGTGATCGTTTATCCGCCCTACTAACGGAAAGTCCCGAGGCGTCAAATGCCTGTTCCTGTTGCCGGCCATGCTTCTCCACATCGTAACCCCGGAGCTAGGTAAATGCCAGGACCCTCAATTCTTCGAGTCGCCATGGCCACTTCTTCCGTGGCGATTCCTGGTTGGAAACCTGGTGACTGAGCCTCTTTTCCTTTGCCCTTTTTCTACAGCATTTCCCTTGAATTTTCTCCATTTCAAGCTTCATAGCCATATAGAACCGCCACAATGGCCTCCTTCATCCAAAAAGGCGCAAAGAACATCCTCCAAAAGAGCCCCCACGACGTCGTCTTCCTCTCCGCCCTCCGAACACCCGTAACGCGAGCAAAGAAAGGCGGACTCCGAGATGCTTACGACCACGAGCTCCTCGCCGCCGTAACCACCCCAAACCTCCCCCATACCCTCAGCACCCCTAACATGCTCCCTCCAGGTCCTCAAAGCAACCCTAACCGCCAACCCCACCCTCGATCCCTCCAAAATCAACGACATCTGCATCGGCACCGTCCTCTCCGAGCTCGGCGGCTCCAAAGCCGGCCGCATGGCCGCCGCCCACATCGGCATCCCCACGACCACGTCCTTCCACACGCTCAACCGCGCGTGCGCCTCGGGCCTCAGCGCCGTCACGACCGTCGCGCACGCCATCGCCGTCGGCAGCATCACCGTCGGCATCGGCGGCGGCATGGAGAGCATGACACGCAACTACGGCTCGCGCGCGATCCCCACGCAACTCTGGAGCGATCTGAAAGACAGCCCGGTGAGAGATGCAAGGGACTGCATCATGAACATGGGCCTCACGGCCGAGAACGTGGCGGAGCGGTACGGCGTGAACCGCGCGGACCAGGATGCGTTTGCGGCGCGCAGCCAGCAGAAGGCCGCGCGCGCACAACAAGAGGGGTTCTTCGACAAGGAGATCGTGCCGGTGACGACGCGGTGGGTGCCGGACCCCGCCGTGCCGGAGGCGCAGGAGAGCATTACGGTCTCGAAGGACGACGGGATCAGGCCGACGACGACGGCGGAGAAGCTGGGGGCCATGAAGCCCGCGTTTAAGGAGGACGGGACCAGCACGGCGGGGAATAGCTCGCAGGTATCTGATGGCGCGGCGGCGGCGCTGATGATGCGGCGGAGTACGGCGCAGGAGCTGGGCTTGTCGGGGTCGATTATTGGGAAGTGGGCGGGCTCGCAGGTGGCCGGGTGCAGGCCGGATGAGATGGGGGTGGGGCCTGCGGTGGCGATTCCGAAGCTGCTGGAGTACACGGGCGTGGCGAAGGAGGAGATTGGGATTTGGGAGATCAATGAGGCGTTTGCGAGTCAGGCACTATATTGCATCCGGGAATTGGGGTTGGATGAGGAGAAGATTAATCCGAAGGGGGGAGCGATTGCGTTGGGGCATCCGCTGGGTGCGACGGGTGGGAGGATGCTGGCGACGCTGTTGCATGAGATGGAGAGGCAGACGGAGGAGCTGGGGGTGATTAGTATGTGTATTGGGACGGGGATGGGGATGGCGAGCTTGATTGTGAGGGAGTAGATTGGAGCATATTCATTGATAGCATATTTGCCATAGATCTGATTTCTACAGTCAATTCTGTAGTAAGAAGTGACTACCACACGTGCCCCACTGCGCCGACGCTGCGTCTATGAAAACCTATTTCACACGGTTAGATCTGTAACTCTTTGTAACATATCCGAGCAATACGTGTCTTGGGTGTTTTGACCCGTTCTCATAGGCCTCCGCGGTCAGAAGTGTTGCAAAGAGTCACAGATCTAACCGTGTAGAAAGATTTTTGTTAGACGCGACGTCTACGCGGTGCGGTACAACTAGTGTATGAGGTAGCGGCACTCTATTGCAAATATTCACGGATCTAACCGCTTGAATTCTTTTCAGTAGGTAGGGCGTAGAGTTAGCGTGGGAGGGACCTCCTGACGACATCACATCACGAATTCCACACGCGCACAGATGCTTGACAAGATGTACGATCCACATAACCCGCTCTTCATGCTTCTACCCTAAATACATACGCACGCAGAGCAAAAGCGCAAGTAGCCGGAGATCGGCCACGGGAAAGCAGCCAAAAATTGGAGGCTACAGTAATACAAAACCACAACGCGTGTTCCAGGGGAAAGCGGTATGACAGACGATAGACCGGCCATTGCTTCCTACAAGCCTCATATACCGGTACCCACAATCATTACGGGAAAGGGGCGGAACGCTAGGAGCAGGAGAAAAAGGGTCATTTAGATACCGAGGGTGAACTCAACGCCAACGTCAATGTCGCGGGCCATCTTCACGACCTTTGAAAATTGGACCGACTTTTCGGCTGCGGTTTGGAGGTCGTCGATGGAGAAGATCTTGAGACCGGACTCGTTGATCAGTTTGTGTGCGGCTTCCATGTTGGTTCCTTGTAGTCGTGCAATGACCGGTGTCCGTAGGTGCATGCTCTCAACGACGCTGATGAGGCCCTTGGCAATATCATCGCACCTGACAATGCCGCCGAAGATGTTCACAAAGATGGCCGTGACCTTGGGATCGCTGGTGATGAGGTCGAAAGCCTGCTTGATAGCCTTCGGGGTCGCTCCGCCGCCCACGTCCAAGAAGTTAGCGGGGGCGCCGCCGTTCAGTTTGATGATATCCATGGTAGCCATGGCCAAACCGGCACCGTTGACCAAGCATCCGATATCACCATCGAGCTTGATGAAGTTGAGACCGGATTCACCGGCCTTGACCTCATCAGCATCCTCTTGGGAGATGTCGCGCCAGCTGAAGATCTCCTTCTGGCGGAACTCCGCGTTGTCGTCGAAGCCGAGCTTGGCGTCCATACAGAGGACCTGGTGGTCGCTGGTCTCAGAAAGAGGATTGATCTCGATCTGGGTAGCATCGCGCTCGTTGAAGACCTTGTATAGCTTCTGGATGGTGTCCTTAGCGTCCTCTATGCACTGCTCGGAGAAACCAAGTTCGGTAGCAATATTTCGCGCCATCTCGTCCGTAACGCCAATGTGGATATCAACTGGGGTTGTGATGATGGCCTCTGGGTGGTCCTTTGCGACAGTCTCGATGTCCATGCCACCTTGCGACGAAGCGACAATAACGGGGCCTTGGGTTGCGCGGTCCATGAGGATAGCTAGGTAGAACTCCCGCCGGGCAAACTTCCGCTCTACGACGTATACTGCATTGCAAGGGCGGCCTCCAGCTCCTGTCTGCTTAGTGATGAGCTTGTGGCCGATCATCTGGTCGGCGAGGATGCCAGCTTCTCGAGGTCTGCAGTATTGTCAGATCCATATACCATGCATAGATATTGGCAGCGTACGAGTAGACGACTCTGACACCGCCTTTGAAGCCATTGTCGAATGTGCCCTTTCCTCGACCTCCTGCCAACACCTGTGCCTTTATAACAATATCGTCACCTCCTATGTTCTTCGCGATCTTCTCAGCACCCTCTCCCGTGGTAGCTACGTCGCCAGCCGGGACGCCAATGCCATACTATATCCCTCGTTAGTGACGGGTTCGGTTCTGGATAACGAGAGGGATCGCATACCGTCTCTAGTAGCTTTGCAGACCTGTATTCATGTATCGAGAGGGCCCTGCTTTGTTGGAACACCGCACTCCTCAATGGCGTCTTCGATCAAAATATTAGCACCGATTTATGGGTATATCGCGGGCCTGCGTAAGAGGCGTCGGGGGCGCTGGGGGTCTCGAAGGAGGTACCTACAGTCGCAGCGCGCACAGCGCTGGCTGCCGGTCGGCAACGGGCAAGCTTATACATCGCCAACTACGTATATGAACGAGACGGAGGGCAGGTGGTGGAGGGAGGGCTGGATAGGTGGCTGTAGGTCCTGTCGCGGCTATCTTTGCGGAGGTGTGAGGTTGGCCAAAGCTAGTGGCCTCTCATTGGCCGAGCGAATTTTGCAGGCTCTCAGTCTCCGAGGTCTGCTTTCGTCGACGGAGAACCACGGCGAGATTCAGCTATTTGACACACTGCTGCCCAACCTTCCCTCCTCTCCGGGCCTCAAGATGCCCGCCGTGCCGAGCGAGGCAGATGTCGTGTACAATCGGATGGCCGTGGTGCACGCGAAGCACCAGAGGCTGATTGCATCATGGCTGCCGCCGAAAACCCCCGAGGAGCTTGCCAATGCGAAGTCTGAGGAAGAGCTAGAGAGGGAGGAGAAGGCTATTTTTGCTGCGGTGCCTGAGGTGTATGTTCAATGCCCATGTAGCTTAGCTATTCGCTATACTAATTATATACAGGCTTGGTGTAGGAGCACCAATCCCGAAAGACATCGCCGATGGAAGCTTCAAGCGCAAAAATCTTTCCTCGAACGACAAATTACTCACGCAATTACTCGGGAACAAAGCCGCAAAGGCTCATTTGAAGTCTAAACAAGCATCTAAGCATGCGGCCCCCACTCAGAAGCTTACCAGCAAACCCGTGAAAGGTCTACCCCGCCAGGAAGACAGCGAGGATGAGGAGGAAGGGAGATCTTCTATGTTCAAATCAAAGCGACACAAACCTCGAAAGGTTATACCAGAAGACGACTCAGATCTTGGGGAGGATAGTCGAAGGAAGGATCTTGTCAAGTCATCGAAACCAGATCAGCCTACCAAAACACCCGGCAATCAGGGCTCTACCGCGCCTAGCATAAGCAAGAAGCGAACAAGGGATGTAGATGATGAGGCCCAACGGGATAGCGACGACGAGATTAGCAAAATAAAGGGCACGAAGAAGTCGTCTCCACCGATACTCGAGGGAAAGCAGGACAAGAAAAGCACCAACTACCTAGACGAGGTTTTGTCGGAGCGAAAGAAAAAGAAGAAGAAAAAGCAGAAAAAGATTGACATTTAGACTTAGTGCTAATCAAGATATTCAAAGCCCATCTCATTTGGGACTTCATGCGCAATATAAAAACCGCTTTACCCTCGTCAGATTATCCCCACACTCTAATTTTCTCAACTATTACAGTTTCTAGTCCCTAAATCATTCCCTGCAATGGTTTATCACTTTCCGGAACAGTGAAGTCTTAAAATAGTTCATTCCCGAGGTTTTGCGAAGACCTCAAAGCCAAGGCTCAGCCTCACAGCCATTCCGGAATAGGCGGAGTTAGTTTGAATTAGGCGATTGGCTCCCTGCTCAAAAGCAAATACGTGGGCACATGCGTTACACGACATGAGGCTGAGGTCTAGGTAGCCACGTAGCTAGATTCCTTGCAGAGCCCGAACACAAGCTGGAGCCCATCGCGACGTATTATTCCTTGATCCTACGGCCTGCTCACCTATCGAAAAATTCGCGATGAGCTTCGGCTACAGTGTAGGTGATTTCGTTATTCTGATCCAGCTTGCCGACAAGACTCGGCGGCAATTTTTGGATGCACCAGACGAATTCAAAGCGATTTCAGACATGTGAGTGGATCATTCGATGCAGTTACGTCCGTACACTAACGTAAGGGGTATTACTAGTGTAAAAAGCCTTTCTCCAATATTGAGAGAGATTGAAGACGTCTGGCTCATTCGGGATCTCAACCTCAAGCAGCTGAATGACCTACGCGACATAGCACAGAGCTGTGAAGATGCCCTTGGCAGGCTCAACGAAAAGCTGGAGCGATACCAGGAGCTGGATAGCCACCCAAAAGAACTTGGAGGGAAGGTACACAAAGCATGGAAGAGATTCCGCTGGAACCCAGAAGAAATCAAAAAGTTGCAGGATGATATTATTGTACATGTCAACCTCTTGGATGCGTTCCATGGGAAACTCTTTGGGTACGCACCACCTCCCATCTACAGTGTCTCCAGCTGAGACCACCTTATCAGTCAAGTCACGCTGGCAATCGAAGACGGCGTTGACAGGCTTCATCGCCGCCAGGACGACAGAGAACATCAGGAAATGCTCGACTGGCTTACTCCTATCGACTTTGCCCCTCAGCAGAACGAGATTATCCATAGGCGCCAGGGAGAGACAGGACTATGGCTATTGCAGTCCAACGAGTTTCGCAGCTGGATCAACCAACAATCGCAGATACTCTTTTGCCCGGGTATACCGGGAGCTGGAAAGACTATGATGTCTGCGATTGTTGTGGACTATCTCATGGCAAAATATCGGGATGACCCAAGTGTTGGAATTGCCTACGTATTCTGCAACTATCAGTCGCAACACGAACAGACGCCCGTGGCCATCCTTTCAAGCCTTTTAAAACAGCTGGCTTCAGCAAGGCCAGCACTACCCGACGCGATAAAAGGGCTCAACAAGCCCTTCAACCCTAAAGCTGAGCGCCCGCCCCTTGATGAAATCGTAAAAGCATTGCGAGCGACACTCAAGTTGCACAGCAAAGTTTTCATTGTCATTGACGCCTTGGACGAGTATCGCGTGGCGACTGGGGATGGAACAGACGAGGACGAAAACTATGCTGCTAACAAAGAAGCCCTTGGAAAGCTCTTATCTGAACTGTTCCAACTTCGAACTGAAATCCAAGTCAGCCTCTTCGCGACATCTCGGTTTGAGACTGATATCACTTCGCGGTTTGAAGGCTGTGTATCTAAAGAGATCCGCGCTCATGATCATGATATCCTCAAATACATTGACAGTCGGATGCCAAAGCTTTTGCGGTCACAGATCTCCAAGCACTCACAACTCCAAGAGAAGATTAGGAACGAAATTTTGAATAGTGTTGACGGAATGTGAGTCCCTCTTTCAATTGGTCCCTATTCTGAGCGGTCTTAACTCAGGAGATTTAGGTTCCTCCTAGCTCGATTGCACATGGATTCTCTCATGAGTCAACCCACAGTTGGGCATATCAACCGAGCTCTGGTCGACCTACCTCGTGGGCAAAAAGGCCTAGATAAGACGTACGACAAAGCAGTAGAGAGGGTTGATGAGCAGCCGGAAGCCTCTCGACGGCTTGCTAGAAACATCCTGTCTTGGGTAAGCCATGCGCGGAGAGTGCTCTCTGTCAGAGAACTACAACATGCCCTGGCTGTACATCCAGACATGGCCGACCCCGACGAAGACTTCCTTCCTGATGTCGAAATCCTCGGCTCAATATGTGCCGGACTGGTTCGAGTGGACACTGGCAGCGATACTGTTCAGTTGGTTCATAAGACTACGGAAGAATATTTCAAACGCAAAGCGATTCTTCCAAACGCAGAAAAAGAAATTACAGTAGCTTGCGTTACTTATTTATCGTTTGATGCTTTAGGATCGTTCGCCCGCTCACAAGGAGAACGCTGGGTACGTGAAGAGCTTTTCCCACTTTTCGCTTATGCATCGGACTATTGGGGACATCACGCAGCTCGTGCAGCGTCACAAGAAGTAGATCAGATCGTTCTTGATTTTCTTGAAAAAGAACCTAACGTCACAAGTTTGTGGCAATACATGATGTTCAGGTACGACTACGAAAAACGACAGAATGTATCCCTGGCCTTGCATCTTGCCGTATTCTTCGGTTTGGAGAGTATAACAGCCGCTCTGCTCGCAAAAGGCTTACCACCAGACTCCCTCGATACAGCAGGACGAAATCCACTGTCGTTTGCCGCACAAGAAGGCCATGAAGGAGTTTTGAGCTTATTGCTTGCAAAGGGCTCACAACCAGACTTGACCGATAATTTTGGAGGAACTCCACTATTGTATGCCGCGAAATGCGGCCACGAAGGACTCGTGAGCTTACTGCTTGCAAAAGGCACACCGACAGACTCGTCCGATTACTTGCATCGAACCCCGCTATCTTATGCCGCAGAACGAGGCCATGAAGGAATTGTGACCTTACTGCTTGCAAAAAGCTCACTATCAGATTCGCTTAATTCAACGGATCGAACCCCACTGTCGTATGCCGCAGAAGGAGGCCACGAAGAGATTGTAAACTTATTGCTTGTGAATGGCTCACCGCTAGACTCGCTCGATACACGTGAACGAACTCCAATATCATATGCCGCAGAACAAGGCCACGAAGGAATAGTGAGCTTACTGCTTGCAAACGGCTCACCAGTAGACTCGCCCGATCACGATAGACGAACTCCACTATCATATGCCGCAAGACGAGGCTATAAAGGAATTGTGAGCCTATTGCTTGGAAAAGGCTCATCGCCAGACTCGCCCGATTTACGTGGACGAACTCCACTATCATATGCCGCACAACAAGGCCACAAAGGAATTGTGAGCTTACTGCTGGCAAAAGGCTCATCGCCAGACTCGCCCGATCACGATGGACAAACTCCACTGTCGTATGCCGCACAGGAAGGGCACGAAGGAATTGTGAGCTTACTGCTGGCAAAAGGCTCATCGCCAGACTCGCCCGATCACGATGGACGAACTCCACTGTCGTATGCCGCAAAATCAGGCCACGAGGGCATTGTGAGGAGCTTGCTGCTTGCAAAAGGCTCATCGCCAGACTCGCCCGATTTACGTGGACGAACTCCACTATCATATGCCGCAGAATCAGGCCACGAGGGCATTGTGAGGAGCTTGCTGCTTGCAAAAGGCTCACCGCCAAACTCGCCCGATTTACGTGGACGAACTCCGCTATCATATGCTGCAGAACGAGGTCACGAAGGAATTGTGACCTTACTGCTTGTAAAAGGCTCACTACCAGATTCGCTTAATTCAACGGATCGAACCCCACTGTCGTATACCGCAGAAGGAGGCCACGAAGAGATTGTAAGCTTATTGCTTGTGAATGGCTCACCGCTAGACTTGCTTGATACACATGAACGAACTCCAATATTATATGCCGCAGAACAAGGCCACGAAGGAATAGTGAGCATACTACTTGCAAAAGGCTCAGCGCCAGACTTGCCCGATTTTCTTAGACGAACTCCACTGTCGTATGCCGCACAAGAAGGCGACGAAGGAATCGTGAGGCTACTGCTTGCGAACGACACTGTGAACCCAGATTCCCGAGCTTGTGGCAAGACACCGATGGAGTATGCGGCCGAGAGGAAGCATGAGACCATAGTGAAAATGCTTCTCGAGAAAAGACGTTTGGATGACAGTATGAAGAACAAAGTTGTGAATAAATTGCTAGGGAAAGCTGCCGAAAAAGGGCAGGAGGGGCTGTTAAAGCTCTTCGCTGCACATGGCGTGTCTCCCCTCCAGCAACTCACACCATGCCCAGAAAACGACGCTGAAAAAACAATAGAGCACGGCCTCCAGCAGGGTTTGACAAATGAGTCCTTACTTCGTCAAGCGGCCAAGGATGGTGATATTCAGGTTGTTCGTTCGTGCAATTCTATGGCTCGGGACCAGTATTAACATTGATCAATTCGACGACGGTAAGGAGGAAGACGAAGGCTCCCTCAGCTATTCTCGGTCATATCACAGATCACAGACACCCCTTCATTTAGCAGCACGCAACGGGCACGCAGCAATAGTACAGCTGCTGCTAGAGCACGGAGCTAACATTGGCATGCAGTATATGAAGTATTGAAGTTCGAGTTGAGAAGTCCCCTGTCAGCTATACAAATCCTACCACGAGGGGCACTGCTCTACATCTGGCAGCCCGAAATGGGCATAAAGCATTGGTGAACTTCCTCTTGGAACAAGGCGCACGTGTTAGAGCCGTTCACAAAACTAGTTCTATCGAGCACACGATACACCAGCTTCGAGCCCTTCGACTTCGACATCTACATGAAGGTACCAGTGATCTATCCGGACTGGAGCTGGAGGAGGCACCATCAAATGGTCTAGAGCTTCATAGATTTTCCTCCGAAATCCAGTGGATGTGTAAGACGTGACCAGATCTTTTAGTAAATTTTGCGACACGCTCGAAACCGCGCAGTACGCTCTCGGCGCACACTTTTCCGGCTCCCGCAGAACTCGGAATCTACGTAGATCTCTGTACGCGAAGCTTGTAATGCTAGATACCCTTTGTATTTACACTATAAACACGCTGATTATAGGCCTTGTATACACTTGCCTAGCACGCTTTCGGTTCTCTAATACGTAATCAAAGCCTGAAAGCGACAGTTTTGACAAGCCTAGTAGCTCTCTAAGCAACCTCACACGGAGTCAGAATACACTGCCTCTTTAGGTTCAACGGAGCCACGGAGCACTCGTGCGAACTCTGTTCTAAGAATTCTCTATTATGCTCAAGCATGCACTTGCTTATGTACGCTAGCCTAGCACCGGTTGAGTTCTTCTGGTATATTATAAAAATTGGTACATTGATATTTTGGACGCGCCTCATAGCTTTTTAAGACACCTCAAACGGTATCAGAATAGAAATGCTGAGCCTGCCAGTATTACGTAAGTGCCTTGGTGGAAGCGCAGCTAGTTAGGCAAAACAGTGTACGATGAGAGTGTACTGCCCTGAGACGGCTCGGCTCGAAACGGTTGATTTATACTTCGTCGCCCTTCTTGCAACGGCATCGAAGGCGACGTAGACGTGGATATAGACGGCAAGGAAGCAGCGAAGGAAGTGCATGGTATCGTAACCCAGAGTGTATTCGCTATCCAACCCATAGCACTAGCAGCCCCACGCCCTCGCAGCCCAATGCCGCCAGTAGAGTAAGACAAAGCACGCTCAAGTAAGGAAATAGAGCGCTAGCGATCCAAAAGATAGCTGCATAATAAATAGCAGGCCTCGGAATGGATCATGAACTAGGAGGCCTTCGATCCACTTCATCCAAGGGGCCGAAAGCCGCCTCATGAAGCGCTATAAGGCTTTGGTGATTTTGAAAGACACGCAAGGGATCGGCATTAATAGCTAGATCAAGTCGAGCAATTGTAGAAGCAACCATCTCAGGAGTCAGAGTCTGCTATCCCGTTAGCTACGTTGTCTCAACACGCGAAAAGATGCACGTTTAGTGCACCATTACATCCGCGTGCTGCTGTGGTTGCGGCGCCGCTCCGTTTGCGGGCGGGTCCTCAGCTTTGGCACCGTCCTCGTCTATCTCCATGTCCTCGTCGCCTTCACCTTCTTCCTCGCCCTCCTCCTCGTCGTCATCCTCGGAGCTCTCGCCCAGGTCCTCGCTGCCGGCGTCGGACTCGGCGTCGTCTTCCTTTACGGGTCCAGCAGTATCGTCGGCGCCAGCCATCTCTTCGTCTCCATCGCCAGTGCCTATGGTGGCGCCTTCAGCGATCTCGATGAGCTCTTCTTCCTCCTCCGCTTCTTCGGCACCGTATTTGTCGCCGTCGGCTTCGACGGCATCGGCTTCGGGCTGGTCTGGGGGGAACTCTGGGGGTGCGGATTCTTCAGAGTCCCTGTGTAGATCGGTTAGCATTGTGTCCATTCGCTTCAATTGACTAGTGTCAATTTCCCAGGTAAGAGTTATGCAGACATACCACTTGATAGCGAACCGCGTCACTCTCGGCTTCTCCGCGAGGATGTTGCGCCGCACCTTCTCGATGATGGGCTTGGCCGGGGGCTCAGCGATGAGGGCTTCATCCGTGTACTCGTTGTTGACGTAGTAGCCCACGCGCACGAATTCGCGTCCGTCGTAGCTGCACGAGAGGAGGATGACAGTCACGCCTAGGATCTCGCTGGCGGGGATGCGCGTCAGGCTGGGTGGGTCGGCTTCGAAGATGAATTTGTTGATGCCGATTGGGATGGGACCGACGAGGAGGGAGTCGAGCTCTTGGTCGTATTCAGATCTATAGGGGCATGGTTAGATTATCTTGGCAGATTGAGTGGTATTGGGTTATGGGGGAGAAGTGCGGGCACTTACGAGGTCGCGGAGCCCACGTAGGTCAACTTCCATTCGAGATCTGGAGGGTTAGCAACGCGTAGGATGAGGATAGTGCAGGAGGATTACCTTTTTGCAGCTTCTCCAGACACTCGAATGTGATTTCGAACTCGTAAGACGCGTCGAACGCGGCTGGGTTGTTCTTCACCTCGACGCCGAGGAGCGAGACAACAGACATGTTGGCGGGGTATGCGTGGGTGATGAGCTGCGGTCTAGGAGCTGTTTGTTTGGGGGATGCGAGCTTTAAGTATTGCGAGAGTAGCGGGCAGTATCTGTGCTGGCGAAGGGTGTTTGGGGTTTGGGTTGCGGTAGAGCGGTGGGTGGTCTTGAACTGTTGAAGAAGAGCCGCCGCCGCCCTGCCGCTCTGGAAAGCGCGGTTGCGTGCAGATCACGTGAATGGGCGGGCCTTTCCTGTTTGCTGTTCGGGCTATTGCTTCTCCTTTCTTTTCATCGAAATCCATCCAATGGTATCAATCGAGAAATCTAGAAAACCTCGTCGAGAGGTATATACAGTGCCTCGCCATGGATGCATGTATGTATGTTTACTACGGTCAGAAGTGCCTCAATACATGTGGAATTCTCAGCGTTGATACCCGGACACGTGATGTAAGGAACACGTGATGTATAGGTTTATATACACGTGAAATGTAGATCTATAGTAGGAGGTGTTCCTACTATAGATCTAGTGTAATTGGAGGCCGCACGGGCCTCACCTACGTGTATATAGCCTAGCTAGATTCCTATATAGAATTGACATCTTTTGTCCTCCATTTTTGTTATCACGTGATCGGAATAATCACATACACAGGCGTAAATTTCAAAGCTTATGAGAAGTTTGATTGATTCAGCAGTCGGTGAACCTGCTAGGCCACCTCAGATAGTAGAGTCCTTGCGAGTTTCTCGCCGTAGTTTCCTGCGACTGGTGATTTTGCTAGACCTTTTCCATCGGATGTGCAACTATCAAGTGTCTTCGAGCGAGGCCTTCTTAGCCAGGGCTGTTATCGGTTGTGGTGAATGCATTGCCAAGGATGAGATCTTTTAAATCTAATCTTCATTCTTCACCTCACTTTCGTAGGTCTATTCTCGCTTCCTTCGTCTTCTCCCGGCCTAGCCTAGACGTTTACATCTTCTGCTCCTCTTCCGCTTCCGCTCTTTGAGCAGACCAGAGGACGGCCAACATGGCTTCACAGGGTAGCTGTCCGAGCTCTACTACTCTCCCTAGTTACCTCTTTCAAGCTTACCGCCAGTACAAGTCCGACACGGAAACTATCGCTGGCTGCCTAAGAGGATTCCAATGGATGGCAGGTTAAATCTTGTCCTGAAGGCCTGTCCTGCGTTTGGCCCTGTCGAAGGTCTTGGTGCTGCGGAAGTAAACGCAGTAGAGCGGTCGCATATGGACGGGAAGAGTGTTTCGCGGACTAGGGAGACCGTCGTTGGCCCAGAAAGCGGCGAATACAAACGGGATTGGTTTGTTGTCGACTTGGGAGAGAGTTATGAGCGGGAGAACACTGTCTTCCCGTGTACGTACAAGGGTAAGACCACCTTTAGTCACTTTTACTGAGTATGGTAAAATGTTGCGGGCGCAACTTCGTTGTGATCTTATCAAGTCTTATTCTTGAATGCCTTATTTCGTACCCTTCTTAAATAACTCTTAGTAGGCAATTTAGTTCTGTCCTTCAGCCATGAGGTTCTTCAGAGCATCAAGTAGTTGGTCTTACCCGATGGCACAGAGATAGAGCCGAGCACGAACCCTTTATTTGCCTTTTCGACGCTTCTTAGTGCTTCTGTGACGTTTGTTGCTCGTGGTGCTTTAATGTATTAACAACAACTCGGGCAACAGGTTGAATGCAGCCTTTGTATATCTTGCCAACGGTGTCAGAGGTGGCCTCGGAGGAGTGTATGTACAGGTGTACACAGTTCTACAACAAGACTCTAGGAAGACGCCGGATACGATACTAAAGCTCGCCTATTATGAAGCAGTCTCAGCTTCAACGGATGAGCAGGGGTTATATTTGTAGCAGTTGTTCTGACTGGCGCCTCCAAGTGTCTTATGGATCCCGAAGACTTACGAGAGGCTTATGGTTCCTGGTTACGTGCTTAGGCTGTGGTAAGAGGGAGCAGCCGCTACGGTCAGCACTTTATGTATTCACATTCACTGCCTGCTCTCGTGAAGCCTCCCCAACACCAAGCCCTGTTCCTGAAACAATGTTTTGCAGATCATGGAGCGCAAGGATTGCGTGTTTTCCGGGAGCTGGCCTGAAACAGAAAATAGTCACGTAAGAGATACGCGCGGAGACTTCATTCGGTGGGCACGGGTTCGTGAAGAAGGCACAGCGTTTTGCGCAAACAAAATGCTAGACTGAGCAGAAACTTATGCGAAGAGAGCAATCTCAATGGGTGAGTGATTGCAGTGAAATGCTGTTATTCTCTGCTGTGTGACATTGCAGCCAGTCTCGAAGCTGGGGAAGACAGAGCAAGTGCGGTTGCCCATCTGCAATCTCCTCGTTCACATGGATTCTCAGCTTCTGATACCAAAGCAATGACCGGATTGCTTGTTTCACGCCAGCTCCGCAAAAGGGTTTCGTTTCGTGGGCTGGAAGCTCAGCCTCGTTGGGTGCCGGATGGCGCAGCAGCAGCCTCGAGTCTGTGTGTTGTTCTCAACGGCAGCCCAAGGGGCACATTAATAGTAGAGCCTCCTCTAGGATTCGGAAGGATTGCCAGCAGCAGGATCCCCCTCCCTAACTTTGCACGGATGATCTTAGGTGATACTTCTTAGAGCCTCATTCACCCCGCTACCCCAAACACCATCTGACCGTTTCCAAGACATACCTCGAGGCTGCTTTCAACCTGTCTTAGAAATGAGCATGACCTAACCCTCCAGTCCCTTCTTCACTCTATTACTATCTGTACTGTCCTGTCTGCCCGCCGAGTCCGCCCCCTTCCTGGCCGCGTCTTCATCCGAGCCCAACTCCGCGATCTACTCGAGCTTCTGCAACGCTGCCGGCTTGGCCTCGCGTCTAGCTATTTACACCTCGCGAAGCCCTAACTTCTACCAAGAGTGTCTTGCTAAGAGGTACGTAATTCTTGAGAGATTTCCCTTTCTTGCCTTGTCTCACCCCTCGCCCATGGAGTCACCTCATGCGACGTGGTGTTGCAGCAAACCTCCACCTCGACCCTCGAACCTTTCACACACAACTAACAAGTATTCCAGCAGTCGCTAGACATATCAAGCATGAGCTACAACCAAGGGCAGCCCCAGCTGGGGGCTACCTTCGTGCCCGGCGGCTTCGACGATTACTACATGCCTCAAGCCGGACCTGAACTAATATCCCCGGCTCCTCAGCGGTTGGTACACTCTTGCTCTGTCGCCTGGAAACAATGGAGCTGATCTAGTTGTGGTGGATAGAATAATGCCGGAGGTTCCAGAGAATATGCAGGACAACCTCGCACATCTTGAGCTCGAGGCCAACGGACCTCGCAACTCGATGCCTCCACAACCGCCGCAATCGTATAATGAGCCCCCCGCGAACGCTTTCCCGCAGCGAACCTCAAGTTACCAGAGTGAACAAGCACAAAGCGGGGCACCAGCAGGGCCACCAGGAGGGGGACATTGGCCACAGAGGAACGCCAGTATATCTTCTACCTTCAAACAGCCGCCCGTTGTACCCGTACAACCAATTCAACAGAGTACCGTATCCCACGATTACAACCAATTTGCAATCCCTTCCGACCTGCCCAACTTCTCGCCATTCCCCAAACTCCGAACCCGACTCGCACATGTACCACCCACGGACGACGAGAAGGAGGCTGTGCTGGAAAATGCGCGCGTGCCAGTCTTGAACTCGAATGACCCGGAGATGCAGCTTACTTGGGCCCAGGATGCCCTGGCATATGTGGACGCGTCGCAGCTTCACGAGCAGAGAGTGGCAGCTACCCAGCCGCCAAGACCACATACACCCCAAGTAGAACATCAATTACGCGTGGATGCTATGAACATAGTGGGATTCCTCGCGGACCAACACCACCCTAAAGCCGAGTTCATGAAGGGCATGTGGCTAGAATTTGGCAAATTTGGTATGAGAGTGGATAAGAAAGACGCGTTTAGGTGCTATACCCGTGCGGCGGAAAAGGGCTATTCGCGGGCAGAGTACCGTATGGGCATGCAATTCGAACAGTCGAACGATCCTATCAAAGCTCTCGTACATTACAAGCGAGGCTCGGAAGCTGGAGATTCAGCGTCAAACTACCGCCTCGGAATGATGACACTACTAGGACAACATGGCCAGCCACAGGATTATGCCAGGGGTATCCAGCTCATACGGCAGGCTGCGGCGACAGCGGACGAGAACGCACCTCAGGGTGCCTACGTCCTAGGCATGCTACAAGCGCGAGAGTTACCCCAAATTAACGTGCCGGAAATCTACCTACCGTATGACGAGAAGCTAGCGCGTCAGAACATCGAGAAAGCTGCATACCTTGGATTTGCGAAGGCCCAACTCAAGATGGGCTCTGCATATGAATTATGCACTTTGGGTTGTGAATTCAACCCTACGCTCTCAATGCACTATAACGCGCTTGCTTCCCGGCAGGGCGAGGCGGACGCGGATATGGCTATTAGCAAATGGTTCCTCTGCGGATACGAGAACGATTTCAAGAAGAACGAAGAACTAGCATATGCTTACGCCGAGAGAGCCGCTGCTGCAAATCTGGCCACCGCTCAATTCGCTATGGGCTACTTTAACGAAATCGGCATGGCGACGGAAAAGAATATTCAAAAGGCTACAGAGTGGTATCAGAAGGCTGCAAGTGCTGGTAACAAGGATGCCATTTCAAGACTGGAGGGCATCTCGAAATCACAAACTCTCAACAAGAAAGATCACGAAGATATTGCCATCCAGAAGATCAAATCACAGTATGGCTCAATGCGTGGAGCTCGGCCAGCAAGACTCCAGAAAGCTGCAGCACCGCAGTTGCCATCTATCGTTGACGATAGTCCTTCTGATTACGGATCGGGATCGGACGCTGCCTCGCCCGTAGTTTCTAGACTTCCAGACCGCAACGCAAGTTCTACACCATATCCGATATCTGACCAGCCTCCGGTTGTAGCCGCCAGGGCTTCCACACTAGGCGCACCATCTCCGTACGATAGAGGAAGCACGACGACCCCATACCCCATGGGTGATATGTCTCTTCCAGTGGGCCCTAGGCCGAGTATAGCAGGAGGGTTCGCTCCCGAACTACGGTCGGCTTCGACAGCACCTCCCAACTCTCGACCTATGTCGGCTTTCAGCATCAATCCTAATCTATACGCCGATCGACCCGTCTCTGGTGTTCCACCACGACTGGCTCCATACCAGCAAGGAAATATGGGGCCGATACCATTGCTACCATACACAAGCATGGATAACATGGGTCGGGGAGGAGGCAGAGATCCGCGTGATCAGCGTGCTCAATCTGGTGGATATCCGCCAGACCCGAGGGCATACCGTGGTCCTGGAGGACCGAGTGTGGAACGCCCAGAGCCCTACGGCACACCTCGTCCTGCTGACTATGGAGGGCAGCCATCACGGCCTGATAGCGGATATCAAAGTCCGCCGGACGGTCGAAACAAACTCCAGAAGGCCAGCGGCAATCCTAACAAAGGTGGAAACCCCAACAAGGGGCAACCGACCCTACCTGATATTGGATTTGAGGCACCTCTCGCACCACCACCTCTGGCTCCGAAGCACGGCAAGCTACCTCCACGACAGGAAAGCCTCGCTAATGCTAGATCATCCACTGTACAACCCGGACAGGAACGTTCGGGCTCCGCCCGGCCACTCGACCGACCAAGTACAGCTGCTCCAGGTGGTCGTCCAGGATCACGGCCCAGTTCATCAGGTCGCGAGTCAACGCCGAGACCCCTTCCTAAGAACGACAAGAGCGACCTTCCATCGCAAAGGACCGGTGAGCAGAAGAGACCTAGCGAGCAGCAGAAGCCTAGTGAGGCGAAGAAGCCTGGTGAAGTCTCCAGACCTCCGCCTGCAGCCGCTGCCACTCCTCCCGCTCCGAAGCCAGCTGCTGCGCACCCACCTGGAAAGGGACCAAAGACGTTCGACGAGATGGGTATTAGTCAGCCCGGGAAAGAGAATGAATGCGTAAGCGACCCTTTTGTTACATCCACTGATGAATTCGCGAATCTCATACTAACAAATCTCAGGTTGTCATGTGAGCCAAGAAGGCACATTTACGGCTTTATCTTCTGTTGATGATGCATTGGGCGAGGTGATTGCATAGCGGTGCTCTGGGGTTCCGGATGTTTGAATGAGCTGTGATGATTGTTGATGGCTTTTAATGGATTCCCTATAATACCCTGGGTACATAAACCTACAAAAACGAGCGTGGGTTGTTCTATGGCGAGTTGCAGGACATTGGATCCTTGTAAGTACACTGGTAACGAATAATCATGATTCGAATTATTATACCAGCGTGCAAAGGTGGTAGCGGTGTTGGTGGTGGGAGATGCGCCCCGTGACTTTTAGCCTTGCGGTTTTGGGATAGTCGCCACCATTCAATTTCAACATCCTCTCTTCTCCACATCCCTCCCTCAACCTCCTTTCCTACTTCCTCCAGCATCTTTTCAAGGTCTATTCCACTCTAGAAACAAGAACACCATGGCGCCTCGCAAGGAGAAGACCGAGAAGGTCTCTGGGGATGCTGCTGCCGACACCATCCTGACCTATCTCCGTGCGTCATCTCATCCAGTAGCCAAAGACGTGAGGAAGTTTGACTACTAACAGCGCAATGTAGGCAAACAGAAGTGAGTCTATTATCAGATGTTTCCTTTCTCACAAATCACGCGTCCATGGATGGAGTCTGACGTGTGCTTTTCAAAGCCGCCCGTATTCGGTATGTTCAACCCTTTGCACACATCATAGACAACGATGCTAACAGCAAGACCAGGCTACCGACGTTTCGGCCAATCTACACAACAAAGTGACGAAAGGTTTATTGCTCCAGTCCATGCGGGCTTTCGCTTCTCGCGATCGTAGCTAACGTAGACCTCGCCGCAGCCGCTGCGGCCAAGATCCTCAAAGACCTGCACGAGAAGAAGGAGATTGAAGGACGGGCTTCCGGTACGCTGTATTCTCTTCTCCGTATCATCTCCTGATGCTCCTAGATACGAGTACAGCTCCCGAACCTCTTCGCTAATTCCCAACAGGAAAACAGATTGTCTACCACTGCGTCCAGGTAACAATACACCCGCCCTCAAAAACCTTTGCCTCATCTGCTCTCTCTTGTCGGCCATCTCTGACCTCCCCCGAATAGTCCGTCGATGATGCTGTCACCCCCGAGCACCTCGCCGAAATCGACAACACCATCTCTACTCTCCGCGCCGAAACCACCACCGCGACCGCTTCCGCGAAGACCCTTCGTGCGTCGCTGGCGAGTCTGAACACTACCCTCTCGACCTCGGACCTGCGTTCTTCGATTGCTAAGCTCGAAGCGGAGAGAGAGGACTATGAGACACGGCTTGGCGCGCTGAGGGGTGGGCAGATCAGGCCTGTGAAGAAGGAGGAAAAAGAGAAGGCGGACAGTGAGTGGAAGGTGTGGAAGGGGATTGCTGGGCGCAGGACCAACATTGTGAAGGAGATGTGGAAGACAGTTGAGGAGGTGGGGCAGGGGATGAGTGCAGAGGAGAAAGCCGAGCTGAGGGAGAGACTGGGACTGGATGAGTAGGCGATGGGGAGATGATGGGCAAGGGCGAGAAGTCTGCGTAGAGCTGGCGTGAGTAAGATTTATTCGGTGTCTGAGACGGGCTCACAGTCCCGCCAACATAACGGTCGAACCCCACATCCATTGACCACGATAACCTGCTAGGCGACATCCGGCGTTGTCAGACGAGTGGACACAACAATCGAGTATGTTTAACCATAAACTTTTCATCTTCTCGTCCGCCCCTGGAGGGCCTAACTACACTATCTGCCCCCTCCGCCAGCCACTCCCATTACCTCTTCCCTCTCCACTCTTCACACTCCCGCCCATGCTCTCGCATCCGCGCCGCCTCAGATCCGTTAATCGCGTTCTTTTTGTCAGACAGGGTGACCAGCGGCGTTTCCGTTGCTGTTGCCGTTGCGTGCGTGAACTTACTCGCGCCACCCGTCAGTGCTATCTTTGGAATCATCATCGCCGTTGGGCGCGCTGCCGGCGGGAGTAGGAGCACCCTCGGGAGCGGTAGCGGTAGCGGCAGTGACAGCGGCTGGGGTGGGGTGGGGGTATTTCCGGGAGGGTTCAAAGTGCGAGACCTAGCCCTGGACAAGTCGGCGACGAGAGAAGATACATCCAGGGTGCGGGTGACGACGTGGTCCTCGCCGGGGGCTGGTCCGTGGGTTGTGACGGTGGCGATGAAGGGGAATTCGCGGTCTCGGCCGGGGCAGACGGGGCAGAAGGGGCAGACGACTGGGGTTTGGCTGGGGGCGGGGGCGGTGATGGTGGTGGTGATGGTGGTGGTGATGGCGGGGCAGGTTGGGATGGCGGCGTGCGCTGGGAGGACAGCGGGGCCCGGAGAGGCGAGGGAGAGGGCTGTGAGAGGAGGCATGGTGGTGTGGAGTTTCGTTGATACTTTCTTGATCGTGTCTTATCTGAAGGAGGAGGGAGAAGGGAGGGTTGTGAGAGAAGAAAGTGTGTGAGGTGGGCGTTTTATAGAGAGAGAGAGGAAATGGGCGAGGGGCATGACTTGTTTATACGGCGTGTGCCCATGGTGTGTGTGGAAGCAAGGCGGGTGGCAATTACGATCTAGAAGCCAGATGGGGCTTGGGTGCTGAGGCTGGGGAGACGTAGGTGAATATAGCGGTTGATTTGGGAGGCTGAGGATAATGGGCCGCGATGGAGTAACTAACGCTGGACCGATGGGCTTCTGATGGTCTGGCCCGAGGGAGGGTTTTCAGTTTCATAGTACTAAGACAATCTCGCAAGTCTCCTTACGCCTGCATAAAACCGGTATGGTGCGTTAGTATAGCACTAATTGACAGCTAGAATTGTGGGTTACAGGCTTGGTTCAGGTACACCTAGAATATCCTTCACCGACCCGGTAGGGTTTCAGGCTTGTCCAAATTGATAGTCGCATATCTGCTATGTCCCTTGAAGCGCATCAAGCGACGTTCTAGAGCTGTGGGGGAAGCTTTTGTGCTGGTGTTGTGTGCTGTGGATGTGATTGGACACCTGTCTGAACGTACGATGGCCTTTCGGGAGCTGCTAGTGAGCTCCACATTCCGATGACTACGCGTCAAGGATGTAGGATACGTGCAGCCTTTGTCCTTTGGAAACTACGTAGCTTTTGGTTTCAACGTCCATCATGTATATGTGAGGAGGAAGGCTTAAGCGTTACTATTAAGAATCATATTGACTATTAAGAATTACGTTGACTATTAAGATTCACGTTGCCTGTTGAGAATCGCATTGACTACAAGGTTGAGCGAGACTGATCATATATTGCCCAATTCAAACAACCCCCTATTACCACATTCTATCATCTTAGTGTCGCACATGACATCCAGGCCCTCTCTCCTCGTTCTCATCGGCGGACGTGAAGCTTTGGCAACAGAAGAGTGAACCGGGCGAGCTAAAGCAAAGTGCAACTCTTAACACTCGCTTTCCGCTTCTGCGGGACAGTGAAGCCAGCCGTCAAAGCGAACAAAGAGCGCACCGCGGCTTCTTCCTGACGAGAACGTGAGGGAGTCAGTTGGGAAGGGACATTGTCGAGTGTGAGCTCGGGTTCGGCGTGCATGGCGTTTGTGTCGGGAGTGTGCGTAGTAGGGTCGTCTAGCTGGAAACGAACGCGTTTTGAGGGAGTGATGGCATTTCTGTCGTAGCCTTGGGTAGCGGGTTCACCTAGGCGGACACGAGAACGTTTTGAGAGAGTGGCAGAGGCGGGAGAAGATAGGGGAGGAGAGCAGCGGGGAGTTGAGGGAGGCGAGGGATCGTGCTCCTTTTCCGAGGAAGAAGTGGAGGAATGAGTTGAGAATGAGACGGACTCGTGTTCTCCGGATGTAGCCTGCTCTTCCTTGTCCGAGTTCTCGCCCTCGTCTTCCATTTCGATAGCATTCCCATCCTCATCTACATCCCAACTCGTCGAGATTCCATGTTCCTGGCATCTGTCCCTAAGCATCTCGTTCTCAACCATCAATCTCTCCAACATTGATTTAGTGTCTTCTAATTGCAGCTCCGCTTCCGCCCTATGATTCTCTTGGAAATCGAGATCATGCTCCAGCTTCTCAATTTGTGCATTGGCCTCCGCAATCTCCAGAGCCTGCCGTTGTAGATTCCGCATCGCATGTCTCTCTCGGCCAGTGGCATCGAGAAGTCTCATGTCTTTCTGCGCATTCGCTAGCGCCAGCCTCTTGTTTTGGCTGGCAAATTCCCTGTACCCCTTTTCTATACGGGCATAGTTTGGGTCTTGCTTCTGGAGGGCCTCGAGTTCTTTTCTCAGGTGTTCGACCTCCTGCTGGGTGTGAGTGAGTCGGAAGTCTCGACTCTGGATCTCCCTCTTCAGTTCCACGTTCGCCGCGTAGAGGATGTCTCGGACTTGAAGATCTTGAAAATATTTCCGCAGGGACTCGTTTTCGGCAATGACTTCGTCATAGCTCCGGAGCGGAACAGCGGGCACATCTGACGCTGTATTTGAGGGTGTTACCGAAGTTGAGGATGCTGCTCCTTGCTCTGCTACTGCGGAGATAGGTGCCCGCTCGGGTTCGACGTTTTCGGGATCTGATGATTTTGTGGGGTCAGCGAAGGGAAGAAGACGAAGGATGTAGGCGGCATGAATTTTTCGTCGAAGCGGCCGAAGTAATTTAGAGCAGGAGAGGGTCTCCCACAAGCGATCCATCTTGTGTAAGCAAAGAACCTTAACATAGGCCGGCCCCCACATTGATGTCGATCTTGTGCTAGATCCTTCTCGAGACGCTTTATAAAAGTATGCCTCTCCGTCCGTCGGTTTCTAGTAGCTACGCGAGCGCCAATTGAATCCTCGGGCGGGTCGTCGTGAACAACAATGTCGATTGGAAAAACTTCGATAGAGAGAGGAGAAACGAGGGGTTTACCTTGTCGCAAGTTCTGGTCGAGGTCTTCGTCCTCAGGGTCGTCGAGCATAGCCGGCGTGACAGCGGCTATTGAGGTAGTCATGAGCTCTCAAACAAGAGTTCCGCGTTGACGCTTCACTAGAGTAGTGTTAGCAATAGGCACAGGGGAAGTCCAATACTTCGTCAATGTGCAGTCTTCTGTCAGGGATCGGTGCATGCTATCCCAGGCCACGGCCGTCTGAGGTGGCCCGGCTAGTTTACAGGTCGTTCGAAACAGCTAATTTCCATCTTGTTTTGACTCCTGAAAGCGGGTCGGGGCACCCAAGATGTCGACAGACAATACAAAGACTTCTGACTGGGCACTTACGTTGTGGCTAGGCTCTGGAAGAGTGTGGATACAACCTCGAAAGCAGGATCCCTAGTGAGTTGACCTTCCCGGCATGAGGCGTCAATGCTTCGCCAGCGGATACCGAGTAGAGATGGTGGATAAGGGTGTCGCGGGAGTGTGAAGCAGTATCCTGGGCGAGGCGTGAGTGTGTAAAGATGCTGGCTGAGCCTAAAGGAATGGATGCGCCCGTATGGATCTTCAAGTGTCTACAATCGGTCGTGCAGCGCGTCTAGAGCGTACTTGTATCTTGTCTAAGCTTTGCTTGCTGTAGTAAAGGAGGGTAGGCGCTGGCCGGTAGATGGAAACACGGTAGTTGATACGTTTCACGATGGAGGCTGCGAACTCTTATAATTGTAAGCGTCAAGGTTGTAGCTTGCCCAGAACTCACATGCCGCACTAAACAAGTCTATGTGACGATGGCTGTACGTTGCTGGTCGATGGTAAGACTGTAAATAGTATGTGTTGAGATGGGGATGGAAGTTGGGTGATGAAGATGACAAGGGGGCAAGCGAAAACAGCCGTTGCCGAACCTTGGGAGAGAGCTGTATTGAGTCGAGGAAGTAGCCATTCAGACCAGACTTGCAACCTTGGGAGACGTGGGCAGATTGTCCTTGGCAAAACCTTACCGCTTGCAATGAGGAAAAAAACATTAGAGACAACTGATTCTACCAACCTTTTGACAACTCCATCGAGCACCACCTCAGCACTTCATCCTTATCCCGTCTCTCATCTCCTGCTCCCGAACCTCAAACATGACCTGCGCACCAACGAACAGCGCCGCGCACGCTGCAGCAAGGAACCCCAACCCCGAATAGCTCCCCACGATCCCATTGATCAATCCCTTCAGCCCATCGATTCCCAGCGCAAACCCTACCAAATTGGCGACCATCATCATGAGGATGTTCCCCACAGCGCCAACACCGCAGATGACACGGTACGCATTCGGCTGACTCCGCCATTTGCGTGCCGGGAAGAGCAGCGTAGCAATGACTTCAGGAAGGATAAACAGCGTTATCAGCCATCCCCACATCAGCAGTCGCAGCTGGATATCGTGCCACAGCGCGACGAATGTGAAGACGGCGAGGAAATTACCGATGTTGCGCGCTTTGCCCCATAGACCTGTGGTGCCGCTGCCGCCGATGGGGATATAGATATACCGGACAATCCAACGGTTGAAGCTACGGTGCCAATTGCGCCAAAACATAGCGGCGGAGTAGTTGTCGCTCATGCATCGGACCATGTTCTCCGGAGGATCGACGCCATCGAGGAGAGCCCACAGGCGGAAGAACCGCCAGGGAAGAAGAAGTTTCAGCCAGATGTGGTTCAAGTTGAAGTACCCCAGCATGCTGAGTTGGAAGGGGGTGTAGATCTCCCAGGCCGGCTGTGCTTTAAAGATGGCGACCATATACATGTAGTGGATCATGATTTCCATGGTCAAGAGCGCGACAACGAACCGTATCGCATACATGGTTGTACGGGTGGCATTGATGCTGTGGGGACGATAGCGCTGTTGGGAGATATAATCGTTGAAGGTAAGGATCGGACCAGTAAGGTAGAGTGGTGAGTACAGTATGTATGCGAAGTAGTTCCGGAAGGAGAAGTCGGCTGGCTTTGCTGGGACAGACACGCGGTCTCTCTCCGAAAGATTCGAGGGGTCGAGTTGCTTCTTCTTGAGGCCATTAGATTGAACGTAAGTAAAGGGGAGAAATAACCCACCTCGACGGGACTGCCGCCCCGAAGATTCAAGCTCCAGTAGTAGTCCATGTTGAAGCTTATCAAGCGTAGGACTGTGATGTTGAAGAGAACCTCCCATCTAGATATCAATCCTCCATGGCTATCGACCCACTGCCCCCAGTTGGTGGAAGGTAGCTTGCCATCTGCCGAAGGAGACTGAGGAAGCACAAACGCCCATATTGCAGCAACCGAATAACCCCGGAAAGATTCATTGGCGAAGAGAACGGTAATGTTGAATATCCAGGTCGCTGCAGGGATGTACCGTTTCGGCAACTTCAGAGCAATACTGTAATTGAGATACAGTATCAAGAGGATCTTCAACGCGGAAAATTCGTGGAGAGCAGTGATGAAAACGGCAGCAAAGGCAAAGTCAAACGATATTCTCTGCTCTAGTCGGGCATCTGCAGCGGCAGATGGAGACAGTCCCATGGTCAGTGGGCTGCTCGACACCTGCGTGTATATGTTTGACATTGTGAGGTAGTTGTAGGCCTTACGAAGGAGCGGATGCAGAAGGACGACAACGAATAGATACGGCAGATTCTGTCGAAAGCCAGCATACTGGGCATCGGAGTCATCCTGACCTTGTAAGTAAGAAGGAAAGTGGAAAGAGAAGATATAGGTGACATACGACTTTCCGGCCGGGGATCCAGCCATCCGAGAGTAAATTGGCGAATTTAGGATAATTCGGATGGGATTCTGGCCTCCGATTAAGGACTGATCAAAGAAAGAGACTGGAGAATACGCTATATCTTACCTTTCGAGACATCGCATACAACCTTAAACATCATAGGGACGACGAGAATGAATATAACATAGTAAATATAGAACTCGGGGGTCCGCCATTGTGAAGGGCGGGCGTTCTCTGCTATCTTCTGTGCACTACTGCTTCCTACTTTCGTCTGACTGCGACCATTCTCTCCCGGCGAAGACTGTGCTGGGTCAAAGCGAGCTTCCTTAAGTGCCTCCTTGGGGGGAGCAGTGGCTGATATTATGAAGCGGGTGTCGAGCGTGTCGAGGGAATAAAGCTGCCGCAGAAATTGAAGCAAAGTCATGATTTCGTGCGTCCTCTGGACATGTCAGTAGCCCAAACAAAGCGTCAAGAAGTGTTGTGGAGAAGCAAGAGGCGCGGAGACTTGAAAAGGAGAGAGACGACGTCGTCTGACCAGCCTCTTGAAGTTCAGCGTTTCGACATGCCTCTCCAACGTCTCCGCAACCACTCCGCCCACGCCAATCGCAAAACACGAGAAGAAGGCGTTCTACGCGTCAATTGACCGCCTGGATCCGTCGTCTATCTAGCTAAACCCCCCGCGCTTCTCCGCGACGGCCACGATGAATCCCAGCTCGGCCACCGCACCGAACACGAACGAGTACGCGGGAGGTAGGACACCCACCACACTATACATCCAAACTATTTCACTAACTCTGCGACAGACGAAATCTCAGCGATCGTCCTCGACCCGGGCTACTCCTCGACCCGCGCCGGATTCGCCGGCGAAGACATCCCCAAATCCGTCATCCCCAGCTACTACGGCATTGCGCCCACCGCCTCAGGCTCGTCCCAATACCTTTTCGGCGAAAATTCGATTCACAACCCGCTCCCGAACCTCGAAATCAAGAACCCATGGAGCTCGGACGGCATAGTCGAGGATTGGGACACGGCGACGAAGCTGTGGGAGTATGCGATCACGTCGCGCTTGACGGGGCAGCGGCCCACCGACCCCACCAAGAACGGGCTGAATGATGGCACAAATGGCGAGGAGAATGGGCAGATGGATGTGGATATGGATGGGCTGGATGATGCGGAGAAGCCGCTTGCCGAGAGCCCGCTGCTCATGACAGAGCCAGGCTTGAGCTCGGCTAAGGCGCGGGAGAAGTATATTGAGATTGCGATGGAAGATTGGGGGACTCCGGCATTCTATCTGGGGAAGACTGGGGTACTGGCCGCGTAGGTGCGAATCATCACGGGCAGCTGAAGGCGGTATACTGATATTTGAGATAGATTTGCTTCGGGGAAGGCTTCAGGCATCGTCATTGATATTGGAGCCTCCACGACGACGGTCACACCCATTGTGGATGGGCTGGTGCTCAAGAAAGGTACGATGCCCCATAAGCTATGGGAATGCAGGTCTAACAAAGCTTCAGGTGTCCAGAAATCCCCACTCGCTGGAAACTACATGTCGAACCAGCTCCGCCTCATCTTCGCGCAATCGCAACCCCCAGTCCCTCTCACGCCGCACTTCATGGTTGCCTCGAAATCACCCGTCGATGCTGGCGCCCCCGCTCAAGCCATCTACAAGAAATTCGAGGTCCCCCCAACTGCCTCCTTCCGCAGATTCGAGGAAGAGCGCGTCCTGACCGAGTTCAAAGAGTCGGTGGTAGAGACATGGAACGGACCAAACCGCCTCAGCGTCCCCGGAACCGAGGAATCGCTAAAGAGTGCGCCGGGCAGGCCATTTGAGATGCCAGATGGGTACAACCAGCTGTTTAGCGCAGAGAGGTTCAAGGTTGCGGAGGGCTTGTTCGATGCTTCATCGGCGTTGCATGTGAGTACCACCATCTCCCTAGGATATGATCGTGTAAGGCCAGCCCTAACATCAGACTAGGACCCCGACAACCCCCGCCCCAAAGACGAACAGACGATCCCCCGCATGGTCCAAGCCGCCATCCACCACATCGATGTCGACCTCCGCCCATTAATTCTCGGTAACGTCATCATCACTGGCGGCGCGTCGCTCACATACCGCATTATGGATCGCATCAACAACGAGCTTTCGCAAATGTTCCCGGCGCCACGAATCAGGCTCATTGCACCTGGAAACACGATCGAGCGCAAGTATGCTGCGTGGATCGGTGGCAGTATCTTGGCGAGTTTGGGCAGTTTCCACCAGCTATGGATCTCGAAGAAGGAGTACGAGGAGCACGGGCCTAGTATTATCGACAAGAGGATCAAGTGAGTGGCTTTCGGGTTTCGTCTTTACTATGGTAGGCTCAAAAGGGACTGGATTTGGTTCCTCAATTTGGCGTAGGGCACAGGTAAGGGGCAGTGGAAAAGAAATCGTTTCATTTCCTCTATCTTTGTAGCACGTATGTAGCTCGTAAAGAATAGCATTGGACTACATGCTTCGAGCATTCATGATTGCAATATTACGAACTGTTGACCTGCTCTTCTACCGCTGGATAGACTGAAAGCATGATCGTCGCCCAAACGCCCAGTGTACACTGCTTTCATCACCGTCCACTCCTCTCATCCCCTACCTCGACCTGACCCACCTACGAGTCCACATCCATGACCTCCCCAACCCCCGCCACGCTCTGCTCATCCAACTCGTGCACCGTAACATACTTACTAATCTCCTCCCGCGTAATCACCTTCTCATTCAACACGGCTGTCGTGCCCCGCTTGAACCGATAATTCCGCGCCTTGCTCTCCCGCACATTCGGCGTGATGTAATTCCGCATCAGCGTCGTCTTCTCCGCCGTGATCACGCACACGTCCACATTGCTCCCGCTGCCCAGGTCGTTGAAGATACCCGCCTGGATCGCGTCCGCGCACAGCTTCACCGCGTCGTCCTTGCTCAGCGCGCTCTTCCACTGCGTCTCGAAGACGGACATGGCGGCGAGCGAGCCCGAGCCCATGGTCACGTAGGGGAGTTTGTCGGTGGACCCGTGCGCGTGCACGGTGAAGAGGTGCGCGCCCGTGGGGTCGACGCCCGCCACGACGAGGTAGGCGCCGATGTGGCCTTGGTAGCGGAAGAGGTGCTGCTTCAGCATCGTCATGCAGGTTACGACGCGGGGCTTGCGGCCCGTGGAGAGCGCGTGCAGCTCGAGGTTGGAGGAGATGATGGCGGTCGTGAATTCGGTGTCGGCAGCGGTGCCAGCGCCGGCGCACCAGATTTGGGGGGCGATGTAGTGAAGTTTTTCGCAGTTCTAATAGGTAGAGAAAGATTGTTAGTATAGATGGAGGAGGAATGGGGGAGGGGAGGGTCGAGGCTGGGAGGTGGTGTACGGACCTTGTCTGCTACGATGGGCCCGCTGGTTGCTCGTGTGTCGGCGGCAATCACAACTCCCCCATCGTATATACAGCCGACGATTGTAGTACCGGTGCTCGTGGCTTTGGGGAGGGGGACGCCCTGGGCGTGCAGAGCAGCATTGCGGTTGTGGTTGGAGAAATCGAAGCCGGGCATGGCGGCGGTGATGTCGGGGGTTTGAGTTGTTGGTGAGGGTGATGAGGATTCTCTCCGGCTGTCAGAAGCAGTCGAGAGAGGTTAAAGGGAGTATGTAGATGGCTGAGAGGGGGAGTTGGGGTGATGTATAGTTAGGTGAGGTTGACGTTGCTTGCGAGATGCCTGGAGCTCCCCCGGCGCCTCAAATAATGCCACGTGACTTAGGAACCTCAGAGCAAACCACCGCGACGAGACGAATAGCTGCACCCACTGTACGGCTCTGACGCTCTCCTTCACCAGAGCGCAGGCCGCCCCAAAGCTCCGCCATTTTCAACAGAAGCTTCCAGCTTTTCCGCCCGAGCCCGCCCCGCGGACCGACACGCTCTTTTTCCTCCTCCGTCCACTTCCCCATCGCGCATGTCGACAATCCGCGTCCACTTATAAGAAAGACGCCGTCGCGTGAGATTCATCCGGAATACCTACAAGCAAGCATAGCTTTCGCAAACATGACCGCCCAAGTTCAGCTGGGGCCTGAGCTAGAGTCTCTGGACGACATAGAGGTACTTGATTTCTCTAGAATGCGCAGAGGCTTTGCTAACACTGCATCGCAGACACTTGCTTTCGCTGGCTTGAAAGGCGACAAGAAGCTCAAACTCCTGCCGACACCTTGGCCAGAGAATAGCCTGCCTCCTCCAACTTCGTCCCTCTTCAGTATCGCATCAAGAACCGGTATACTCGCAGCAGCTGGCCCAGACGTGCTTGTTATTGCTACCACAAAATCTGTGCGCGACACGCTCTCTGGCAATGGAGAAGACGTCGAGGGTGCGACTGGTGTGAAGGCGTTCACTCCCCAGGTCACCATCCCGCTTCCACGCCTCTCCCAGGTCGCATTCTCAAGCAACGAGAGCTTCTTGGTGGTGTCTGCAGAGCAAGGCGGAGGACTGGCTGTCTATGAGGTCCCGAAGCTTCAGCAGCTGAACCCCCAGCCTGCGTTTCAAATCCCAACAAATAGCACATCGGTCCGAGCCCTGATACCAAACCCAGCACCTGAATTTGAAGATCTGTTCTCCATTGTGCTTACCGATGGCACTCTGCTGCTGGCGCATTTGAGGGAGCAGAAACTTGTTCAAGGACCGACAGGAGATACTGTGCTGCATCGGAATGTGAGCTCCATTTCGTGGAGTGCTAGGGGCAAACAGCTTGTTGCAGGCCTGGGAGATGGGACAGCTGTACAAATCAAGCAAGATGGGTCTATCGTGGCACAGATCCCGCGACCTCCTGAGATAGGTGCCGATAATCATGGTAAGAACCGTCTATCTTGTTCTCTATGGGCTTTGCTAATGTATGATAGTTGTTTCCATATATTGGCTCGACAACGATACGTTCTTCGTTACCCATTGTCCCACACAGAGACTGCCGGAGGAAGTACCCGAGCCTACTCACCACATCATGACCACGGATACAAGTCGAGCGAACTTCACCTTCTCGAAAATTGGCGAAGAGCCCTGCTTTCCTGTGCTCGATGGCAAGCGCGGATATCCATACCATTACTTTCTCACTCGACTACGAAGATGGGGCCAGCTAACTGATCTCCTCATTCTGATATCTACTGACGGTACTGATGTCGGCACATTGACGAATTCAGCGAAACCTTTGGCACCGGGTGCTGCTGTCAATGTCTATACCGTCACGAGACTGGAAGATTCACGACGGGCGATGGTCCCCCCTGAAATATTCTCCGACGACGCTAAGAGCGGAATGCTTTCTGATTCCTCAGTCATCGGTGTAGCGTTGGACCTCTCGGCTACCGATGTGGTTCTTGGACCTATCCCCAAGGAAGAAGAGATTAACCAATCGTCTACTCCTCTACCCGCATTTATGCTTCTGAACCACGAGGGTATCTTGTGTGCATGGTGGGTTGTATACAACGACTCTATCAAAGAGGGCACAGCGTATCCTGGTCTCATTGCTGCGAGCGGTGCCACACCAGCCACAGCCGTCACATCAACACCTACAAATCCAGCTGAGGAAACACCAAAGCCCCTATCCCAGCCATCCGGATTTGGAACAGTCGGCGGAGGATTCGCAAAACCAGCCACGCCAGCTTTTGGTGCCGGTGGATTTGGAACTCCTTCAGGCGGAGCTAAGTTTGGCCAGTCAGCATTCCCATCCTCAACACCACTCGGCATCCCTGCTGCCCTGGGTTTTGGAAAGCCTTCCTTTGGCTCTGTCGCTACTCCAGCATTTGGCTCTACTGCTACTCCGGCATTTGGCTCTACTGCTACTCCGGCATTTGGCTCTACTGGAGGTATTGGAAATCGGGCCTCGCCATGGGCAGCACAGGCAGCAACTCCACAAAAGTTCGATGCCCCTCAGGGTGGCTTCGCAAGCTTTGGTGGAGCAGCGTCTGGCTTCGGAAAATTGGCCTCCAACACTCCATCACAGTCTCCATTTGCGGCTGCAGGGAATGCCCCGATATCCGGATTTGGTGCTCTAGGACAATCAAAGCCCGGATCGTTGTTTGGCCAAAAGGCTGAACCGACTAGCTTCACTGGCACTACGAAGGATAGCTTTGGGTCTACAGTCACTATTGGATCTAGCTTTGGAGGTGGCGCGACTCCTTCGTCATGGGCTCAGACTCCGGCACAACCGCCATCCCTGTTTGGAGGAGCTCAGACGTCTTCTTTTGCCTCCACTAATGTCTCCAGCATGGGAGATTCGGACGACGCGCAAAATCGGGAGCGGGATGAGGCTACACCCACGCCGCAAGTACCGCCAACACAACCGCAGGGACTGTTCGCTGGTGGTGGTTTCAAGCTTGGCTCTTCATTCCAAGGCGATGGATCAGCCAAGGATGATCTCCCTAAGCCCCGACAACCGTCTTCTTCGTCCCTCTTTGGAGGTAGTTTCTTAAGTGGCGTGGACAGCAAACCGAAAGAGCCTGCTACGCCTGTCAGAGGGGAGGAGTTGAGTCCACCTAGATCTGGCGAGGCTTCCACCACCCCGGCGTCTCAACCAACATTCCAGTCTATCAACGAACCGTCCCTTTTCGGTGGCTTGCCGTCAACTACTCCATCTCATACACCGGCAAAGGAGCCACCTAAACCAGCACAGACACCGGCAGCTCCGTCTCCACCAGAATCTCCAGGTGGCGAAGATGCTCCCCTTCCTCCAGATCCTATGACATTCAAACCAAAAGAGACCAATAATGACGACTTGCCTCCAATAGCGGGAAGCCCACCGGTCCAGGTTGAAGCTCCGGACTCGTCGCCAATTTCGTCGCCGGAGTCATCGAGTCGTGGAAGCGACGGTGATATCTCGGTCGAGGAACAGGAAGATACAGAAGAAGAAGAGCCTGCTTCCAACCATCGACTGCCAGCGCAGAAGCCAACATGGTCGTTTGGCCAGTCTGGATTAGGCCAGTCGCCTCAAATCCCACCTCAAGCTCCTACGCCTCCCGTCAAATCCGGAACCTCTTCTAGATCTCGAGATCAATCCAGGAGTCCATCGCGCTCTCCAGTTCGAAACCTCTTCCAACAGTCTTCGACTCCAGCCGGTAATCCTTTTGCAACCCAAAAGTCAGTGTTATTCCCTCCAACGACCCGACCGCAGGACTCTCTACGTTCCCCAAGCCCCCAACGATCCGCGTCGACGTCTGTACTTGGTCACCACCAGAAGTCTTCTAGGACAGCCAGCCCGTTCGCTGTGCCGGCGGCCCAGCCACCGCCTCAACCACCTGCTCCGGCGCCTGAAGTATCTGACCTGTTCGACGACGAGGACGACCGCATTCGCCAGGAACTAAAGTCCGAGCTCGTCCCCAACCGTCGCCTCGACCCATTCGTCGCCCACCAGAACTACACGGGCGGCTCCGAAACAAAGACCGGCGTCCCCGCCCAAATCGAGACCGTCTACCGCGACATCAACAGCATGATCGACACCCTCGGCCTCAACGCGCGCTCCCTCGCCTCATTCGTCAAATACCACGATGAGTCAAGCCGCGGAGACGAAATCACTCGGGAAGATCTCGACAAAGCGCTCGATGAGGGCGAGGACGGCGACTGGGACTCCGCCTGGTGTCTCGCCGAAATCGACCAGCTGAAGGTCTTGGAGGACGAGATGGGCAAGCAACTTAAGGAGGGACGTCTGACACAGGTCCACGACAAACTCCTCCAGCTCGCCGGCCTGTCGCAGGACGTCCACAAACTCCGCGCCCGAGTCGCGGACGTCAAGCTCCAGATCCAAGCCCGCAACGACCCCGCCTCCCTCGAGCGCCTGCGCCTCCAACCCCTCTCCGCCGACGTCGCGAAGATGCAGCAGGAGCTCCGCGACTCCTTCGCCGCGCTCCTCAAGCGCCTCGCGACGGCGGAGGAAGAAGTCGTGCTCCTCCGCGCGAAAATCGCGGGTGCCGGTAAAGGCGGCCGGGGAGCGAGGATGCAGGTGCCGACGGTTGAAGCCGTGACCCGCACGATCGAGAAGATGACGGCGATGGTCAGTAAGAAAAGCATCGATATTGATGTGCTGGAGAACGCGGTGCGGAAGCTTAATATCAAAGAGCGAGTGGGGACAGCGGGGCACAGGGCGTCGACGAGAGGCAGGGAGAGGGAGGGGAGTCCGTTTGCGACGCCGCCGCGGGGTAGTAATGGGGTGGTGGCGTTGAGGGGGAGTTTGAGGGAGAATACGACGACGGGGCGGTATGGGCTGTTTGATACGCCTGACAGCACGCCGCAGAAGAATGGGAATGGTGGGGGGGAAGGGGTTAGTAGGGAGGCGGTTAGGGTGTTTGCGGAGAAGAAGGCGACGAGGAGGAAGTTGGGGGAGTTTTTGGCGAGGGCGGTGGGGGAGAGGGGGACGAAGGTTACGCATGTGGGTGCGTAGGGGGTGTTGAGAGGTTTGGCGATTTGATGCTTGTGGGTTGAGAAGATATTGAAATTGGGGAAACCAGGCTTGGTTTTTGTGGCTTTTGTAGGATAGCGACGATGAATGGCGGATATGCTTGCTACAAATCCACGAGAAGAGTATCATTGTGTTTATGATATTTTGAGGTTCTATGAGATAAAATCTTGCCGCACAACGACGTCACTACATAGGAGATTTGAGAAGTAGATGTTCAATTAGACGGGACGGGGAATTCCTCCCACATCTCCAGCGCTTTTAACACGAAAACTACCACCATCCTCCAGAATCTAACTCAAAAATCCTAAACTCCACCAATCCCGGCTCTAGGTATAAAGAAGAAGAAACAGGACCCAGCAACTCTCACCCACTCTCACCTCCCCCACACAGGCCCATTCCCATCCCTCCCCTCAAACCCCTCCCCCGGTAGCGGTCCGCCATCCATACTCCCCCGCCTCCCCCAATTCCTCGGCTGTCTCTTCAGAAACGCACCCACGGCGCCTAGATACCCCTCGTGCCTTAGGAAATACGCCTTCTTCTCGCCTTTACTCCAGAACTTGATCGCATAGCTCAGCGTATTCATGGTCTGGTAATGCCCCCCTATAAAACTCCCGCCGAAGTAGATGTGCTCCAGGTTATGCGCCGACGCGTGCAGATACGCGATCTGCCCGATATTATTCGACACGGCGTACAGCAGCGAGCGCGAGATATCCTCGGCCTTGAACTTGGTATTGCCGACGTTTATCGGATCCGCGGAGGTGGGGTCCAGCGGCGAGGACGCGGAGGGGTGTTCGTGATCCCCGTTGGCCAGGCCGCCGTGGTCTTCGGCTTCGCGCTCGGCGGCGCGCTTCATTTTGTAGACTTTGCCGAAGGAGCTGGCGATGGCGGTGCTCTTGAGGCCGATTTTGTTGTAGTCCATGCCGTAGATGTCGCCGACGAGCATGTCGACGGCCGTGTTGTCGCCCTTTTCGGCTAGCTTGAGCATGTCGTCGAAGTTGCGGGCGCCGGTTAGGAGGGAGAGTAGACCCCATAGTGTGCCACCGCCGAGGGATGTACCGCCAATGCGAGTGTATTGCCGTGGGCCGGAGACTTTGATCATAGAGACGCCGGAGCCGATGTTGACGAGGAGGTAGGGGTAGATTGTTTTGGAGGGGGGCGAGGCGACGAAGGACATGGGGTTGGCTTCGGAGTAGGTGAAGACTTCGGAGGGGATTTCGGTGATGAAGAAGTCGAGGCCTGGACAGGAATTAGCACCAATTCGTAACTGATACTCAATCGTTTCTCCAGAAGCTCCTGGTTAAGCTTCTGAAGTTCGAGAGATTCGAGAACGTACCTATTATTAAACACTCCATCTCATCCTCCCGCAGCACCTCTACCTTTAACGCTTCCCGTATCTTGTCGTAGTACTTGAACGCACCACCACCTGTCGCCATCACACATAGATCCTTTGGTTTCGAGCCATTCTGCGTCTGATGCTCCGCCTGCAAGTGCCGCATAAACTCGATACATGTATCTATTTTGTCCGTCTCGAACTTGACAAAGTTAAGCCGGCCACCGATTTCCGAGGACGAGTGTTCGCGCGTGAAGTAGACGAGTTTGGCTAGGGATCCTCCAATCTGCCATACACCACATCAGCTCCATTAATCGTTTATACCCCTCTCCACAATCCTAAATGCAGCCCCCTTGCAACCTCACCCCGGAAACCCGAACAAGAAGACTGGCTACTCACATCGACAGCAATATGACTAACCCCCTGCGTATGATTCGGCAGCCGTATATCCTTCCCATCATGCTCATACCCTCCATCTTCCAGCTCCTGCAGACTCATGCTCGTCTCGCTACTCGGCTCGCTTGAAGGGGTTGTGCTCCCATTTTCCTCGTCCACGATGAATGCGCCTTGCACGTTTATCCGCACATCACCAGGGTGGCTGATCGCGTCGACAAGCTCTGGCTGAGTCGTGCGGCGCTTGTGGTTCCGGTATTGCCCGGTTTGTTGGTGTTGGTGTTGTTGTGGCTGTTCGTGTGAGGTCGGGACGGCTTCGGCGGCGGAGGTGGGGGGAGCGGAGACAGTGGAGGATGGCGCGGAGGAGAGGCTGAGGTCTGGCGGCATGGTGAATTGGTCTGCCACCGGAAGTAGAGGCAGAGGTTGTGAAGGAAGGGGCTGCAGCAGTAAGCTGCCTGAAGTCGAGTCGCTATCCCGATCGTCGCATGTGGAAATTTGGATACGCGTTCAACTCAACCTTGGAACTCCTCAGTCGCAGTCCCAACGCCTTCTCACGGTTGCATCACAAGTAGTGTCCGGGTCCTTTGTGCGGACTGCTCCATTCGCCCGGCCTGCCTCTTTTAGAGAAGCGGTCGAGGTCCGCGGGTGCGACGGGTACGGCAAACAGGAGGTATCAGAGTTGCGCGGTAGAGATGGGAATGAGGATGGACCAGCTTGCAAAGAGCCATTGGGTGCGAAGTCCGGAGCGCAAACACAACGTCCCGAGGCCATTTATGCTGGGTTTGAGAGCCGATTTGAGGCCCGTTAAGCTCGGCAATGGGCTCGCTGGTGTCTCGAGTAAGGAGGTGGCAAGCCGAGGGAGCGTACTGAAGCTGTTGAGGTTCCAGCCCGGCCGGCAAACCTTCACTACTTCGTACCTGCATAATGGCTGGTCGCGTGACTCTCTCCGGATAGGTAATCATCTAGAAGAATGAACCTTCTGATTACACTTCGCAGGATTACTGATGGACTGGAGCTTCAATTCAACAGCTGCTATGGAAGTCTGGGAACAGTGGTATGTCCAGGCGTCTTCTATCAGGACTCCATCTCTCAAGGCTTCAAAGTACCACAATCATTGCAACCATCGCAACATTTCTTCATCATTTTGTAGCAGTTTGGACTGGATGCAATGCGTAGACAATGCTTGCAGAGCGGCTGAAGGGCTGTGTGGGTAGGAGGTAGGTATTCATCTTGCGCTCTTCTTAACGTTACATTCCGTATCATCCTCTGCTGTGCTCAATTAAATATCCCAGGAGACAATTCCTCCTCCATTTACTAGCCTCCCATCAAAAAATAGGTGGGCTCACTCTCGAGCTTGGATTATTGGATCACGAGCAGCGATGAGCCGACCTTCTTTTCTTCTTTTCTTGCGGCATTCTTCCCCTCGGCCAAAAAAGACTTATCAACAATCCCAGCGGGGCTCGAACTCCTCACTCTCGACTGGCAAAACAGTTCGGCCGCTCAACTCCCCCTGCGCCTTATGCTATAAGGTCGCAATTGTTTACGGGTTCGCTGAACGGCCTACATCTGTATGCTGCTTGGTTAGTATTGGAAGTGCTGGAAATAATAGATATATAAAGTAGCGTTTGGGGTTGGACCCTGAATTTGAGACCAAAACAGACGCGCCAGAGGGCCGTGCAGACAGTCACGCCCCCGCGGCGCCACCAAGCTCCGGTTCGGGCGGGTTGAGGTTATAGTCGGATATAGTTTTCAAGGTCCCATTGAGGAATCCTAGGGAGGTGGCAGAGGAGGATACATTAGCTTCTGGCGAGGCACTGTAGGGCTCTTGCTTTCGTTGGACGCTACTTTTTTTGTTTCCGTCTCCGCAGCTCTTCTACCAATTCAGGTGAGTGAGGATCGTGCGTCTTCTTCCGTAGGCATGTGCTGATCACGCTCGAGGTTCATGCTCGCAGACACGAGTCGCTTGTCTGTCCAAAGCCAAGTGAGGTCTTCGGTCTTGAACGTCCAGGCTTTCACCTCACGTCTACTCCGCCAGAACACCAACCACCTTTCAACTACACTCACTACAACATACCTTGACTACCAGCTTCAATTCTACGATAGTCGCATAACGCCAGCAATCATGGATGGCGATCCTGCACCGTCGGCGATGAGCACGCCGCAGAACCCTCGCACCTCAGCTGCTCCCAAGAAGACCAAGAAGCCGCAAAGTAAAATTGAAGGAAAGGGTTCGAAAAAGAATACTGTGAAGACGGCCCCTCCCAAGGTTGCAGCTGCGCAGCCTATGGAAGAGGACGAAAAAGGTATCCTGGCACGTCAAAAGTGAGTTTTGTTCCCCAGTGATACGCCGGCATCGGAACTATCTAACGAATCACTTAGATTTCTGGCTGAAAAGGACAGGATCGCTGAGATTCGCAAACAACGAGACCCGAAGTTGAGGGAAGACATCGCTTGGATGAAGGCGCAGACGGTGGAGAACGATCGCCTGAGGAAGCTCGAGGCTGAGCAGCGTATGGGGAACGATGATGGTAAGGATGGTAAAGCGAGCACAGCACGCCCAGTCCTACTTCCACGCCAGGATAGGTTTGTTGGCACTTTCGCCCTAGCTTCAAGCATGCTTGGCACACCTCCTCGCCGGCTCAGACTTGTTAACAGGGAGTCTAACTCATCTCGATCCGAAGACATGGACTGGGTCCCATTTCGACCGACCACATCACCTATCGTAATAGTTTCTAAGTCCAGAGCGGCTTCCAGCAACCCAGCCCAATCTCGCCAGGCTGCCCAGGCCTCCGATACGGATCACGATATGGCGGATGCTGCATCATCTCCGGCGAATGCTGGAGCTGTGGCTGCTGCATCTTCAATAATTCGGCCGGCTATCAACGATTCGGCGCCATCTCCCCAGGCGGTACAAGCCCCCGACATGGATCTTGATATGGCGGACGCTGCAACATCTCCGCCGAGCGATGAAGACACCATTTCTGTGTCTTCCGCAACCTTTCTAGCAACCTCTCTCGAACCTGCTGTGGTTGTCCCAGCTCAGCCAAAGGAGAGGTCACCTGATGCTAGTGCGAGCACGATCGATATCGGGCAGAGGCTTCAAGCTTTGGAAGAACGATTCAATATGTCCTCTACGAGTCTAGATGCCCGACTCCACGTCGTCGAGAGCCACCACGGCCTGGCCTCGAAGTTCATGGCGGCCGTTGAGGAGGACCTCGAAGATGCCGCGAAGGGATCTGAGAGGTTTCAAGCCTACCGCTACCAGTGTGAGATCGATGGTTTGAAGAAGAAGGAGATGAATTTGCAGAAGGGGAAGACTAACATTGAGGAGGAGCTGGTCGCGGTGAAGGCACAGCTTGAATTGACGAACTTCGACTTCGCTCAATTCGAGGATATAAAGAACCACGAGGTTGCGGTGTTGCAGGAGAAGCAAGGGAAATTGGAAACGGAGCTCGCTATTGCGAAAGAGGAGATTGAGAGCATGAAGCGCGAGCGGGAAACTGCGGCCCAGAGCAGCAAGAAGAAAATCCAGTCCCAATTGGATACGTATCGGGCTCTTGAGAAGCGACTGGACAAAGAGCGGGGAACCCACAAGTCGGAGTTGCAGACCAAAGACAACATGCTTGCTGCTTTGAAAGAGAGCGAAGGGAAGCTGAAGGGCGAGATCGATGAAATTAAGATGGCACATGAAGATCATATCCAACAGTTGCAAGCCAGCAAAGACTTTGAGCTCAAGGAGGCAGCGAAGCGAGAAGAGGAAGCTATCGCGAGGGATAGAAGGATCGGGGAGGCCGAAGTGGAGCAGCTTAAAGAGATGGCGAGGCGGAATCGACGCGAGTGGCTCGGAACGAAGAAGGACTTTGAGAATCAGGCGCAGGAGTTGGAGCAATCTGGCAAGAACAAGGACGACGAGATCGCACGACTGACTTCCGAGCTCCGAAATGTCCAGCAGAGGCTCGATATGACCAGCAACGCTGTTCCTACGGATAGCATCCCTGAGCTCGAGAGACCCCGAAAACGTGTACGTTGGGAAATGAATGATGAGGAGCTGGATGAGGTGGTCGCTGGACAAGCGGGTCAAGAAGAAGACAAATGCGTCAAATGCCACGGGACTCCCGTTGAACCGTATTTGACATCCTACTCTCATTTGTATTGCTTGTCCTGCCTAGAAGAAAGAGAATGCCTTTCTTGTGGCGGACAAATCAGCTATTCGGTCCCACGCGCAATGACTTAACCTTAACCGCAGGAAAGTCTCACTATAGGCTGCGCAACCTCAACACTACGCAGCCTCAACACTGGCGTACTATTCATTAGCTGTCATCGCGACCTCACCACCTGGAAGCTCTTTGAAGTGGAATTCGACGATTACGCGCAAGCGGTCAAGTTCTGAGTCACCCACATTAGGATCAATGGGCGCGTTTTGCACGAGAGCATCGAATAGGCTACTAGAGGATTTACAGCCAACAATGATTCCATTCACCGCGGTTAATGCATGGTTTACGGCCATGATTGCGAAGGTGGCCCACCGCATGAGCGCTCCATATGCCCTACATGTGAGAAGAACGGTCTTCCGTGCCTCTTCCGAAAGGACGACGAGGTTGATAAGCTCTCCTTACTCCCCCGCTTGCTAGATGTCAACCACCCCGACAAACGCAGTCTTCTCGAGGTTTGGATGAATCCAGCCGCCGCTTCTAGCTGGAACTTGCGAGGCTAATATGGTCACACGAATGTGACGCTTGGGCTTTAAGAAATCTAGACAATGAGTGGATTGGGAAACTTCAAAGATTTGCCGACTTATTCAAAGGTATGCCTATGGAATCTGCTTCTTGACGGATCGCCAGTGGAGTTTTTGCGCCCCTGATCCTATTCCCATGCCTATAGCCTGAATTACCTTCATCTTTTTTACTTTCCAGCTCCTTCACATCCAAGTCCATGAGCCGGAAATGCAAGCTATCTTGAATTCAACCCTTGCAATTTCATTGCCATTTCTTGTCATCTCAATCTTCCATCAAGGCGTGTTGACTTTCAACCTTGGCTCTAGCCTCCCTAGTTCTTGGGTAAATCCTCTTTCTTAGCATCTCCTTATATCTCCTACATAGATGAAAAGTTCACCACGAACAGGTAACTTGACTCACTGGTGCTTGATACAGTCTGATAGGCGTCAACCCAATGTGCGAGATCCGGATGAGATGTGAAATACGCAAAAGCATGAGTTAGTAGAGCCTCTAATGCGTCCATCAGTCTTCTATCTACGTTTCCTCAGCGTGCCATTATAGATTTAGAAACTATGTCAGGTCCTCAAGAGTGCGAATGAACTAGGCCTTAAGTAGTCTAAACCGGCCCATCAAGTCACTATTTGTGACGCTTCAGGGTATTGCTAAGAACTTAAGAGGATGCCTTGCTTGTACGATCGCGAATCAGATGGGCATTTAAATGCTTGCGAGAGACCTGTGTGCACCTTTCCACCGCCGCATAAGGTGCCCTAGCAGGTTCATCAATTATTCATGACGGTGATGATCGGGGCAAGGAAACATACTTGCGCTCTGGTATCAAGTGAGGTCCTGCGGCTTCACTCTGACCGCCTTTCCAGACCTCAACACCTACCTTTCTAATCCTCAACACCCACCTTTCCTATTCTCCAACCTCCGCTGCGGCTATCCTCTTATTCCCATAATCCTCCACTCGGGTCTCGCGCGTGTGCGCTACTACCTCATCATCTTCACACCCGAACCCTCTAGCCCTCGCCGCAAGCTGATGCCCAACGCGCGGCCTGATCACGACTTCTCACTTCCTTCGGTCATCAGTCGTGCCGTGCACCAATCCATTCCAGGCCGCCTCATGACATCAGGCTGAAGCAAGATCTCCACGAGAACGATGGCTCCGCCGCAGCATACGAGAGACTGTGTTTGGGACGGCGAATCGTGGTCTCATCATGCAGCGGATTGCGTTCTGCATGACGACTCTCTTTCGCCACACGACAGACGTGAGATTGCGCACGCTGGCTCCGCGGGTAAATCCAAGGATGCCCCCGGACGCACGGTGCAAGAGATGGGCGGTCAAGCTTCCAGGGCGATTACTGGGGATCATAACGGCACCACGGAGGAGGCCAAGGTTAGGAAGAATACTCCGATCGTCGCCAATGACGTGGCGATGGGAGATGTGGGGAATGAAGATCGCCTAGCTACGATGGAGAGAAGGCTGCAGGCACTGGAGGCACGGGAGAAGCAGATGTTCAAGAGGAAGAGCGAGTTTGGTGATGAGGGGAAGCATGAAGATGATGAGATCAAGCCGGACATGGAGCAGAGGCTGCGTCTGCTGGCGGAGATCGATGGTCTGAAGGGGCAGCTTCGGGCTAGGCAAGAGGAAGGTCTCAAGAGTGAGGAAGAGCTTGCTGCGGCGAAGGGTACTATTGCAAATCAAGAGAAGGAGATCGAGATTCTCAGGAGATCCTTGAAAGCGCAGAAAGAGGAAGGTTGCAAGGAGATGGAATCTTTCAAGACAAGTAAGGATGTAGAGATCCTAGAGATGAAAAAGTCAAAGGAGGCAGAGCTCAAAGACCTCCAGACGTGCATGGATGAGAAGCTCAGACAACTCGAATTGGACATGGATGAAGAAATCTGCGACTTGAAATCTGATCTCAAAGAAGTCGAGGAAGACAAGGATGACTTGGAGGAAGAAATATACGACTTGAAAAAGAAGCTCAAAGCTACCAACGAAAAGAACAATGGCTTGGAGGTAATGCTGTCCTCGATAAAGGATGCTGTCAACAGAGATGAGTCTGCGAGATCGGCCAAGCGGCCTAGGATCGACTCGGGGCCCCGTAAAGGTGCAATGCCTGTTTCCCCGTTTGCCACTAAATCACCTCTCCCAGCTACAGAAACGTCTTTCGAAAAGCTTCGTGAGAGCTATCCCGGTATTAAGTTCATTGCGCAAGTTGGGAACTTGATGTGGTCCGGTCCACAACTTCCAGAATGCTTGCACACTCCACTGCTCGACTTCGTGCAGGATATCGTGCAACGTCGCAAATTCCTGACAAAGGGTGATTCTCGGAGACACGAAGTATTTACTAATCCGCGAAGAGTGTCTAGCTGTGTGGGCCAAATGACGGCTCATACTACATCTGTCTCAATATGGCCAAAATCCCAGCCAAGAAAGCGAGCTTGCTACCGGTGCTCTAAGAGGCAAAGCCTCTGTGTCATAGTCAATGCAGAGTCCGACTCGAAAGATTTTATTGTGTTGCCTCTGATGAAAGAACTTCGGATCACCTCTGATTACAAGAACATCGACATGTGGATATGCCAGAAGTCGGACGATATTCGTACACCAATCCTCGCGGACTACAATCACTGGGAGCCTTGACGGGGAGTGACGGAAATGGGAGGAGGAATCGTACCACGCGAGATCTTATCGAAAAGCGATTGTTATAATTGCTTTCATTTTGACATTTTGCCTCGCAATTTTCGCAATGTTTTTTGTTCTCTCATTTTCCTATTCTACACCTGGTCATTTTCCATTCTATCTCCAAATCTCATCACCCATTCTCAAAACTGAAGCTATTTCAAGGTTAAAAGTCAGCGACACATCCATCAGGTAGTCAAAAGCTTCTTAGAATTTCTTTTAGACAATCCTATCTCTACATAGTGCCTCATTAGATGTCTATGCACACTGCTAACCCACTGTTTATGACAGCTCAGAATCTTCGTGAAACCGACTGAAGACATCGTCACTACGCATGGATTCAGGACTCGATTTGAGAAGCCCAGATGTTTGCATCTCTTACCCACTCAAAGTCAGATATGCGGGAGACTGTCGACGACGTGAGTACACCGCCACTCTGCGGCTAAGTCCGAAGGCATACGATATTTTCCTCATCCTCCACTTCATACTCATACTCTCAGGCGGCTCTTGGGGTAGCAAGACATTTCCACTGAGCATGGATATAGGGCCTAATCAAAAATGTCCTATGCCAGGAACACTACCTTGCCTTCGTCGCCGCCCCAAGATGGAAAGCTGGTCACGTGCCCGATCCGATTCGCAAAAGGGATGCTCTATGGTACTTGGCCGGCGTTGCCCACAGTCTTTCTGTGGCGGCCTTCTTCATGTCATTCTCCCACCTCTTGACCGCATGTCGCCTCCGTCTCAAGATGTGGACACAGAAGGTAAATCAAAGATAGCGTCTTCCTGGCCTGGCGGTAATTGCACTTAGAAATTTCAAAATCCGACCATCGATTTCTCCGCAACCTTTAACGCCTAGCTGTTTTCATAGAGGTATAGGTAGGGCCCCGTTTCTCGAGATATTATCAAGGCACATAATACTACAGTCAAGATCTTTTCCATCTTCCTCAGACGCAGACATGATAGCAAACGTTGCGTTATCGAACCACTGCTCCAAATGCTTAAGTATGGGTAGACCGTTGCGATCAGACACCAGATCGCCCTGGGGTCGCCCGTTTCTTCGCCGAACAGGTTTTTTGCGTTCTTTTCGCCGATCTTGTCTGGAACTATGTGAGCGGCTCTAACGTGGTCGGCAAGTTGCCATACACCGCTTATAACGCACTAGGCCTCTTTGTAAGGTCCCTTCTCTCTTATGAGCATTGTAGCGGTTCAGCAAGCGCGTTCTGAAGTTTTTTCGAAGTTTTTTCCGTGCATACTCGTTTATCACTTTTTGACGTGGCCTCGTAGGCTTTCAAAATCGCAGATCTGATGTAACAATTGATGCAATCGGAATTTGGCTGCTTCTTGGCTCATCGAATATCTGATAACTGGGCTACTCCTGACGGCGGTATGGTAGAGCAAGATGGAGCCTGTACGAAGGCGAATCCATGTGCCGAAATTTACAGCTTGTAAAACCAACGTTGAGCTTCATGCAGCGGAAACTAGGCAGCATTTTGACTGGCTGGCTATTTGGCAGATGGGCTACCTCTGACGGTGGCATTGAGCAAGCAAGATTCGAACTCAAGCGCTGCTATATTGGGTGCCCAAACTTATGGCCTAGCACTGTCTCAAAATCGTCACACTTTCGCGAAGGACCTGCGGAAGTAGCAGCACAGTCGATGTGCCCCTTGATATGGCAGAGTATTCCATCATGTACCTGTGTATCGCGCAGATTAAGTATGCTCGGAAGGTTATGCGCGTAGTTAAGAGCCTAAGACGATTCCTCTTGCGGGCTGCTGCGAGATTAGCAGTTTAGCCGAAGGACGTTTGGATACGTTATAGTATCAGCAAATTGACTATGGATGTTAACTAAGTTCTAGTGTCGTGGTGAAGTTCTTGGTGAGTAGCATCTTCCTTGGGAGTCAGGACTTATGTTTTGGCGCTAGGCCTCGAATCGCGACCGTAGGACTATGATGTCATAACTGATTTTCACGCGTTACTAGAAGGCTCCGGCACTTTGCAACCTTGTAGAAGACACCAGTGTAGCATTCGTAGCGCGACGCGTAGCACGTGGCAGTCACCGGATCTCTACGCTCCACCAAAAGACTCCTGAACTCCACAAAGAAGAGGTTGATGCCATAGGAAAAGGGGTCACTATCGCGGTGCGTGCGTTACTATGTATATTCTTTTCTTTTCGACAATTCGTCCTGGCTCAGGAGAAGTACAGGTCCTCCACCTTATCCTCTGGAAGACCATTCATTAACTCTCCATGCATGAGCCCGTACACATAGCACCCTCCAATGAATCGACTTCCTTCTCCGATTTTGCGAACCACATACAGCACTCTCCCTCCGAACATGCAGTAAATCTCATCCCCAACCGCGGCACGCAGAGGAGCTAGACCGATGAAACCGTTCGAAGGTAGCGCGAAGATCTTGTCTCGAGGATTGGTAGCTTCGGCAGCACGCATTCGCACGAGTAATGTTTCTATAGATGTCTCCTTGTCGCTTTGCTCCCCAAAAAAAGATAAGTGTAGACTTCCCCCGCCCCCGCCCCTGACCTGACGGCGAGACAGATATGCGTCTCGTACGGCCGAAATCGCTAGGACAGGCTAATGGATTTCCATATTTCCCTTCGATGTGAGGTAAAAAATCCTTCTTTAGTACACCTCGCAAGCTTTCTGCAAGATGTCCCAATGGGTCTGGTAAGTTCCACATTGGACGAAAGCGTTTGAGGAAACAACGACTTCCTGAAATACCCAGACCCGCCTAAACCATGGTCTCGATGAAAGATCGTTGAAAGACTGGAAATCAGTGAGCGGTATGTATCTAGGATCCGCCTCGTCTAGCAGCTATGAAAACTTTTCACCAACTCGAGGTGTGGACTCAAATATTGCCTGTTGTCGTATACAGCCAAAAGCACTCTCGGTTTCGTGATCGGACTCGCCGAGCCATATGAGCGTCCTCCTCGCCTTCACATACGCTGCCGGCATCTGAGCCACCTGGATAGTCCGATCCCAGTAATCGTCCTGGTCATTCGCCAAAGCATCTATCCATAACCACCTGAACTTTTCACGATCCCGCAAGTGAAGTAAAATCGTCTTGACATTTTCGGTAACCTTGGTCGTATTGGAAAGCACGAGAGGAACATCTGCATCAGTATCCGAAGTCCTGAGAGTGTGATGGTTGCAATAGACGGGGTGTACTCGCTCTGTAGAGCCTTAGGCGTACGAAATCGCTTCGAAAGCTGGTGGTGTAACTAATGAGTTCGGTATTGTGACGATGCTGACCTGTAAGGCTGGAGGAGAGACGTTCTGGGTGGAGGGCTATGAGGCTGTATTCGTCTTTTTCCAAGGGCGGATATTCGAATGCGTCGGTTTCCCCTACGCCTGGGAGTAGGGAAACATCCATCGCTGAGAGGCTGCTAGAAGCATTGAATGTGAGAGCCAGCTGCGAGACTGGAGGGTTTTGACCCCATATGCATGGTGTTCTTGGATTCTGTGTCCGATTGGTACGATTGCTGATAGGGTGGCGCAGTGCATGCAGGCAGACTGTCAGGCAGAACTGTCAGGCTGAGCTTCATCCCCCTTCCCAAACTCCTTTCTAGCTTCCATCTTCTATCCGAAGCCGCTTCCACAACCTCTTTATACGTTACTCACTCATAATCTATCATCTCTTGCCACTAGATTTCAGTTCGCCAAAAGCGCATCTCTAGTCGCAAAGATAGACCGAGTTGCCGTCTACACATCGCGAAAGAAAAATCCACGGTTCGAAATGGATACACTACCCCCAATGAACCCTCATATTTGTCAAGACACGGCCGCTTACTTTCATCACTTCCGAGAGGAGGTACGACTGAAAGGCCCCAGAGTATTATATCAGAACGTTCGTTTTCCAGAAACTGTGGGATTCGCCGGTTTGCCCCCAAACGCTCTAGAAAGGATAAAAATCCCAGTTCGTGGAGCCGCAGACTCGGATGCCAATTTTTTGATGATCAAGTCATGGTTGGAAAGGTGTTCAAAAGGCCATCGGCTATGCAACAAACCGCAAACGTTCACCGCTGACTTCGTTTTACCGACTCGTCTTATCGATATATCTCCGAATGAGAAGGACAAATTCTATGTGAAGCTGGTTCTCTCGGAGCAACTAGAGAACCGGAAAGATGTCCGCTATGCAGCGCTCAGCCATTGCTGGAGTGATTCTGCAACGGTACCGCAGACCACCAGGGAAACGATAGATGAGCATCTAGACGCTATACCATGGAAAACACTTTCTAAAACATTCCAGCACGCGGTGGTCATTACAAGGCGACTTGGCATTCGGTACGTGTGGATCGATTCCCTCTACATCATTCAGAAAAACAAGGGGGATTTTGAGCACGAGTGTTCAATGATGCATTTCATTTACGCTAGATCTTTCATCACCATCTGCGCGTCGGACTCCGAGGATGGGTCTGGTGGGGTTTTCCAACCTAGACATGACACTACACCGTATGAGTACGCATTTGATAAGATTGGCTGTGCGAAGAAGTGGTCCCAAGCATTATCAGGGCCATTGAGTACTCGAGGGTGGGCTTTTCAGGAGCGCCATCTCTCCCCTAGGGTCATCCATTACACAACGCACCAAATTTTATGGGAGTGTAGGACATGCATTGCTGCAGAAGACAAGCCCGGGTTTCAGCATCGCTTGTTTACAAGGAAGCCGAACATTAACAGCGCTTGGCAATGGAGGATAGCTGATGGAACATTAGAGAATGTTGCTTTCTCCCCCCGAGGCCCCTCAAATTACACCATTGACATTAAATCTTGGTACCACAGGTGGCTGCAAGCTGTCCAGAACTACTCAGGAAAGACGCTATCTTACAAGACTGATAAATTACCAGCAATATCTGGTCTGGCTGGGTTCTTTCAAGCTCAAATTCCGGATGAACACTACCTTGCTGGAATATGGAGAGGAGATCTGATAAGAGGTCTCTGCTGGTCTCCTGTCAATGCTGTCGACGCACCATGGCCGCCTGCCATTGTCGACTCAATACCTTCATGGTCATGGGCATCATTCAACGGGCCAGTCGCATTTCCAAATCTAGAAACCATCTTATCTGATCCCAAAACTTATGTTTGTGTGGTGGATGAGGCTGAAACGTCCCAGCACGGAATATATCCTTTCGGAAGAGTGACAAGGGGGTCAATAATCATCCGGACTTGGGCGAGAGAAATCAATCTTTCGTCTAAGTACACGGCATACTATCATTATGGAGAGCCACCCGTACCAACAAAAGGCATTGATATAGCACTCGATGCATACCCTCAACCATTTCCCTCGCAGCTTACACTTTTATGCGCCTTGCTCGTCGGGATACCTGGAGAGCCTAGTCCCGATCTCCACGAGTTTGTGTTCCCGTCCAACGAGGAAGTGCGGACATATTTGGGGCTTGTGTTGTTACTGGTTTCCGGTCGGAAACATAGCCTAGAGACTTGTATTTATAGGCGCGTGGGCGTTTTTCGAACAGTCATGAGCCCCTGGGCAACTCAAGAGCGCAACAGTTTTACGGAGGAAACTCTCACAATCGTCTAAATTCGCACGCTTCCAAAGCTCTTTCCCTGGCTCTTGAGTCCACGGTCTCAACCTGTTTAGCTCTCCTCCTATATCTTTCAGTCTCTGAATACCGCCATTAGCGCTCATGCCACCAATCCCTAAGACAAGCCTCGCAAGCTTTCCCTACTGGATTCAATCGCCCATATCTGAGATAGAGAAACCTGTATCAAACTCAATTAGCTTTCTCTGCATTACTCGTGGCTATTTGTTGGAGATGCTGATTTGGGATATATCTCTCAGCCCACGCCAGCACACAGCCTATGCCCATTTTCCATGTAGAACGCCTCACTTGAATCTCATCTCCACTCTCATCCAAATTTACATTATCGGCCTTGCCTCGTTTGAACCTCTGACTCAACTCCACGTCTGCCCTCCGTCTGGACAACCCCGCTTCAAACTCACCCTCCGTCGTCCACCACGTCGGTGTCACTGCGGCACGAATCCAACAGCCGACACGCCCTATGATCTGCATTGAGCATCACTAGACTATCTACTTCACTGGTTGCCCCACTGAGGCCTGTCCACGACAGCAGGCTCAGCACCCGACAGAAACCTCGTCTGGCCATCACTTCTTCATTCTGAGCCTCACTTCTACCTTGACCCCAACCGCGTTGAAAACCCGATACATGCAGTCTTGATCAACTACCACACGTCTGGCACATGCCGCGAACGACGGACGGCAACCCAGATAGCTCCGCTCAGGCGCCGATCCCAATTCCACAACCTACAATTCGTCTACCATCTCAAGCGATGCCAGAGCCCCGATCGACCAGCGCGAATGACGCTGTGCATGACGCCGAAAGTTCAGACGGTATCGCCACTACCAATGGTCATGCCACCGACCCGACTGGAGATTCGATCGAGTCGTCTTTGACAGCTCGCATCTTATCCCTGGAAACACGCTTGGAGGAAGAAGAGGCCGAGACCTAGCATTTGCATGGTGTGGTTCAGCTTCTGAACGTCAAGAAGGACCGCCTGAAGACTGAGAAGGGGTATCTTGAGCAGGAGAAAGTACGACTTGAAGCCGAACAAGCGGATCTGGAGCAGGAGAATGCAGGGCTGGTACAAACACTCTTTATTGCCGGGCGTTGAGGCATTATCAGAAGTCAGCAGTACTATGATTTTGCCTTCGGTTCCTCTTTTCTTTCTTGCAAGTTACCGGTACCTATCACCAATCCCTTTTCTCAGTTTCCAAATTTAACTTTCACTCATCTTTTGATTTCCTCATGCCTTTTCCTCGAGTCTCCTTATCTAAACATGAAGGAGAATGGAGATTACAAGATGAACACCAGCGAGTTTTGATGCAGACCTAGATACAGCTTTCTCGTTGAATATAAGATTTGGTTTTCATCATATGCTTGAATCTCGTTCAAGTGATGAAATGAACTTCGTCGAGAGACTGGTGTTGCCGACGCAAGCGGCATGCGTCTCATCAATAGTAGTTATGAGCGATGAACAGACTCCGGGGGAACGAATACTGAGCGGGAACATTGTGAGACTCAAGACATTAAAATTGATAAAACATTGTTTTCGTACACGTATGTTACATGAACCATAACTAAGGAAGCACTAGCTAGACAGCAATGATCGTGTTATGTGGAACATTCTCGAAAGATGCCTTCAAGAAAGTCGGCTGGTACACGTGAATCCATCGGCTGGACAATAGTCTACTAATGACATCCCTCATTCCTATCGTTTGGGTGCGCCAAAGATTCTTTGAAAGTGAAGCGGGTTAGAACAAGGAGAGATCCGGTCATCCAGAGTTCGGTTTGGATGGATGTCCTCGATTTGGGTACATGACTTGCCCTCGACGGTAGTGACATGACACGGGATACAGAGCATCGTTGGCAAGCCATGGCCGTGTCATATGAAATGTTTTTAAAGAATGTCAATAAGGGACAGGTAAACGCACACCCCCTTTCGAGTAACCACACACCCCACTCCTCATCTGATCTTCTAATTGGCTCGGAGGGACCGGAAGCTTCCTCCGGGCATTCATCTTCACGTGCATCTACTCGTGCATCCTTTCCGATTCGTGCAGCCTTGAGCAGCCTGCATAGCCTTGCCGATTCGTATAGCCTCACGTATAGCCTCATGTATATGCTCACATACGGCTGTATATACAGCTGAAGGAATTGGAAAGAATGCGCCGTAAAACAAAGAGGCTGTACAAAGAGGCTGTATAGCCATGCCAATTCGTATAGCCTCACGTATAGCCTTATATATAGCATTATGTACAAGCTTACGTACGGCTATATATAGAGCTGCACAAATTAGAAAAGCTGAGCCGTAAAATGGAGAGACGATATAGCCATACCAATCCATGTAGCACTCGGGTTGTAACAGCTACAACCTAGGATCAACAACTCATACGGTTCACGGTCACCTACGTACAGACTTGGAGTTGCTGGCATAGTAGCTGCCTACATGCCTAGCCAGTTACAACTTCTACAGAGAGGGGTTGGGGTACGGTGGCCTACCCTGCCTAATGCTGCCTACTGCTGCCTCCAATTAGTGCTTCTGCCTATGCATACAGTCACTTCCTACGTAGTATATAGTTTGGCCTTCGGGCCCCCGGAATAAGACAGAGTTCACATCAATTTTCAACCTGAGTGTAGCCGTATGTATAGTCTCACGTACAAGCTTACATACAGCCTCGCATATAGCATTACATGCAGAGAGAGACGTGAAGATGAATGCCCGGAGGAAGCTTCCGGTCCCTCCAAGCCAATTAGAAGATCATATGAGATGGGGGTGTGTGGTTACTCGAAAGGGGGTGTGCGGTTACTCGAAAGGGGGTGTGCGTTTACCCGTCCCCTGTCAATATTAGAATATTCCCCTTTGTTGTTTCTAGAATTTGGCAACGCGTGATACGGAAGAGGGATACGTCTTGTCAGCTATGGACGACTCCGACAAAATATTGTCCATATCGGGATGATCGCCACGACGAGAGATGGTTCACAGTCAGGTATGCGAGATACCTGTAAGGATCCGCGGGTGTTATCTGGCCATGGAAAATAGTCGGGCGGACCTCTCCCATGGTCGTCGACGGCTTGACATAGTACTATGACAATTTTTCACCCTCAAACTTTTCTTTATCTAAATCCTTGCTTGTCCACATGCTGCATCTTCAATCCCACCTTTTTCTAGGTCCAGTGCCGTATATTCGCTCCACCAAGTGCAAATTAGACGTACACGAAAAGCCGACATCCGCCAACCATGCTGACTTACCAGCCCAGTAGTTGGTTCCGTCAATCGCCAATTCTTTTGACTGAAAGACCGATTTTAGATGTCAGGATCTCGAAAGACCCAATCTGTGAATCATCGAGAGCGAAAACGCTCAGATTACGCGGGAAGGGCTACCTTGACGGTGTCTCAATGTCCGTAGGGGGGTATCCGCAGTGATTTCAAATAATGAGTGGAATCTGTGGTTTTTGGGACGTATTCAGACTTTTGATTTGGGATACTACCTAAGTAAGGTCAAAAGATAAAGATGGAAATTCAAAATTTCATCAGAATATGTGAAGGAAGGATACTAGCTATATCCAAAATTACTTGCTTTTCCGCCACGCCTCGATTCGTCTCGAGATGGGAATGTAATAGGGAAGGGATGATGCAAATGTAGACTAGGGGAAAACTGGACTGCCATGTCGCGACTAGAAAGCAAGGATTCCAAGCTCTCTCAGGGAGCAAATCGTGGCATCAACCGGGCATATTGACGTCGGGATCTGAACTTGGAAGTTGGGGATTGGGTGAAAATATATTGCTCGAAGGCGCAGGCTGGTGACTTTGCCGCAACTCCTTTTCCCGTTCCACCCTCTTAACTGTCTCTGGATCCTTCCAGGAAATGAGTGATTTCCATAGCAGACCTTTTCGGTAGTCGTCTGCTAGAGGTAGTAACGTGAGCCACAAAAAAAAAACTCCACCATTGATGACCAAGCACGGAACACCTCTTCTTGAGCAGATAACACATGCCTCCCTTCTCCTGGGATTTAGTGGGAAACAGTCGTGCTTGTGAGTCTGGCAGTACAAGCACATTCGCCTTCTCTTCGGCTTTCTATACTCGGCCCAGAATTGTGGTCTCGGGATCGAGAACCACTCTCTCAAAGATCGCGCCACCCATTGTCCGACTTCGGTCTCGAAATCCCGAATCTTGACCCGTGAACTGTGGCTGGAATATTCAATGGTAGCCTGACGAGTACGCAAGTCGTAAAGAACTGCCCCCGGATACACGCTTGAATCATCGCGATCGCTTATCCTCTGTTTGGATAGCATTGGATCGAATGAGGGCGAGAGTTTTGGTGGTTCGCTGTCAGCAAGACAGGATTCGAGGGACATAGTATATGTGACAGAATGTCCACAGTAGCAGCTTGTTGTTTCTTGACCTTTTGTATTTGACTCAAACTCGATTTCCAAGAAGCATGACCAGCCTGTCAGCCAGCCCTTCGTAGGATTAGTCTCCTGGCACCTGCCGCACTGTATGCTGTCTGTAGAAACTGGAATTTTCATCATTGGCAATGATCCAGATCCCGAGTTCTCTGACGAGGCTAGGACGTATCCCAATAGTTGTAGAGATTGAGGGGCGGAGAGATCTCGAGACGATGGCTGTATACCTCTGTAACGAGTGCTGATATTGAGTTTTGCTCTTTTTGTGTCGGACGAGTGTGTTGGTGGATCCTCTGGTAGTCGGAACTTCTCAGGAGGCCAATGATCGACTTCCTTCTTTATCCACGGCTCATCTTGGTTGGAGAATTCGGCCTCCAACTTTTCCTTCACCCTCTTGACATCTCGCAGCTCCTTCTCTAGACTTTGATTTGGGTCCGGAGATTATTACTCTTTAAGGACATGTACCCGAGGTTATTCTCCAAAATACTCTTCTCAATCCGAAGAGTAGTGGTGTCTAACGTCACCTTCCCGAGGTCCTTTTCCAGCCTGCACGTCTTTTCATATTGACGGACTCTTTCAGACTTCCCGGTGTCAAGCAATGCAAAGATTTCTTTGATTTGCTTCCAATGCTCTGCCTTGAAGTTCATGATCGCGTTTTCGTCTAGCGACATCGTGCCGTTTCCATCTGGTTGGTGGTTGCGCTTCTCCGTTCCCGACCCAACTTGCTCTTGAAGGTATCCTAGCTGCTTATGGAAGGTATTAAGCAAGAAGCGGATCTCTGCATCGTGATGTTCATGAATCGTGTTCTTTTCTTCGTCGTGAAGCCCTCTAATTCCCTCGATCTCAAGCTTCAGGCCATTCATCTGAGTTTCCCCAGCAGAAATCTGCTCAACCAAAGACTTCTTTTCAAGCTCCAGTGCCTCTTTCGACGCCTTCTCCTCGTCTCTGCTTACTTCCATCTTCTCAAGCCCCACCTCCAATTCTCCAACCCGCTTCTCAGCAAATTCGACTTTGTTCTCCTGCCCCAGACCCCAGCCCTCCATCGCGGTAAGATCGCGATTCAAGGCTTCGTTCTGCCTCTTCTGGAAATCATTCAGGCTTTGCAAGTGGGTGACCTGGGCCCGGAGTGTTTCCGGGTCTACTAGCTGAGATGAAAGAATAGGTCTCGTTTCGACTTGCGGAGAGTCGTATCCCGATTCTTTGGGGCGGTCGAGCCCATAGAAGCGGACGTCTGTTGCCGCATGTCTTCGTTGGGAGCGGACGTATCATTTACGTTGACGTTTGTCATGAATGCGGGGGTGTCTGTCGTCGCTAGCGGAGACGCATCATGGTCCGGCATTACCGATGGCGTCTGCTCTGAGACGGAGGGATTGCCGTCCATCGTTGGTCGACCATGCAGGTTCCAGCACTTCGGAACCTTCAGATCGAACGAGTTGCGGATAGTGAGAGATGGTGGTGTAGGGATTGCTTGGACATGCGCTAACTAATGCGATTGATTCTGGGACTATTTCAAGATGTGAAGAGAGAAGTTAAGACGATAGGGCGAGGCCTGTAGCCTAGGTTGGCTACGTTTCTGAAGACGAGGGCACGGCAAATACCCTTGAGGGCAAGGCGGATGCTGTTGCGCCGTAGCCTAGTTCGCGGCGATTGGGTTGTTGTGGTGTAAAGGAGGATACGCGATCGAGCGTTAGAATGGCGTTGAGATAGGCGAGAGGTAGTGCCGGGCTTGCCCAAGTGAGGTCTCTGGGGTGGGATACAATGGACCGAGCTGAGGCGATGAGACCAAGGGTTTGTATGAGAGATGAAGTGGTCAAAGAAGATCTTGGTAGGGATGAAAGGACGTCCTGGTGTTGCTTAGTGAGGCAGTGCAATGGGCAGACGTGTTGAGATGCTTTTTAAAAAAGAGGCAGCATCTAGGAAATTGAGATGCTGAGAGGTGTGAAGTGGATGGTGTGGTCCGTTAGATGGATAGAGCAATCCTTGGGAAATTTAATCAACGTTGTCTAGAGGCTAACGTTTCAATTTACTCAAAGGCTACATGAAGAATTCACGCACGTAACGGGCTTTGATGGCTTCCCTCATGATATGGTAGATAATATATACTTTTGTGGGGAGATTGAAGCTACTCGCTGGAGAACTACTCGCTGAAGAAGAAGGAAGGGAATGAGATCCAAGCCGCTTTGACGAATATGAAAAAAAAAAATAGATATGTAATAAGAAGCCATTATGACCGATATAACCTGGTTGTATGGGGATTGGAAAGTACCACCGAAGGGACCATCGTAAATATCTTGTGGACCGTTACTGAAGAGGGATGAATGACAAGGAAGGGCATTGGACAAAGGTGTGTCTTTGCCGTCCGTTTCTGCTGCTCGATGTGAGATTGTGGCGCACCGGGATCATGATGGCTAATTTCATAAGCCTCGCGCGCCTCTCTCTTCTTATAGCCTCTGCACGACGTCATTGTGAGGGCAACGCCGTGTTTCCAATAGCTAAGATCGTCGGGGCTGTGGTGGAGAGGGGGATAGCGATGAACGATAAATAGAGGGTAAGATGACAGGACCTCCGCTTTTTCGACTTGGGAATAGCAAATGGATTGCAAAGGAGCAAGGGAAGAGAAACAAGCAAGTAAAGAGCTGTGTATGTCTTCCGTATAGGGTCATAGGGCCGCCGGAAATTTGGTATTTGTGGTTCAGATAATCCCAATCCCGAGGGAACTTTCGAAAATCTGCGGCACCATCCCAGACCTTCAAGATCGGGTTGCGGAGTCTCCCGGCTTTTCTCAGTATGGATGTTGGTAGAACCAGGACATATCAAGCTGGATCCGCAACTCTCTTGGTGATGGTAATTCATTCCAGATCATTGGAAACCATAGCCTACATTTTTCCGGTGTGGGTCGATAAACGAGGCCCGGTGCTCGTCGCCCGCCGAAGCAAGATGGACCAGGTGAAGAGGACCATCTCAAAAAGCCGTCCGTACTGCTAGAATTGCAACTCCCATAGGTGTTGTAGAGCAGAAAATAAATGGGAAATGAATAGAGGTGGATGTAGCGTGGTGCTTGCTATGACAAACTAGTTAGGTCCAGGCTTTTTCGTATGTCGATGAAATCTGAACCTGGTCAACTGGAAGTTCAATCGACTCGGCTTCTTTACCGTGCGGATTCGATGCCCGAAGAATGGTCGCTCTTTAGCCATCATAGCTTCCATAGGGCATCGGTGCCCACGATATTGGAGAACTCAATGTTCTTTTCCCGGCTCCAATCGCATATCCATGTCCCAGGGCGCTCAGCACGGTATAATCCCCCGGGTTGGAGCTCGGTTCTCAAGGGCAACAAGGACAATGCATAGATATCTTTCCCCAAGTGGTTTGCTGCAGTGACACTGAGCATGATGCACGGTCTCCGTGCACCGGAGCATGCGCGACAAGCCCGACTCCTGGGGTAGCCTTTCGGCCACGTTGATTTTGCATGACGTTCCATACCCTGGATTACTCCTATGCAGTTTTTCTCCCAGTAATGGTTGCCACAAGGGTTTTCCTCCCAAGGAAACTTCATGTTGGTGTTACGGTAATACTCGGCTAGAAAGTTCTTCAGATATGCCGCCAGCGGCGCTTGCAATAGCGGCGGGAAGCTGTCGTCACTCAAGTTTATGTTAGGGGGGAGGGACGCGACGAATTTGATCCCGGGCGCGTTCCATGCTTTTTGTATGTAGTTTTGAGCTGCTGAAAGCGATGAAGAGATATCCGCGCAGGAGATCACTTTCGGATACTCAAGGCTAGAGTCTATGCTCGCGCGCTTGCTTGGTCTGGCAGAATAATCTTCATCAGAGTCATAATTTTCATCTAAATCATAATCTTCACCCGAGTCGGAATCTCCCACTCGTGGCCTTTTGCGCATTCTGCCGGTCGCTTGCGTCGTTGTCGCTGATGTTTGAGCAGTAGATGGCCGTACCTGTAGGTATCGCTTGACCGTCTGAACATCAGCTAGCACCTTCTCGAGGACCGTCTTTCCGTTCTGCACCACCGCGAGCTCCGTTGCAGCGCGTGAAGTTTGGGGCTCCAGTCGGGTGACTACCTCTTGCCCTTGCCGTTTCTTGATATCGAGCGAAACCTGGATTTCAGTAATCTCGCGCTGAAACACTTCCCCGAACTTCTTGAGTTCATCCTCCGCCTTGCCATCCTCAACTCGCAATCCCACCAGCCTCCCTTTCTCTGCTTCGCCTTCATCTTGCAGCTTCTTCTTTCCTTATGAAAGTCTTCGAGCAAGGACTGGATTCTGGCTTCATGATGTTCTACGATCGATCTGTTCTTGTTTTCCTGCTCCTCTCCCATCTGTGCAATGACTACTCGCAGTTCTTCTGCGCACGCCCTCTCTTTCATCACCTCCTCGCACAACGTCTTCACCTCTTGTTCCCATGTCTCTTTCGCCGCCCTCTCTTCATCCCGGGACGCTTCCATCGTCTGAAGCTTGTCGTCCAGCTCTCCCGCCCGCATCTCAGAAGCAGTAAGTTGGCCTTCAAAGACGCCCGATTGTGTTTTCGCATCCGCGAGTCCCTTCTTCAGATCGTTGTTGTCTTGCTTTATGTCATTGTACAAGATCTCGAAGAAATCAGCCCTGATTTTCAATCTCTCCTCGCGAGACTTGACGGGTTTATTCAGGGTTGCCGTGGAAGCATTGGACAGATCTGGGCTGGAAGCTGTAGAAAGCTCGCTTGGGGATGCGGCATCATGTACGCCGGGGTGGGGAATGGACGTCGAGATGTCTGCCGTCATGATTGGCGCAGTTGCGCCATCAGCGTAGTCCATTGAGTTGGCGCCTCTCTAGTAGTGAGGGAAGTGTGTTGGCGTGTTACTATTGATTCAAAGATGGAGTGAGTGGCGAGGTGGAAAGTTGAGTTATGAGTTGAAGTTGATTAAGAGGCGGAGGTGAGGTCTGAAGTGGAGGTTAGCTGGATTGAAGTCAGAAGCAACCATGGGCACGAACGAAGTTTACCGCAGAGCTGCAACGTTTTTGCACTTGGTGAGGCCGAGAGGTGTAGGATAGAAGTAGCAAGCAAGCATGCACATAATACCTCTATAGCTTAGGGACTAGGCTGGTGTTTCCCAAGTGAGGTGATCGGAGTGGAGTGCGATGGTCAAAGATGGTGCGACTCCGGCATAGTAAAAGCAAGGAAGCCGCGGAGAATAGCTGTCTATATAGACGTGAAAGAGTTGACCAAGTGAGGTCCTAGGAGTGGACGGGGATGGGGAAGGCGAGGATTCAAGGCTTAGCCGTTGAGCGGAAAGAGGTGTTTGCATAGGTAGAAGAGAGGGGTAGTATAGACTAATGAGGTGGTAGGAGTAAAATATGACGTGGAGCGTGATAAGTGGAGGCCTAGACGTCAACGGGGAATACCAAAGATGGCTTTCAACGATCTTGGGATATTTTGAGATGACTGGCATGGAATTCCCAGGAGACGAGTGCTTGAGAGAGATTTGAAAAGATGTATTGACGGAGACGAGTGATCGGAGTGGAGTGTGACGGGGATGGTGATGAGTGGAGATCCACTTGACATGGGATATGTTGAAAGAATTTGGAACGCTCCCGACCAAAATGTTGATTGGGACACTGGCAAGGACTAATTGCTGGATATGACTGAAAATTACACGCCGCAGAGCTCCAGGGATCTATGCAATACGTATCATTGAGTATGCACCATACGTGGCGCTGCTTTCGACATCCGCATGCTTGACTTGGAACCTGACAGACTTGCGATCCGTCCGTGTATAACAGTATCCTAGAAATGGTGCCTGCTATCGAAGTTAGACATTTACAGCCATCACCGTTCTGCACGCTGGGCTGCTGCACGAACCGCCAACGTGGCCAACCTAACGGTACCCATCTTCGTATGGCTCAAAGCCCCAGCGATGCCAAATCTTTGACGCATTTGCGGACCGTCGAAGACGAATGGTGGACCTTTGATCTATCGTACGATTAATTGTTTGCCGCCAGAAATGACACACGCTCTACGTCTTGTGCTACGCTATATGTCAATACGCTCAAATTGACGACAGATTCATGCGTAGAAGGGAAAGTTCGGGCTCTGCTGCATGTAGTATAGAGATAAGCCATGAGACACATATGACATCCAAATCCCAGAATCTATAACCGTAATACCTTGCCGACCGTGAATGGGATACTAAAATTGCACATATGCTCAATTAGTGTCTGCTGATAAGTAGACCTACGCCAATGACCCGATGCTCCGGCCTTGGGACCAACTCCCAAACTCCGCAATGCTGGTATAGAACAAGACCACCCCGCCAAGATGCCACACGCCAAATCACGCTGCGCTACGTCGATTCCGACTGTACAGTTTGCTGCATGCTCCGTTAGTACTATGCTCTCAAACCTCGAAGCCGGTCTGTCACTCACCACCAACCAATCCATACCCTCATCCACACCTCTCCCATCAATCGCAGAGCACGCCACGATACTCCAGTTCCTGTCCTTCAGCTCGCCTAGCCGCAGCGCCTCAGATATCTCTCCTGCCCCCTTTGCGCCCGGCTGATCTTGTTTGTTCGCGAATACCAGCAATGCCGCGTCGCGCAGCTCCTCCTCATTCAACATCGCGGCGAGTTCTTCGGAGGCGGTTCCTAGACGGTCAATATCGGTGGAGTCGATGACGAAGATAACAGCGGCGGTGTTGGCATAGTAGCAGCGCCAGTAGGGCCGGATCGAGGTTTGGCCGCCTAGATCCTGCAGAGGAACTATATCAGCAATAGCCAAGAAGCATGAGAAGAATGCTACTCACCCAGACGTTGAAATTCAGGTTCTTGTACGTGACAGACTCGACGTTGAAGCCTATTGTCGGTATCGTTGTGACGACTTCTCCTATCTGTAAACCCTAGTTAGCATGGAACAAATACCATGCTCAGACTTCGAGAAAGACGTACCTTTAGACGATATAGCAGCGTTGTTTTCCCCGCATTATCCTACCCCCGACAACGTATTAGTCTGCGATGCTCGGGGACTAGTCTCCGTGGACGCGTGGACTTGTTGGCACTTACGAGCCCCAATATCAGAATCCGGATCTCCTTCTTTGCAAATATCAGCGAGTAGAAGCGTGAAATTTGACCGCCCATCTTGATCTGGCTTCTTCTCCGGACGCTCTTTAGGTGTAGTTACGCTCGTGTGGTGTTGATTTGCCACTCTCGGGGGAGCCGGAGTCGCTGGCGAGAGGAGGATGGGGGCGGTTGGTGGGTTCGGCTAGTAGGTATATATCTGTCGGGTTTGAGGAAGGATAAGAGGGTTTGAGAGGGTAGAGCGCGACGGGAGTTCGTTATTGTGGTGGCCTTTGAAGTCGATCCGTAATCTCGAAATGCAGCGCTTCGGAGCTGAGGGTTTTTCCGATCCGACGGCGCTTTTCCACCACCACTCTCCCTGTTCCCGATTCTCATCGGACGACAGCATTTGACACCTTATAAATGTGCCATAATACATCTCAAGTGAGACCGAGTCTACTGCCATCTAAGACAGCTGGTGTTACTGCCATTCTGACGGGACATCGATCTGACTTTGGAATTCACGATGCTGTAGAACACGCCAGGACGAACCACGAACTATCGGTCATAGAAACCGGGATAGACAAGATTTGGATGTTTATATATTTGGAAGAGGAAATCGACATTGAGCAAGTATTACCCCCTTCTCCTCCGCCATGCATTCGAAACCCGCTTAGTGTCTTACTTAAAAGTACCCGATCTCTGCAATCGGAACACGCGTGTTCGAATCCAGAAAGATGTTTCCAGAGTTTAGCAAAGACTGGAGAGAGTGTTTGCCTGTTCTACGCCTGTCAAGCCTTGGTTTTTTTCATACTGGATGGATGATATCACAGCTGATCAAAACAAAATGTCCGAAAGAGGGTTGCAAGCATTGTGAGGATCCTCTTTTCCTGCTCAAGCATCGCCTTCAAACATACACATATTGGTTTCTGCACATTCCCTTCGCCACTTTCGATGAGTCTCACGTACAAAATATAATCTTTGCAACAACTCTTATAAACCGTCTCCAACCTTCACTAGAAAACAAATGTACGTCTTCGCGTTGATATAGAATAACAGCATAGTTTCCATTACAGTGTCTACTTCATTGCTTCACGCCATTACATATTACTCTAATGGCGGTGTTGCCGCTCTCAGCCGTGGGGCTTCCTTCGCTCCGCGAGCATCGCCGGCACATAGCTTTATAGAATATGAAAACTCCATCGGCCTACGCGATGCTTAGTGGAAGACGCATAGCTTGAGTCGCTCCGACCTACGGCGGCCCGCGCTATCGCGGATAGATGCGGCCGCGGTTGGTCGCATTCACTATCCAACCCCGTTCTGCTGGAGGGGCCTTCCTCGACCGCAAGGCGCGGACAGCTCTGCTCTTCTCACACACTCCGACATCCCCACTGAATGCTGGAACCTTCACTCACCTCTCATCTTCTCACACTTTTGCTACGTCAGTTAGCGAATCCTTGCCTAGCAACATCTCTGTTGCCATTCGGAATACCTTCGAAACATCTCGACATGGCTCCACGCGCCACTGAAGGTACCTTTCCTCGATACCACCAACCGTCTCGATGACTGTCGCGCTGACCAAGGCTTTGTAGGGAACCTTGCCGTTTCCCAGAGGACCACCCGCTCCACTACGGTAAGATCCTTTCCCGCTATCGATACCTCGTTTCCTTCCATCGCGGCTCCCATCGCACGCTATTGATACGCGAATTACCAACACCCTAACCCCTTGCCGCCATGCCGCCATGCCTCCATGCCTTGAGCATCGTATGACAGCTTCGCACTTACACACGTTTCATCTAAGACTAACCGGATCCTCTTCTAGAGCGCTCAACGTCCTGCACTTAAAGACCTCACGAATACCCGTCCGGGTCCACACGGCGACGAGACCACGCCCGCTTGCCGAGGTCTTGCGGTTAAGCTTGTGAAGAAGAAGGTAGACGACTCGGAGCCTGGTATGTGTAGCCATTCACCTCGGTCCTTGCTAGCTGCCTTCGACTGACATTCTTTTAGAAGATGAGCTACCGATACGCCCTCTCGACCCAAAAGATTACAACAAGGATTACAAGCTGGCCCAGCTCCGAGCCTTGTGTGATCGCGACGGCATCGCATATCCCAAGTCCACTACAAAGCGTAACGTCATCGACCGCATCGTGTCGTTCGACCTTCAGAACAAGGTGGGCGACTGGGACACTGATTGTACGCTTGATTCCTACGATCCTTTTGCGGACGACAATAGCGATGGTGAATCAGATATCCGGGCTGGTAGCAATGCGCAATCCGAAGTCTCCGAAGACAAGCAGAAAGGCGGGAAGAGTCCGTCTGAGTCCAGGGACCCGGACTGGGCACAGCTCAAAGTGCTCAGAAAAATATTCTACAACAAGTTTAACAGCGCTGTCGATGTGAAGGATTCTGGCCTTCTGATCAATCTCGTGGAATGCGCATGCCAGTTGGGACGCTCTGAATCCCGGGCCTATGACAAGAAGAAGGCGAGTGATTTCCACTATCTGTATACTCGACTAGTGGATAAGTATAAGAGATATGTTGGAGACTCAAGGCACCACAGAATCCCTGGCGATATGAAGTTTATGCTTGAGTTCCTCAAGTACTACTACGAGCTCAAGCCAGAGCGCAATAGCCAAGACTTCGCTGTCTTCAGTCACACATACGCCGAACAGCAACGTCGACAGGCTAGCCGGTCAGCCTCGGCCGAGAAGAGCCTTGCCGAAGAAGACAACGATAATGGAGGTGTGCTCAATGAACCCAAAAAAGACAGCGCCGCTGAGAACAACACTAGAAGATATGAGCAGAGGGACTTCGAGGATCTCAAAGAAGAGCTCGGCAAGAAGGTTATTGGTCTTGGTAATGATGTGGCTGTTCTGACTTCGCTGTTGAAATTCTGTCACGAGACACGACCGACGAAAAACATGGGCACGCATTTCACGTCTCGCAATGCGGCCTGGTTGAAGCGTCTTGTTCAGCAGAAGTGTGCAAAGCATACCGGCGGCACGGCACGAGATAAAGACTTCGCTGCTGCGCTTCTCTATTTCTTTGACACAATCAATGTCGAGGTCCACGTCGGGGATGATAGAAGCACAAGGGCCCATCCTAGTAATATTGCTCCACAAGCTGAGACGGTTGAAGAAAGGACTACCTCGATGAGTATTTCGCGTGTCGAAGCTCCTGAGGATGTTCCGGTCAAGAAGACGAAGAGTCCCGCCACCACCGAGATCGCTGGGTCCGCACGGAGCGAGGTCAGCTTCGAAGGCAAGAAAGAGTACCAGGGCCTTATCACCAAAGGAGTCCAAACATCCAGCAAGAAGACTGCCAACTCCGATCGAGAAGACTTCGCCAAAATTGAGTTCAGTGTTCTCAGAAAAGACATCAAGCAAAGGATCACAGCACATTTACATGACACCGCTTTCATTGCCAAGCTCTGGCGAATCTGCTACAGGCTCCGACCTTTGAAAACGGGTCAATTGCCAGAATTCTATTCTCGTGACCCTGAGTATGTCGTAGGTGGATTCAGTCAAAAGTTCCACGAACACGTCGAGACTGCCCAGAAGAGAGTTGATGGAGACAAGGACCTCATAGTTGAGCTCCTCATCGCCTTCGATGCTCTAAGGTCCGAGGCTCGCCACAAAGAGCACGTCGTCTCTGGTGTTGAGAAGGGATCCTCCGAAAAGACTGAAGCGGAGAGGACCAAGGATGAGAAGGCGCAAGAGCCGCAAGGAGTCGTAAAGAGAAAACTGACAGGGGATAAGCCGTGCGAGAAAAGGATCAAAACTAGCGGTGTAAGTGTGGCCAAGAACAAGTCTACTGCATCAGCACTGCCGCCATCTCGTCCAACGACAACTCCCACCGTCGCGTCCAGGAAGCGTAGTCGTGGTGAGGATGAAGTCCAGCAGAGAAAGAAGGAACATGAAGTTAAGAAGGCTCGGCCCACCATCGGACTCAATAAACCAACAAAGCGCACGCGCGATGAGGGTGAGAAAGAGAGAGAAAGCAAGGAACCCACGGCAAAGAAGCTCCGCACCACTGCCCAACGCATTGAACCACCCAACGGCAACGCACCCTCCATGCCACAGAAGGGCCTGTTCGAAAGCAACTCGCAAGTACCTCATCCGCCGCCTCCCTCCGCCGTAGTACCAGCGCCAGCCGCCGCTCCACAGCCACAGCCTCTAGCGTCACGCTCGCCCACTCCACTAGCATCCGAAGTTCTCACACCCTATGCGTCGCCTTGCCCTTTTCCACTAGCCTCGCTGGGTGTCATTCAGTGGTGGTCCCCGCCTCGCACTCCGCTGGCGTCAGAAGTTGTCACACCAGGGGCGTCGCCTTCTCTAGCTCCACCCGCACCGCCTGTTGTCACGCCGCTGGCATTACCTCCGCCAATGCTGCTTATTCCATCCAAGAAGCGAAAGCGTGAAGATGTAGCCTCCGAGGCAAAGGCTAGTCCTCCTCCTAAGAAGAGCTTTACCGAATATATGAAAGAGAAGAAGGCAAAGGCGGAGAAGGCGGCAGCGGAGACGAAGGCCGTCGAAAGTAGTGGTAAGAGTGCTGCAGGAAACACCCTGGGTTCCACCGAAACTGTCACTGCCGCCTCTACCAGGAAAACTCTTCCATATCCGGAGAATGAGGTTGATTGGGAAGGTGGCGAGATCCAGTAGCTGCACTACAGGTCGTGTGAAAAGATGACGGCTTCTGCTGAAAGGTATGTTCTTTCTCTTCTATCTTCGTGTGATGTAATACTAACATCTCTCCAATCCAGAAGAAGCAACGAACATGACGAGCGAAGTTGAAGCAAAGGGCCCGCTCCAGGCCTGTCACGCTACCAAGCCAATCCACGCGTAGGTGTATCGAGCCGCGTAAACGCCAAACACCACCCGCAGCACCACGCCGAGAAAGAGGGACGCTGGGTGCTCAGTATTGCGTGCATTTACCTGGTAAAAACACGTATGTGAAGGGGCAGAGTTGTAATCCAACCAAGTTTTGAAGCGATTTGAGGGGGTCCTGGAATGTTTGAGGCACCCCTGGGCTAATGAGAAGGTTGAGAATGCAATTTTTAATGGGGCGGTCATGGAGTCGATTTCCTGCGTTTTTGCTTTCCTTGAGGTGCCATCAAGGTACCCCTACTCCCCCTTAACTAGCCGACTCACTCAGCCTTGCCAAGGCATCCTACGACTTGCGACCATGATATCTGCAACCCATTCATGGGGCGTGGGGGGAGTACGCCTAGTTATGATGGAAGCCGCGGACTGGGTGGGTTGGCGAGCTATGGGGGTTTGGGGGTATCGGTGACCCAAGCAATATAGGTACAAAAGGATTTGAAACTTCATCCTAATCTTCAGGAGCAATATCACATCAACTTGACTTTCATTTTGCTAGACCTTACAATACCCCAAGACGTCCCCGACCGTAGCAGAGGCCAAGGAGTACGATGTAAGATTCCGAACACTTTAAATTTGACACAAATCACGCCGTTCCTTGAAATCCGTACGCATGCCAGGCCCTCGAAAACAGTCTAGTTTTGTCTATCATTTTGCAGGACCTCCTAGTACGCCAAGACACCCTTACTCATACCAAATTCATACACATAAGATGTTAAGTCTTCGGCCTCTTAAATCTAGTCCAATTCATTCCTAGCTAATACGACAAAGATAGCACTTAACACACTCTGAACGGCGATGGCTTCGTTTCGTCTAAACAAGTGCTAATACTAGAAAAGAAATCGTGTCTCTTCTTTTACATAATGAACCAACGGCAACAAGAAAACGGAAAGCGTATTCCCTACTCCTCCTCTGACCAGAAGCCTGGATCGTCGTCATCGTCGGGGTTGAAATCGCAATTAAGCGAAAGCTGGATACCACGACTCGCATGCCAATTCGAAATGTACCACTGTATCGATTTTCCGGCGAACAGTGTCACAAGCTTCTCCTCGGACCCTCCGCCATCTCCAAGCTTCTCCATGGGCTTCACAGGTTTTCCTGCCTCCTGTTCTTTCTTGAGTGCGTCGAAGATCGCCTGCTGGACGTCCTGCATCCACTCTTTGTCCCCTTCGGCTTCTCTCCTCTTTTTCAACAACTTGTTTGCCTCTGCCATTGCCTTGTTCAGCTTCCGTTCATCTATGCGCTTCTTACGACCTTCTTTCACCTGCAGAGCTGCCGGGCCCAACGCCGGTATGAAGTCGTCGTCGTCTTCTCTCCTCTTTGCCTCTTCTAGCAGCCTCTCTGCCTGTTCCATCCTTAGCTTCTTCTCTGCCATTCGTGGAGAGGTGCTCTTTGTGACACCCGCTGAGGAAACTAGCTTCGGTTTGGAAGGGGACTTCTTGGGTTCTGGGCGCTTTGAGGGGACGGGGCGGGTAGAAGGCACTTTTATCTCCCCCGCGTCCGGGTCTTCCACCTGTGCCTCCTTCGCAATTGGCGGGGAAACATTCTCGATCCTCGTGCCTTCGGATTGGACTGGGAGGGTGGGAGATGCTTGGGCTTCGTCGTCCGCGTGCAGTTTCCCTTGCTTCGCGTGGTCAAACTCGCTTTGCAAGTCTTCGATCGGCTTGTTCTCGTCCAGGAGGTCGTGTTTGGCCAGCAGGTGTGCCCACTGATCCTGAGGATGGGGCGTGAGATCTACACGGCGCTTCCGAGCTGCTTTGCGTAGCTCCTCCTCGGAGAGAGCAATCCACGTCTGGACTGGCTTTGGTTTCCAGAGTTTCTTCTCAGTCTTGCCCAATGGATTGTCTCTGGTGAGACTAGCTACTGCTGCATCTACCTTCATTTCAGGTCGCGTAGGAGTTTTGGCAGTCTTCAGCCCCTTCGAAGTCGTCGGCGGTGCCACAGCCTGCTCTTCGTCCTCTTCTTTCGCGGGAAGTTCGGCGAGGGACTCCGCCAAAGTCTTGTTTTCCCGAAACTGAAAGTCAGGACCGCGGACCTCGATCTCATGTTGAAGTTCTGCCTTCAGTGCCTCTATCTCGTGCCAGTAGAGCGCTTCAGCCTTTACTTGGGTAGTGACTTTTACCCCCAAACGCTTCCAATTAGCCACGTAGAAATCCCAGACGCCGCGGTCTTTGAGCACTTCTTCGCAACCGGTGCCGTACCATTTTTGCCTCCAGACAGTGAGTGCTTTTGGGCCTCCTGATTCTCCTGGTAGTGCTAGTGGAGTCCTACTCGAATCGAGTTTCCGCTTGCTGGCACCAGTTGCGTCGGCCTTCCGCTTACCTGCGGTCTTCGTGTTGGCCTTCGTAAGGGTAGTTTGGGGCTCGTCGTGTTCCTCCTGAACGTCCTCTATGATAAAGTCGGAATCCTCCACTGCAGATTGCTTCTTGGCTTGACCGGAAGTAGGTGGACGCGGGATGACCTGCGTATCGGGGACTGGATTCTTGTTTGACTTTGAGCTTGCGAATTTGCGATTGGAGGCGTTCATCCTTTGGACAAAAGTACCGTCCTTCTTGCTTGAGGCATCGTCCATAGCAACATCGTCCTTGAACTTGTCTTTCAGAGAGATTGGGGCTATTCCCATCAGGGAGCTTGGGGCGACTTCATCTGCTGGCTTGGCCTTCTTGGGACGGCTGTCATCCAAGGTGTTGAGGAGAGTTTGACCTTTGCCTTCGTCGTTGCTGTCATCATCTGCGGTTTGAAGCTTACGCTTGGAACCGATCGTGCTGTCTGTCATGCGGAGAGTTGGGTTGGCCGCCGAGCTTGCAGAGGTCTTGCGCTTGGAGACCGCGGATGACTTCGGAGGAGCCATTGGATATGGAAACGTAGAGAAACAGGAAGTGTCAACACGGATTAGGAAATGTGTCGGTTGGGTTGTGAAGGCTTCAATGAAGGGCGATAACGAGCAGGAGGTGGTGGATTTGGAAGTGCAACCACGGTAGAGAGTTAGAACAAAACTGGGTGCTCGCTGGATTTAAATGGAGGCTGTGGAGGTGAATTCGTCTTGTATTCATTGTGCACGGGCCTCTTTCACCACTGCGAGCGCCAAGCCGTCTGCCTCCCGCCTACCTCCCTCGATACTGGCAGCGCTGGAGAGTAGAACGGCGGCGTGCCTGTCGCCGCCTTAATTCATACACAATGGTTGCCCGACGAGAGCTAAAGAAACATTTAGCGTGTCAGTCATTCACCACCCGTAAGTTGAGAGGCTTCTTTCGGCTGAACCTTTCGTGACTGTCCGCAGGTAACACACACTCGCCTGAAATGCAAGATTTAGGGAGAAGGAGAGGGTAACCCGGCGGAAGAGAATGATATAGCATTGATAATGAAAAATAGACATCCAAGAGACGACAAAGGAAGAAAGTTGGGTGGTGACTCCGATCGCGCAATGACGAAAAGCCAGCAGAGATAAATGCAGATAGGCGTGAAAAGAAGAAACGTGGACATGCCATGCTCTTCTCGTATACATGAAGAAGTTTGTCTAGAGCTTGACTCACAAGTATTCCTGCTTGCTCCTGCTTATTCACGCATGACCCCTAATTGAGTGACTGCGCTATGAATCTAGTGAGGGAAAGGGGTACGCCTAAGATTATCACAACTCTAAGCACACGGTTTGCACAAACATACGTAACTTTTATGACTGTGGGTTAGCATAGTCAGGAAAGTTCGATTAGCTACTTCGCTTAACCAGAACCGTTTCCGACTGGCCTAGTCTCCGCCGCATTAAATTTGACATCACCTTAAAATCAAGTGATGATTATTAGTGATGCTAGATGATTAGTATTAGCGATGCGATACAGTTGACTTTACCTTTCCATGCAGGACGCTGTCAGCTCAGCTAGTCTTACCCGTTAGATCGCTGTAGACTAACCTAGAGTACGAACTCCAGGAGGATTTCTGCTTGGAATTCGTGCATCAGAATTGAACTATGCCGGCAGTTCCGTGATGCATTCAACCCAGTCGTGAAGAGGGGAGAAGGTGTCGCTTAGTTGGATTTCAGGCCGTCGCGTCTGAACATTGATGAACTGGACATTTTGTACATGATTCACGCTGATTGCTACTGGTTGCTACTATCATTGCATGCTGTAGGTGATTGCTATAATCCAACAAGGTACACGACAAGGACGGCTCAATGAAATTATGAATCCACAAAAGACTGATTTCGATTAGTGTTGTTGGATATGATGCCCCCCATATCTCATATAATTGTAGAACCATGTGAGTGCATTACGAGCAGGACTAAACTGGTATACACAGGCTTTTCGAAAGACACTATATGTCTCGGTCCTTGGGGTTCTGCGTAATTTAACTGGCGTAATTCCTCACGCTTAACACCAACGACAGGAGATGATATTAGATGAGAAGCACACATTATAGGTTCGGAGAGATGTAGCATTTTAGGTCGTCTTACGTGATTTCATGTCTTTTTACATCTAAGCTAGTGGCCTTACGTATCTACGCACTGCGACTAAAGCAATCAATTGTGTAGGACGTGACATGCCGCATGTATCTCAATCCTTTTTAGAGGCTTTTTCTAGAGCTTTTTTGGGCTGCTTCGTACGCATGATAGGAGAGGAGAGTACAGAATGTAGAAAACAGGCACCAGGTTACAGAACTCCCTCCATACTTCCATAAAATCTCAAGTCCCAAGAAGTTTTTCCCGGTAACCCTCTTAGAATCCCTTAACACCATTAGTCACGGAATGAAAACGAAACGGTAACAGAAACCCAGAAAAAAAAGGTAACCACGACAACAGCCTACTCCTCTTCCGAGTCCTCGAACAACGCGTCCACGCTGTCTTTTTCCTCCTCTGGTTTGTCACTTCCTGCGAGCGCGGCCTCCATCTGCTGCTCGAGGTCATCGCTCCCGTCTTCCTTTGGGACAAGGTCCACGCCTTGCCGCCAGTTATCGATCTTCTTAGCCTCTTCCACCCTCAACTTTTCCCGTGCTTCTATCGCCTCGTCATACTGGCGCTGCATAAGTTCGGCGGTGTTGATATCAGTAGGCTTCTGCGTCTTCTCCGCCCACTTCGTCCGGAGATCGAGTTCCTGCTTCGCTAGGACGTATGACAATTCTTCTTGTGAATGCTTCTCTAGCAACTCTTTGCGAAGGCGCTTGCTCGCAGCCTCTAGCAGTTCCTCGTTCGATAGACTCAGCCAGTCTGTTGGACTCATGACCGGATGCATTTTTTTCCAGTCCACCACCTTAGGTGGGGAGGTCTTCTCAGATATGAGACTTTCCGCAGCGGTTTTCATCCTCTGCTCTCGGGCGGCCTTCATCCTCTCTTCTCGGGCATCCTCCTTGGCGATCTCTTTGGCATTCCAGCGTTGCAGCCAGCGTACTGGATCCAGGACGCGTTCGGACTGGAAATTACTCCCGTCAATCACCGACAAGGGCGGGGGTTTCCTCTTAGCGATGCGACCGGTCGCGACGGTCTTCATCATCTGCTTTCCGCTGATCTCGTTGGGCTTGGGGCGCTTGGAAGGGAGGGGCCGAGAGTGTGGCGCTTCGCCGCTCCGATATTGCTGAGCCCTAGACTCACTAGAGGGAGTTGGCGGATCGATGGGTTCCTCGGCAAGATCCTCGATGGGCTCAGGCATTGTTTCCTCGATGATCTCATCTTCTTCTTCCTCCTCCTCCTCCTCCTCCTCCTCCTCCTCTGGCTCCTCATCCGGCGGCAGTTCCGAAAGCATTTCTGCAAGAGACTTTCCATCCTTTCGGCCCGCGTGGATATGATCTGGTCCGTGGACTTCGATCTCCTCACGGATCTCGCCTTTCAACAAGGCCATGTCCCACTTCACCAAGGCCTCCGCCATCTCCCTACAGTTGGGGCTCGGGAATCGGGATACGAGTTCATCCCAGAAATCACGCGATTTGATGGCCTCGGTGAGCCTATCTTTCTTGAAATGGGCCATCCATGTTGAGATGTCCTTCGGGCCACCCTCCTCGCGTGGCATTGCGAAGGGCGTCCTCACGAAGCTACGAGGGCCACGAGCTTTCCGCTTCCTGGCTCCCTTGGCAGCAACTTTTGGCCTAGATGGGACTGGTCCTGTGGACTGAAGAGCGCTGTACTCTTCGTCATCTTGCTCTGGGAGGTACTCCATCTCAGAGTCTTCCTCTGTGGCCTCTTCCTTGGGTTGGTTTACAGGAGCTGGACGAGCAATGGTTTGCGTATCTGTTACTGGCTTCTTGCTGGACTTGGTTCGGGCAACTTTGCGCTTGGAAGCATTGAGTCGCTGCAATGCAGTCCCATCTTTCTTCTGCAGTGGAGCATCCTCGATGGAGGAGTCTCCATTCTCATCTGTGTACTTCTGCCCAAGAGATACTGGGCCACCAGCGTGCGCAGACTTTGCTTTCTTGGTTGGACGACGGTCGCAGCCCTGTTTGGCATCTTCTCCATCATCTTCGGCCCTGTGTTTACCTAAATGTGGACGGGTTCTGGCTTGGCCTGCGGGATTTGCACCATGAATGCTGTTGGAGATGCCAAAAGTCGCCTTATTCCCCTTGAAGGAGCTCAATCGCGGAACACCATTGGGACCCAGCGTAAATGCGCTCGTAGGACGCTGGCCTGCGCCACTAGTAACGGCGGTGGCATTCAGTTCAGCAACGGGAGAAGAGCTGGGAGACACGGAAGCCTGAGGTGAAGCCATTGATACTGATGACAGTACTGATGACAGTGGAGGATGTGTTGGTGATGTTGGGGAAAGCTAGGCTGTAGGAAATCCGGCGAAACAGAGCTAGTGGTGGTGGAAGATCTGGTGGGACAGGGCTGGTGGCGTGTGGGAAACCTGGTGAATAGAGCTGGTGGTGGTGGGATTTGCGAGTTCCAAGGTTGGTGAGGAAAGGAAAGCTAGAAGGTATGAATGTGGTGGGTCTTATAGATACATGATGAGTGATTCTGACCCGGAACCATCCCTCAATGTCGTTCAACGATGCCCGCGGGCTATCATTCACATACTGACACAATGCGGCGAGCACCGGGAAAACACGGATCTCCCCTCCTTTCCAGTGAATGTGATGTCGTCTTTCTTGCCTGGACATTGTAAGCAAATGTCTTACACCATTTGAGTGTATGGTCTCGAACAACCAGCTCAGCGTCTATAGTTGGTCGACTTCGCATTGTGCCCTTATAATACTTGCTGGCGATAAAGAATTGTATATAGAAGTCGCTTGTGGCTAACTTCTGCTGGAAGCCTGTTCCCAGGGATGACTGTCGGAATATTGGAGAGTTCGTAAATTTGGAAATATCACATCTGCAATCGGTGAAACGCAACGTAAACACTCTCAGAATAGGCTGCGAACGGGTCACACAGCCAGATTATATAACGAGGCTCGTATAGGTTTGTTCCATAGCACACACGCGATTCTGAGAACTATGTTCTAGGGGAAAAAGTTTGTAATTCATTTTATCAAATAAAGCAAACGCGACGTTGAAAACAGCAAAGGAACCAAACTAATCGTGATTGTCACTTCATCTTTGTCTTTTTATTCGGGCATACAAGGAGTAAACAGAAAACTGGAGGCATACTTTAATTTTGACCTGTAATTCTGGAGGACGTAGTCATCTCAAGTCTCTTCATACGACGCCTCATCTAAGGCCTCATAGCGATTATTAGGGAGACTGCGATAACGGACCGAGAAAGAATGAACCAGTAAGTTGCAAGAAGATCTAGTCTCCCTTCGAGACCTCCAATTGCTCGCCCGGGGCGTCTCCTTCAAGCGCAGTGCTCATCATCTGCTCCAAGTCGCCGCCCTCATCTGGTGACCCGCCATTCTCTCCTTCCGGCTCTTCGAACAAGGCATTGATGTCGACTTTCATTTTTGGCGCCTTATTCGCAGGGAGCTCAGCAAGCATCTCATCAAGGGTCTTGTCACGCCCTGCGAGTATGTGATCGGGTCCATTCGCCTCAATCTGCATTCGAATCTCGCCCTTCAAGATTGCCAGATCCCACTCAACCAAGGCCTCTGCCATAGCTTTCTTGGTCGTTCCCTCATCGCTGTCTAGGAATTCATCCCAGAAGTCACGGGCCTTGATAGCCTCCTCGAGCTTAGCATTAGTAAGGCCTTTCCAAGTGGTGAACTTCTTCGGGCCCCCTTCTTCTTTCGGCATGGCGAGAGGTGTCCTCATGATCGGGAGCGGGGCATGAGTCTTCTTGTTGGCACCTTTCGCAACGACCTTCCGTCTAGCTGGTACTACGGGTGCCTTTCGGGCTGTTCGGACTTTGGGCTGCTGCTCCGGTGTATAGTTATCATCGAAGTCTTCGACTGTGGATTGATCTGAGTCCTCATCTGAGGTCGCCGGGCGGGGGATGGCTTTGGTATCAGACACCTTCTTCTTGCTAGACTGAGAAGCCTTACGCTTGATAGCGTTCAGCTGCTGTACGAGAGACCCATCATTCTTTGGCAGAGGAGCATTATCCATGGACGAATCCTCATCTGTGGAGTTTTTTATCTTCGATACTGGGGTGCCGCCGGTTGTCTTTGCCTTTTTGGCGGGACGACGATCTTCGTCCTGATCGCTATCATTGCCATTCTCTACGTGGGTGTCTAGCTGCTGGTTTTCGCTATCTTGGGTAGAGTGGACCTTGGGGACTACAGCGTTCAACTGGTGAATGTCGTTTGCGTCTTTCGCATCTGCGCTACCATCTTGAGAGGTGCTAGCGGTCATGGCGATGCTGACTTTGGCGATCGGATGAGAGTTGGAAGAAGCGGGAGACTGATTGGAAGCCATCGAGTCTCGGGAGAGCGTGTTGTTGTTGAGAATTCTGAAAACACTTGGCGAAAGGAAGAGTTTGAAGGGGTTGTTTAATAGCAGAATCTGGATGTGAGTGGTGGTGGTGTTGAAACAGGGGCTTCACAGATGGCGGAGAGGAAATCTAAGGGGGGTGGGCGAGTTGGATCTTATACACGGGTCAAGTAGAAGTGATTTGGGCTCGGTTTCACCACTCCGTGTGCTTTCACTATGCTGCACTGGCTAATATGCACAAACAATGTGGTGAGGGTTAGAAAGGCCTGGCTTTTTTGTTCTGTGAAAGTCTTGTAATCTCTATGTATCAACATTGTGAACGAATATATGCTGGTTAGACCCAATGGCGGCAAGATTCACTAATTCAAACTAGGTGTTCGACGATATTGTGTTGTCATCTTGCAATACACGATCACGAACTTCAGCCATTCTCATATTCCTATATCGATCGACAAGTATATAGGAGAGAATGATTGGAGGACTGTTGCTGGAGCCTACTTATAGTTCGATAAGCTCAATGAGCTTATCCTCATATCGTGTGTAGATACTGTACTCTTACTATCGACATTTTCACTGAATCAAGCCTCAAACATTTTGCAACCTCCAAGCTTCTCGTTTTCCTCTCCAGACAGGTAGCCGGCGTCCTCTTCAAGAGCATCACTATCGGAGCCCTGAACTGTGATACCGTCAGCCTGGCACCCCTTCTTCCCAAAGCGAATGTGGTTTAGAACCCTCCCCCTGTACAAGGCCTCGCAATATCGCGCCTCCAGCTCTCTAGCCCGTCGTACGCGCTCATTAATCTCTGTAATTGCCACCATCAAGAACTCGGGGCAATGTGGTGGAACCAGAAGATCACCCAGCTCTTTGCGGCGGTCTGTGAGAGCGTACAGTGCCGTACATCTCTCGCACATATCATCGGAGTCCCACTCCGGCTCGCGGCGCCATGGTGCTAGTGGTATAGCCGGCTCCTCTGCGGTCTCTACCCATGATGGGCCTAGAAAGAAGAAGTGCCTGGCTGGATCGTCTATCGGGATGGATTCGGCCAAGTCGTCAGTAACTGCGCGGCTGACCATCCAGTCTTTGACGGGCCAGAAGTTGGTTGCGCTGCCCCACCTCTTTGAAATATGATCACGGAGTTTGTGCAGTGGTATGGCCCGGTACCGGTCGGCGGTTGCCTCGATGTCGAATTCCTTAGTAGATTCAACATTAGCGTTACTAGGTCCTGGAGCTTCCATCGCAGAGCTGTCGGAAGAGATGCTGATGACGTCCATATCATCAACGCAGTCCTACTTACTGTCCCCTATTTCAGTGTTCTCTTCTGGCTCTCCGTCGGTTGAGATGTCTTCGGTCAATCCGTCGGGGGTGACCTCTTCGCCGGGAGAATCAGGCCTCAGAGAAGTAACGCCAGGTGGGAGGATAAGTGGAAGCTCTATGCATGTCTCCCAGCATTTGGCGTTGAGGTGATACTGTAGAATGAGAGACTTGAACGCTTTGCACCTGTCGCAGAGCCCGCCAGAGCAATTCCGGACTCGTGGCGTCATTCTGGCGGTGTTCCCACAACCTCGTCCCAGAAGCACGCTTTTCAATCTCCTGCTTCAGAGCCTCTTTCTTGTAATCTTTCTTCCAAGTTGTCGCTTTCTTGGGACTACCAGTTTTACCAGGCAGGCAGAATGATGTGCCACGCGTGAAAGAAATATTGCGTGGGTTGGGAGGTGCGGGAGACACACGAGGCGGTATGTTGTTTTTAGCTGGTCGTCCTAGCTGCGCTTCGGGTTCAGCCATGGTGAAAGGTTCTATGAATCAATTAGCTGGAAGTCCTAGTGCCAAAAGGTTGGACATAAACTAACCATATATCTGGCTGTAAATAGTATTTTCGTAGGCATGGGATCCCCCGGAAGTATCCATCGCAATAGCTTCATCTCTATGCGTGGCCTTCGCAACCTGTCGCTCATGTCTTGTGGCAGCCTTGCGCTCTTTCATGGCGGCCTTGCTCTCTTCTATGGCGGCCTTGCGCTCCTCTTTTGATACCTTCCTCAAGAGATGATAAGGGCCATTCCACTTTCCTCCTGACAAAGGAATCTGCATAGGCCTGATATACCTCAGCACGTTTCTCGAAATTGAAATGCATTAAGTAATGGTTGTAGTGGATGTCTTGATGGTCTACCCAATGGTCGTGGGCAGAATTTTTTTTCTATCTCTACAAAATTACTATGTAAGTCCTTATAGATGCCGCGCGATGCGAGCAAAGAATATTCACAGCGATATCTTTTTCACTATAAAAAAGTACAAGGTAAGATATACTGGAGAAATCATCATAACAATAAAGTATAATTGTATGTTTTTTGAGTTTCTATACGACAAGACGCGAAGTATAGAAGAAACATGACAGGGTCCCGTAATATCAAGAAGAGAGTAAGAAACTTTTCCAGACAGTATAGAAAATAACAAAGAGAAAAATATCGTATGCCAACGCTATGGGTAACAAGAATCCCGTACTTTTATTTTTGATGCAATCTGCTGTAGCTGCCTCACAGCTCCTCTTCTTCGTCCTCGTCCTCAGAAAAGCCCTCAGGATAGTCTTCATCATCAGAAGACTCATTCTTAAGCACATTTGAGTGAGACTCCCAGCTCCGGTACAAGTCCTCATGACGTTGTACCTGCTCTTCCCTGTCCCGCCGCCTTGCCTCCCTCAGTCCCCTCGTTTCAAGAATAGGAAGCTCCTTGCAATGCTTTGGGACCTTGAGAATCGCTCCCAACCCGTTCTTTTCTGCAAATGTATGCAACGCTGCACATCTTTCGCAGATTCCCATGCCCTGGATCTCCAATTCGTGGCGCCATGGCACTACCGGTATCATTGGGTCATCGTCGGTCTCGGCAGAATGCGGGAAGGACCAGTCCCTGACTGGGTGGTATGTCGGTATCATGTCCGCAAACTCGTCGGTTACTGATCGGCCAATCAACCAGTCTCGATCGTACCAGCAGCTAGTGGCGCTTCCCCACTTTCTGGAGACGTGGTCAATCAGTTCCTCCCGCTGCATGTTGCGGTACTTTTCCGCTGTGGCCTCGACATCGAACTCCACCTCGTATTCGCCATCGGAGATCACGGTAGTGTCTGGCGGGCTCTTCTTCTGTAGGCAAGTTGTCGGTGCTGGATGACTTGGTATCTTCTTCCTGAGTGTCTTCCTCATCTCCACACTCTCCACCTCGATTCACGGTCTCATCCGAAGACTCCTCATCAGACATCTCAGTGTCAGAGTCCACATCCTCACGTCCCTTCCAAAAGCAAAGGAGAAAGCCAGGGCTAGTCTCTACGTCCTGGAATTCGAAGTCATCTCCCATGAGAGACTCCAAGGCTGCACAGGCCTTGCAGCAGCCCTTGAAGGTGCATTGCTGTCGCTATGCAGCGGGTGGAGGGGGTGGAAAGATAAAAGGCGCGTTGCGGGCCTGGTGATCTGACAAAAACTAGGCCTTGGCAGGGTTCGTGTCGGGGATCAGCTCGGCCCACTCGTCTGTGACTGCACGAGCAATCAACCATTCCCTCCCGGGGAACTGCTGCAGCGCATGATCCCACATTTCTTCGACATAATAGAGCAGCTGGAGGTAGTCCATTGCTCGATACTTCTCGTTGGCGGCCTCGAAGTCGAATTCGGTGAGAGCAGGAGAGTATTGGACGCCCCACTTTTCCATGTGGTGTTCAACTTTCCGGAATAACGCGACCACCTCTTCGGGGCTCATACACCCTTCGAAAGCGTACCCGCGCGATTCTAGCTCTAGCTTTAGTTCGGTGCTAAGCTTGTTCATGTCCCACTCCATGAAAGCCTCAATCATCTCTCTTTTCGGAATCTCCTTCATATTCTGACCCGCTACAAAACTAGCCAAAAAACCACGCCTCTGGATGGCGGCTTGTAGGTCCTTGGCCATGTTTTTCTTTTCCCAACTCATGTACACCTTGGGCCCTCCGTTTGACCCCGGCAGCAGAAACTTCTTCCCGCGCTTGAACGTGACTGAGTCTGCTCCTGACTGGTCCGCATTGGGAACTTGGTCCGTTGGGTCTGTTTGGTAATTAGTTGGGATGTTTCATACTGGGATATTGTTAGACTTACCATTGCTGGAGGCAGGTAAGTTTTTAGATGGCGCGCCATTGTGATTGGGCATCTTCTATGAAATCCTCAACTGGGGTGTCCACGCGTTCTTCCGCAGTGGCGGTGGACTTGACCTTCTTCCGCTGTCGGTTGCCATCGAGATGTTCGAGTGGAGCGCGGTCGTTGGGGTCGACGCTACCGGGTGCCTCCGCTTTGCGCTTCTTGAGGGTTGGCGAGGCGTTCTGGAGAGTGGTAGGCGACACGGGTGGGTGCTTCTGCGCGGCAGTGTTTACAGCGGTAGGCTTGGTGAAGGCGGTGAACGGGGCGTGGGAAGACATTATAATCGAGGTGTGGGAAAGTAGGATTTGATGTGAGGATGTGGATAGACTAGCTGCGAAGCTGATGATCTGGAGGATATTGTTTGTTGTTGCGGGAAGCTGGAGAATTGCAACAGTGGTGATGGAGAGAGTGGGTAGACAGTAAGTGATGGGGAGGGGTTTATATACGAGGCCACTAATCGCACACCCCCTCCCCCCCTGTCGCTTCACCACCTTCTAATTGGCTCAGATTAACGCGGAGCTTCCTCTGGGCATTCACCTATACGTCTATCTACACGTGATGCTATACGCGAGGCCGTACGGCCTTACGTACGGCTATATATATGGCTACACGAATCGGAAAGGATGCATACCGATTTGTATAGCCTTATGTACAAGCCTAAGTCTAAGTATAGAATAGAAGTTCTATTCTAGAAGTGCCTATGTGCCTACAAGCATGCCAAACCTGTTAAAACCTCACCTTATTACGGCTCCTTTGCATCGAGCCTGGCCCCCCTGCATCACCACCTGCACCTACTCCATATACTGATCCATATACTCCTCAGCCTCCTCCTCATAGTTATACTCTGCAGGCGCCACAACGTTCCTACGGCTTGGCGGCTGGCTTGATAACTCAGCAGTGCCCCCCTCGACACCTGCTGGACGCTGAGACCCTCGTAGACGTGCTTGTAGAGCTGCAATCTGTCGTAGGATGTCTGCACGGTCATCCTCTTGTTCCACCTGAGGTTGAGGCTGAGCACTGTCTTGCCTCCGAGCTCCTGCCTTTTTCCGTGGTACCTTATCCTTTGCACCAGGCGGCCGGCCGCGCTTCTTAGCTGCAGGTGCAGCCGTAGGTGTAGCTGTAGGCGCTGCTGTATGCGCTGCTGTAGGTGCTGCCGTAGGTGCTGCCGTAGATGCAGCTGTAGGCCTAAGAAGGGCTGGATCAATACGAGAAAGATCAACCGGTGTAGCTGTCGACTGATAGGCATTCCGAGCGACAGGAGCTGGACGAGGGACTACTGAAATAGGCGGTGCTGGCGGCGGAGCTGTCGGCATGCGTCTTGGAGGTATGTATGCTCGTATGTCTACTCTGTCTGGTTTACTACGGTATTTTGCTAGGCCGTAGCCCTGCGCTGATGCGTGCGCTTGTAGAGCAATATACGCTTCCTCTGCTGTAGGGTAGTACGCCAGCCGTGGCGGCTGGAGGGCCATGGCGAGTGTATTGTAGAGGTGGAGGATGAGGATGTAATTGCTTATATACACGCTGCATTTGGAGAGAGCACTTGGAATTAGCGAGCGAATCGGAGGCTCCGGAGCTGCCCTCCGAGCCAATTAGAAGGTGGTGAAGCGACAGGGGGGAGGGGGTGTGCGATTAGTAGCCCCCTTTATATACAGGCCTCAGAAATATTTGATCGCCCGGGAGGGGGGGCGTGCGCATCGCCCGCCCGCCCGCCCGCCCGCCCGCCCGCCCGCCTGCCGTCTCCGTCCTGCCTGGGAGCACTGCGCAGGGCTCACCGAGCGCTTCAAAGGGCTTAGCAAGCACTTGGTAGGCACCATCGAGCATCGCGCCGGCTTGGAGGCGGCACAAGTGATGATTCTCGACTATAAGCGTGGCTTGGCACCATCGCTAGTGAGGTTCGGCATCCTGGATGCTCCCCGAATGGAGCACGCGGCCCCCGCTCAGCCGAACTGTCCCCCCGGCAACGACCCGTGGAGATAGGCGAGTACTGATCCGAGATCGAGGCGGCTCTGGCGGGGGAGATCGACGGCTTGCATGGCCTGGCGGCATCCATGGTCATCCCGGTCGCGCGCGCGACCTCCGAGGCGGGAGCTGCCCTGGATCACAACGGGCGCGCGCGCAACGGGCGACAGGCGACGGGCGTCGCGCCTTCGAGACGTGTCCTCGAGGTACGTAAACAATGATGATCATGTAAATCTCTGGGCTTGGCGGAGGTGTCCGCGGGCGACGTTGAGGTCGGGTTCTAGCCATCTCACCACCAAAGGCCCTACGAGGTGAGATACGAACGGATGTAGGTATTATCGAAGATAGAAGAGCGGTATATCGGGGTCGCGGAGATGTATTGATAGATTCCGATACTTATGGAGCCTGTGGACGGTCAGTAGTTGCATACCCACGTAAACAAAGAAGAAGCTGAGCACAACATAGCGATACCAACACACAAGGTTAGTGGGACACCAATGGAACCCGCAGTGATTTGATGCAAAGCTGCCAACCTTTAGGCCCAACCCTTGGCCAACCGCCATACGGTCCATGGAACGATGATGTTAGGAAGGTTATCCGACTTGCCTACCACCTAGCGACGGAAAATATAGGGAGCGACGTATATCCAAGGCCAGCTCGGAGCGATGCCTCTCTTATCACTCGTCTTGCGACATGTAAAGCTAATAGAAAGCAGGTTGTTGCAGCCTACCAAACAGCAAACAACGTCAAGCTACACCATCTTTCTTCGCGGTATGGGCCAACTCGACATCAAACATAAGACTAGAGAGGGGTCGATTGAACGCAAGGAAAATGATGAACACCCGAAAGAGCTGCTTGAGGTAGGTCACAACCACACCGTCAAGCCGCCTCGCTTTCAGTTTTGTTCGGCACGTGAATGTCCAAAGTACCATCAAAGCATAGACGCATACGACATACTTGACAAATAGAAAGACGAGACAAAGGGATGGATGAAAGAGTATTGGACAAATCGGACTTATGTTTGACTAAAAGAGATGGAGTATGACATGACAGGATGGGTCCAATTGGAAAGGGATTTGAGTGACAAGAGATGGAGTTGGTAAGACAAACCAATTCAGAAATGTGACGCTATAAGCAATCACAGTTGGAGATACAAACCCATTGTAAACTCTCGATCGTTCCGTAGCGGCTCTTGGCGCTGCCTCTGACTAGAAATTAGAATTGTCCGACGAATATTACACACCATCTGCTTGCACAATGTTCGCAATTTGATTAGCTACACACCAATGAATAGAGCACACGGGAAACGGTAGCCGGGAGCCATCAACGTCTATTGCTACTTTGAGATCCGAGCGCGACTTGGCAAAAGCCACATCTTCCACGACGGCTTCTCCAGAGGTATACTATCGAACGAACGCCTTGCTTCGCTTTCGCGTATCGACTTGCGGCCCTACGAAGGGTCTCCTTACCGTTGAGTAATAGCTACAAAGGCTGGCCGAGGGATGGGAGAGCGGAGGACAAGGCAGAACTGTCGAGAAACCAGGTCTATTTCTTCAATACCTTTCACTGCCCTGGGTTCATGGCTATGACCTGCCTTAGTGCTTTGTCAAAGGACCGGCGACGATGCATTCCGTGCTCGATAGCACTGGTTAGTGTATGGGTATCTGAATCATGGTGATTGGAAAGCCCTTGGTGGGGGACGTCGATGTGCTGCATATCGATACATGTTGTACGTCGGCGGAAGGATATCGTGGCCTGGATGAGGGTTGATGCTGTACAAGATACGGTCGAGATGGGTGATGGCTGCGAGTTTTCCTGTGTGGGATAGAGGATGAGGAGAGGGAGGGCGAAGGGGCATGGTCAGAATAGAGTTTGTGGGGTTTCCACGCTAGGCCACATGCGGCAACCACGAAGTTGGGACCCGAGCGGTCGGATCCTCCGCGGATTCTCCGCGAATCGCCTGACTCCTGCACGAAAACTATACCTATTCCACCAATACGATGATCAGATAGTGGTTGCCTAGATCTTTGCACCAGGATGATCGAAGCCATAAGGGGGCCTGACGACGCACGGCGAGGTCGGCCTCGCGTCCCCGATAGTCCGACCCAGAGAGACTGCGCAGGTTCTACTAGGAGTGGTTTAGGGGCGGTGGTGATATTTAGGTCAGGGTATTGGTAGTAGCAATATTATAAGCGAACAAAGCGGTATTTAAGGACGGCTATCTGCTCCAGTTCGCCATTCAACATCTCATAATTCACGTCTAGGCAGAATATCAATACTATTGTGTACTCGATCGTCATTTGTACAGCCATTGAATTGGAATTTCCCCTTTTCTATTTGAATTTTCTGCTCTTGGAAACCATGGAGTCTATCGTATCCCAAGTCGAAGTCCTGGCAGCTGATACAAACGAGCTTGGCCGCCAAACCATCCAACGCTCCCTCCGCGACCTTCAATACTCCCTCGAAACCCCCTATGATACCGCCGTGCGCTTTACTGGCCTCCACCTCCAAGTCGCCATGATCAAAGTCGGCGTCGATCTCGAACTCTTCACTATATTGACCAGGAGCATCACGCCTGTAACTGTCTCTGAGTTCGCCGAAAAGACCTCCGCGTCACCTGATCTTCTTCGTGCGAACCCCTTCAATTCTTCCTAACGCCTCTGATCTGATATTCCCAGGCCGTGTCCTCCGATACCTCGCCTCCACGGGCACGATCACTGAAACCGCCACCGACACCTTCGCACCTAACTCTGTTACTCGCGCCTTAGACCAGCCCGTGCTCAATGGCGGCATCAACCACCTCTTCAACACCATGGGCCCCGCCATCCAAGCCACCCCAGACTTCCTCAAAGAAACCAAGTACCAAAATATAACGTCGAACACGAACACGCCCTTCCAGAAGGCTTTCAACACAGACCTCGCCTGCTTCGACTGGTTTCACTCCCACCCCAAAGAGTTCGAGTGGTTACATCAGGCTATGCGGCTGCACCGAGGCGTGAGTTGGCTAGATGTCTTCCCATTAGAGAAAGAGTTGGAAGCATGGGACGAGCCCGAAAAGGCGGTATTCGTCGATGTAGGCGGTGGGCTAGGGCAGCAAATCGTCGCGCTCAAGGAAAAGTACCCCGCGGTTGCGGAGAAGGGAAAGCTCGTGCTCCAGGACCTCCCAGAGACTATTGCGCACGTCAAGGCGATTGGGAAGGGACTTGAGGGCATTGAGCTCATGGCGCAGGACTTCCATACCCCGCAGACGATCAAGGGGGCAAGGATTTACTATCTCAGGAATATTTTGCACGATTACCCGGATGATATTTGTGTCAAGATTCTGGAGAATGTTAAGCATGCGATGGGCCCGGAGAGTGTAGTTCTCGTGGACGACTGTGTGCTGGAGGATACGGGGGTGCCGTGGCAGGCAGCGGTCATGGATTTGGCTATGATGACGCATTTAGGAGCGTTGGAGAGGACGAGGGGGCAATGGGATGAACTGTTTGCTGAGGCGGGACTGAAGATTAGGGAGGCTGTGGTATACAATGGGACGATGTGTCAGGCAGTCAGTGTGGTGGTCAAGAAATAGGGGGATGGAATTGTAGGAGGTCGGAGGTGGATGGCAGCGATGTACGAATATACCCAACTCTCTTCTCACGTATACTATATAAGCAGATCGATCCAATATCACGAGCATTCAACTGCTCTTTTGCGAAGCAAAGTTACCGTTCAAAGATCTCTAACTCACTCACGTATCATCAGAATGTCTTGGGCTGTGAACCCCTAGTCTACCTGCCGTGTACGTACATACCAAAACAGCCTAAAGGCTCAGTTTAGGTCTATGTATCAGGATATAGGAGGACGATGTTAGCTGCACCCCCTGCCAGCAGTACTGCATCGTTTTGACCGATTCTGAGGTGTCAAGCTCAGCATTATGGAAAGCGGGAAGGAGAGGGGGTGCGAGTTGCGGGTTGCGCGGGTCTTAGATTTGGGGTCTTGGTGTTTGTGTCGGTGCAGCGGAGAGCGGATCTTGCTGAGGCACCTCCTACAGCAGCAAACAGTAGACCAAGCTTAATGTCACAGAGTTAGATTTCGGCCACTTAATCGAACTGCATCAAACATGCCTTTAAATTAGCTTGTGATGATATACCCGAGTCACTTCAACACGTTGCACACATAATTAAAAGTGAGTGAGTAGTTCTTGAAATTCAGCCTATAGTACCAAGACCAGCCCCCCATGATTCCAATTTAGTTGGAGGCTCTAGGTAGAACAGTCGCAAGATCGCAAAAGACAACCGCATTCGCATGAAAGAGAAAATCCAGCGCAAAACTCAAACGCTAAACCCAATCGCAAAATCCAAGTGCTAAATCCAAATGCAAAATCCAAAAAACCAGATACCGTGCAAAAAAAGGACAGAAATACAAAAGAAGACAGAAGAGAAACCATAGTAAAAGTCATTAAAAGCCCCCGAACAAGGTGTGGAAAGACATCGCCAGGTCCATCCATCCTCGTGATAGTCCCAATACCAAAAGGAAAAGTCGTGAAAAAACCCCGATCAATGTCTGGGAGGCTCCATCACTCCGACCCCCTGTCGTCGAAGTAGAGAGGGTGGCGCTGTATATTTTCGAGCGCAGCGCGGAAGTCTTTGGGGTGGGATTTCGAGGGTCTGCGCAGTAGGTCGTTTGGCCACTCATGTTTTGTGGAGTCCAATTTTCGTCTGCTTTCAGTCTGTCGTTTATTAGCACTGTAATTAGAAACGATCGAGGCTGAAAGGAGCGTACCTGGAGTAGGAACTTACAGTATTCTCATCTAGACCAGGTTCTCTTTTCTGGCAGAATCTTCTTGTGATTACTTTTTTTGTTCTTTTCTGGATTTTACACGCCTTCTGCCTCCGTCACCAACCACGCTTTATCTGTAGTGCGGCCTGTAAGAATCTACCCTAGCAACACGCTGGGACCTTCCCTTACTGCCGTTCGCACGCGTTGGTCGGTCATAGTCCTCGTGGCCCCGCTTCTTGGGGCAGCTGGATGACGGAGCAGAGAACTGCTGGGTGGGCCTGGAGGTAGCCTTTGGACCAGCCCGTGAGGTAGTCTTCAGGGCCTGGTCATGGTCTAGGCGGGGCCTCTTCATCGTTTGCCTCCGGTCATCCTGGAGGTCCTCATCACGAGCCGGCTTCCGATAGACGGGCTTCATAGCAAAGATAGCGTCCAACGGCATCGATGGCTTGGGAAGAGGGGCTGGACCGGAGAACTCGAGGAACCCTGTCCTAGGATTCACGCGAGCAGTTGGTTCCTCGGAGGAACCCTTGGATGATGAACCCACGGACGCGGAGGAGTGACGGCTGGAAGCAAGGCCTCCCTTGCGTAGACCCTCGCTGTCTTCGCGGAGATGTTGGTTGAGCTCGCGGCGCCATTCCTGGTCATCGCCATCTTCAACGATGATCTTGCGCTTAGGCTCGCGTTTCTGTAAATATGTATTAGCACTGTATCGTTCTCGTAGTGCGGATTAGACTTACCTTTCGCTCAGAACAAGAAAATGCCTCTTGCTTCTTTGGTGGGTTATTGGTCATGTTGTCTTCCTCGACTGACTTGACAGCAGCTACGAGGATCTGAGTATACGTATTAGTCTTTGAATCACGTTCATCAGGCGCGACACTTACCTCATCCTGGAAATTGTTCTTCTTCTTGCCTCCCTTCAACGCCAGGTACTCCTCCATGGCTCGCTTCATTGTCGCCTTGATCATGGCCTTCGACACTTTCTTCGAATCCTCCAGAGCATCCATGGCCTTCTTCCCCTTCCTGTGCTGACGTTCACGCTCATCCCACTCTTCCTTGGAGACATCCTTAAGGCTCTTTGCCTTGCGATAGGCAAAGATGTCTTTGACCTCACGCTGGACGGCAGGACGCTTCCGGATGACATGACCAACTGGTTCGTATGGAGGGATGAGTGCGTGATCAATGGCGAACTCTCGCCCTACTCCGCGGATGTAGCCTCGCCTTGAGATCAAGCTGGGCCGCGACCACAGCATTGACCACTTCTTGTGCTTAATGATTCCCCGGTTGATGTCGTAGGAAGCCTTCTTGTGGTTGTAGATGCTGGGGCCACGAAGGTCGAGAAGCTCCTGCTGGAGAGTGAAAAGTCTGGGCCGCTTCGGCTTAGAGGAGGCCGGCGTCTTGGACGAGGAAGACGTTTCTAGAGAGATGCCTTCCTCGACTTCAGTGCGCGCTTTGGTGTCTTGATTCGCCAGCTTGAAGGCGATTTGCTCCTCTCGCTGCCTCTCTTCTCCGCGCTTCTTCGCTTTCTCGGCCTCGCGCTTGGCCTTTTCCTTGCGGCGCTGAGTCTCCTCAAGTTGGCGTGCGTCTCTGAGACGCTTAGCATTCTCTTCACGTTGAGCTTTCGTAGTACGCTTGGCCTCCTTCTCGATGGCTTTACCATGTGCGACTTTCATCTTGGGTTCCTCCTCATGCTTGAGCTCATCGTAGCGTGTCACCAGCAAGCGCAGGAACCTGAGGCCTCCATCCTCTTCTTTACGAAGACCGGTGTGCTCCACGATCTTCTCCATTAACTTGGAGATGGGATGCCTAAAGGTGCTGGGGTCGAGCGAAGATACCTCTCCTTCTTCTAACGTGATCTTGTAAGCATACTTGAGGAGAGTATACCAAGACTTCACGTTCAGGTTCCCTGGCACGAAAGCCGTGAGGACCACATCCTTCAGATCACCAACCGACATCTGATCGCGTGGCTTGGCGGGATGAGTTGTAGCAGTATCGTCTAGGGGAGGGGTGGCTTCAGGTCGAAGATTCGTGAGCTTCTGTCGGCGTGGAGGCTTCGGCGGGGGTAAGTCGTCTTCATCAATACTACCACGCTTGCGCTTCGTGGTTTTGGGCTTCGCGTCGGTAGGCCGCATGGCTGGCTTGCGAGTACGCAGTTTCCGTTCAGACGTCTTGGGTGGAGGAAGTGAACGAGCCTCTCCCTCAGACTCATCGAGGCCAGAATCGCTGATCATTCCTTTGTTGTCAAGCATGAGGAGATAATCCACGATCTGCTGCTTGATCCTAACGTTGATCTTTTCGATGTTAACGTCGTCCCGATCACACATGGTGAACAGCTCGGCCTCGGTCAGATCGTCGTACACGGCACGGTCGCAGGGGCGGTCAGGAAGGGCGCGCTTCCTCTTGATGGCGACGCCTTTGCGAGGAGCATTGGGCTGGGCGGTGCCTTTCTTGGGGACAGGAGGGCGGGTGTTGGTATCATCACCGAGCGCGGGGCGAGCTTGCTTGGAGACATGGGACTATGTAATGATTAGCTAAGTCATGACAGGTGCGACGAGCTGCGAGCACGTGTGAGGAGGCTACATAGTAGCAAGGAGAAGGCAGGAGGTAGCAAGCACGAGAAGAGGAGACTTACGGTTGCTGGTGCCACGCCAATCTCAGTCGCGACCGTACTTTCCTTGTCCGAACCGGAAGCAAGAAGGGAAGGCATGCTGTCTGATAGTAGAGCAAGCGAATGTTTGATGGAAGAAGCTCTATTCCTACGTGAAGAAGCAATGGTGTCAAGGATTTGGTGGGGTCGTGACATTCAGTGGGGGATGTCGGTGAGTGGAAGAAGAGAACTCGGGAAGCGCGAGGCGATGACTTAAGTAGGCAGCTGACACGCTGCAGTGGTGAATGTTGGAAGCACTGAAAACATAAGCCCGCCGGGAGTCGCGCCACGTTGTCGAGTTGTCGTGTCGATGCCGACTCGATGGTGAATTCTACCCTTCTACGGCAACGCATCGCGACGGCTCACCTTGTTGCACAATGCTGGCATCGCGCTTCCAGGTGGGCAAAGTCGCTCTTGCTTAAGTCACATGTCACTCGGAGGGCCTTTGCCTTTTGCCTCTCCTTCTTACGTTCAAGCTGCGTGCCAAGGCCCGCTTAGGTAGATATGACACGTGATTCTTCACAACACAGTAGTCGGAATGACGATTACTTTACTAAGACCCACTAGTGTTCGCACAATGCAAAGGTCTTTTTGTTTACAATGTGTTCGAGACACCGGGTCCCCGTGCGAGACGAAGTCATACGAGCCTTCAGGCACACAATACCTTATCGCCAGCTTCTACATTGCTATCTGCGATAGAGGGGCAGGAGAAATTTAATAGCAGACACTTGGTCGCCTTTGACTGGCACATTTGTTGTCTCTTTCGAAATCTCGCGTATATCCCACTTCTTTGTTCGTATACCTATCGCCTGCTTTTAGATATTCGCGAGTAGCATTGGGCTAATATTCGTGATCACTACAGCATTACTCGTCTCTATCATGGCATGCCATGAAATAGTTGTTAAATGCTCCAATGACCGTCCATTATGCAGCAATGCAGGAGACTCACGTGCACTTCCTTCGAGTACATGGTGGAGTAAGCTCAAGTATAGCGGACCTCGGAGCAGTAACTGCATGCCTTGTACTAAAAACCTAATCTTGGTAGATGTCTTCAATATGCAGAATGCCGAAACGCCGTGACAAAGCATCTTCAATGTCTCTACTCTTGTCCCCGTCCATCTCCACACGCAGCGTCATCTTCAGCGGATTCCACTGACACCTCCACTCCCGACTCCATGAATCTGCCTCTTCTTGCAAACTGGCCCACCAGTCGATGCTGAAGGGTCATCCTCACCATACTTGCGTTTACTAGATGGGTTAAGCGAAGACTCGTCCGGTCGCTGATTTGCCTTCGAAGTTGAGTTTGAAGCACGGTTTGGCGAAGTCTGTGGAGGCTTCTCGGGGCTTTTGCCGGATGTTTCAAGCTTCTACGCGTATATTTTAGCGACTTAATCCTCGGATGTACGGCGAGTGAAGCTTACTTCGCCCTCTTCCTTGTCTTCTTCCTCCCACCGCTCTTTCTTCTAGGTCAACTGCTTCTTCAGCTTTTCCGCAGTCAGCTTTGCGTTTTGAAGCTGCTTCCTGCATTTCTCAGCCGGAGTCAAGGAGGGTGCAACATTAGATACAATGATGCTTTCGGCTGCATTTTCCTCGTCTTGGGTCTTCGACGTTTCTGCCCACTCCAGGTCTCGATGCTCTAGATCCTTTATGCGTATCCTTTCTGCTTGGTCTCCTTCCTCTTCTTTTCGCTGCTTCCGGACTTGCTTTTTCTGCATGCGGACTTCTTCTTCTTTTGCGCGCTTCTCCCTCTGTATCTGTATTTGTGTTTCCAGTTGTTCATCCTGCAGCCTGTACGCCAGCAGCGACTCCTTCAAGCGCTTTTCCCTGTCAAGTGTCTCTTTCGTAAGCCTATCTTGGTTGAGCCACTGCCCTACCAGGAAGTCCTGCTTGAATTCACCCCGCTTTGTGGCCCTAGGTCGGTCACTTCGCCCAAGCTGAGAAGGGTACCAGTCTGCTTGTAGGCTGGCGGCGTTGGTGTGCAGAAGGTCTTGGTCCGGGTCGGAGCTGGCCAGCATCGAAGTGGCGATTTCGATCTAAACGAGTGCATTAGCAGGTGGCTCTATACAGCAAAGGGGTCCGAGCTTACCAAGTCACAGGTCTCGTCTTCGTCCTCAGCAGTCAAGGCTATTATTGCCCTGTAGCGGACCTCCACTATTTTCCGTAGAAACCTGTGCTTCAGATCCTGTATTCGCCTTGCACCGCCCGGTGGAGTCTCGCCTTCTACTGGGCGTAGCTCGTAAATAAAGTTCAGGAGACATTCCCAGAACTGAGCACTATGGTGGACGGTGCTCCTTGCCCTCTCCATAAACGCACGCTCAAGGTCATACAAACCCTGCTCCTGCAATGGCTTGGGCTTTTCTTCCCCTGATGTGATCGTGCGAAGAGGCAAAACAATCTTGTTTCTATTGCCTATTTGGTCATGAGATGGAGGCATAGCGGCTGCACTTTGTGCGTGAGGGGGACCAGTTCGAGGTGCCACAGTCTCGCTGTCACCTCGCGAGATTTTGTGCACGCGGTCCTCGGCTTTGTCGTCATCGACGAGGTTCCGCTTCAGCTTCTTGTCTTGATCTTCCAGGATTGACTTCGGCACACGGGGCTGTCCTAGTGGTGCGTTAGGCGCGGTAGCAATGTTCTTGCTAGGGAAGGTCATGCTATGAGCTCCAACATGAGGGCGCATGTTGGTAGAGGTGGGGTTATGAAGTTCAGTAATAGATGCCGGTGAGTGTAAGAATAGTGTCCAAGAACCGAAAAGCCATTTTTGTAAGGGCGCTACTAACTACACACCCCCTAATTCCTCCACGCACACCCTCTTCCCCCCTGTTGCTTCACCACCTTCTAATTGGCTCGGGGCAGCGCAGAGCTTCCTCCGGACAATTATTCTCACGTCTCTCTACACGTGATGCGGCGCGGCTATACGGCCTCTCCGTTTTACAGCGCTCCTTATCTAATTCCTTCAGCCGTATATACAGTATATATAAGACTGTATAAGAGTTGCTGTATGTATAGCCCTACGCGAGGCCGTATATAAGGCCGTGAGCAATGCTGTATATAATGTTGTATTTAATGCTGTATATAATGCCGTATATATAGATAGCTATATGTGCAGTGCTAATTTACCTATGAGGATGGGAATTAGGGGGTGTGTAGTTAGTAGCGCCCTTTATTCGTAATGGTCCGCTTGGCAGGACTTGGGGTTGAATATTCGAACGCTAAATGCAACACTCTATGGCGACGCATTGGAATAATTACTTCAGCAAGTTATTTAGATAATGTTAGGCGAATATTTCTTCTCGTTACGATCTTGTTATTATCGCTTTGTACTATGGTTACTGTAAAATCTAACTTAAACTTCAAGATTGCGGGCTATACGGGAGGTGTGTATAGAGATCTAATGCGAGAATAGAAGTTGCGAATCTATACGTTATATAGTCCACTTATATATAGAGGGACAGCAAGCAGTTTACGGCAAACAATTAGTTTCTCACAGGTCACAAGTTCGACGTTTCTCTAGGATCTTCCTTCACGTATCTGCGATTTGTTTCCGCTCGGGGCTATCGTTTTACAGTGACAGATCATAAATTTGTGCCCGCGCGTTTAGCACTGTTTAAAGTAACGCCATGGAATTTTAAAAACCTAGGCCCGATGGCATGTTTCAAGGAGTGCAAAGTAGACTGCCTCTTGACTAACTGGCTGCTTACTAGCTGGGCTGCTTCTCACAGTGGTGTCGAGTGAGCAAGATTAAAGCCAGGCAGTAATAGACCCGTGTGCTCAGACTTGTGACCTAGTACTGTATCCTGCACGTAAAGAGCGGTTAAATTCGCGAACACGACCGTAATAATGTCCGTGTCTGTTATAATATAACTTTGCGGAGCTAGATAACATAAAGATAATCTTGGAGGACTGGACCCCACTACGTCCTTCACCGGATGCTGTACACTCCTTTACGCTCGGTTCTACGCAGCTGCCTCTTGCGTGATGGTCCATCATTCTGTGCTGGCGGCTCGTCATTGCCGCGCTTACGTTTACTCGAAGGGTTCAGAGAAGCGTCGTCGGGCCGATGGCTCGCCTCTTTTGTACTCTGCTCTTTAACACGTCTCTCTTCGTCCAGGCAAAGTCTCAACTTCTCCGCCTTCAACTTCGCCTGCTCCAGCTGTTGCTTAATTCTCTTACTAGGGCTCAGTGAAGCGGACGCAGTAGCTGCAGCAGCAACGTTAACTACCGCCTGTGGCTCTGACTCTTGTTGGAGCTTCAGCTTTCTAGCACGCTCCAGCTCTTCTTCTCGTTTCAACTCTTCTGCTATTTGCAGATCTTCTGCCCGTTCAAGCTTTTCTACTTGTTTAAGTTCTTCCACTACTCGCTTCTGCTCTTCAGCTCGTTTGAGCTCTTCTGCTCGATCAATCGCTTTTACTCGCTTAAGCTGTTCAGCTTGGTCCAGCTCCCCTCGAAGTTTCTTTGCATGTGTATCACGCCTCTTCTCTTCGAGCTTTCTCTCCTCTTCCCTACTTCTCTTCCGTTCCTTTTTCTCTTTCAAGCGCGTCTCCTCTTCGAGCTTTTTCTGTTGCTCAAGCTCTGCTTGTTCTTGTTGATGCGCCACCAGACGTTCTTGTAACAGTTTCTGCCTGTCTAACGCTTCTTTCGTCGTCTGTCCCTGCCACCTCCAATGCTCAACGAGTATGTCTTTCCTTTCCGTGCTAAATTTATTTGGCGGGGGCAGATCTGTGCTCTCAGGCGCAAGACTCCCGGCCTCGATTCTCTGATATATCATCCTTAATAGCTGCTGAGCACCCATCGCGATCTAAACGTGCGCGTTATATAGCTCGATTCTCTGTGTATCTAAAGGTAATAGACTTACCAGTTTGTCGTCATTGTCTTCACTGTCCCAATGAGTCTTCAGGGACAATCCCATTAACGCCTTGCAGCGGTCTTCTACTATCCTTTGCAAGAACTTGTCCCTTAGATGTATGACACGGCGTATATTCCTAATATCGAGCTCGCCGTCCACTGGGCGTAGCTCGTAAAGGAAATTGAACAAACACTGCCAAAATTGACCATCGTACTTGTCGCTCATCGCCTTCTGTCGGAATGCCAGCACCAAGTCATAGACGCCCATCTCATGGATAAGCTTCGGACTAGCCTCCATCGTGACGACATCTTGAACGTCAATCTTTTCGACATGTTCTGAACCTTGGACGGGGGCTACAGCACCGTGCCTTCGGGCAAGAGGGGGTCCAATACGAGGTGGTACCGTCTCGTCGTAGCGTCGCGATACCTTCTTGACACGGCGCTCGGACTCATCGTCGTCTTTAGACTGTCTCTTCCGCTTTCTGTCGTTGTTCTGGGGCTGATGGGATACTGTAGACGCTGTCTGGGCTTGTTGTCTTAGATGGGCAGGCTTGGTCGGCGTAGGCACCTCATTGTTACTATTGCTATCGCTATCATCATCGTGGAAGTCTCGGTCACTAACCAGGCCGTGCTGGTCGAGAGTGATCAAGAAGTCGATGATTTGCTTCGCGGTGAAGATACACCGTCGTTGATGCCGAACTTCGTCACGTTTGCACAGGATCTCGAGCTTCGGGAGGGAAAGCTTCTCGTACTCTGCCCTGGATATCGGGCGAGATAGGAGCGTGTGCGGGTCGACGTTGTAGTCGGCGTCATTCACTACTGCATGTTAGTCACAACGCTAAGGAATTCAGGAAAGCTTCGCAAACCAGGCTGGTGCTTCTTGATGACCCTTCGCGCAATACCCTTCTTTGGAGCATCCTTGTCCTGGCGACCCCTGGCAGAGGTGTAGGTATTGGTCATGTCTTGGAAGGTATGGCGATCAGTAGATCGAGCGGCGGTCTAGGTAGAGACGCCGTTTCGGGAAGATATCTTCGTAGGTAGATTATGGAGTAAGTCGTGGGAGAAGTGGAAAATATCTTGCAATATAGAATGGCAAAGGCAGAGCAAGGAAAGTGGTGAGTTGACAGCCGTGGTGTATGATGAGCGTCAATGTGTTGGGGAGGAGAGGTTGATGCAGTTTGCGCGCGAGAAATAGTGCGTTCGGGGTGCCGAATTGGTGAATTTAATGAACGCGTTGAGAAACTTCGGTCAGCCTGGCCAGGCGCCGACTCGAAGAATTGAATGAAATGACAGGTCCACCGCTCCGCTTTCACCGCCCTCTGATTGGCTGGATCCCGAGCGAGCTTCCCGCCCGCAACGGCAGGCAGGTATCAGTGAATCGGATGCTAGAAGTGCCCTGTAGTTGTCGTCGCTATTTAAACCCCCATCCAAGCAAGCACCTCCTTCTTCCCACCAGCTTCCTCGAGCAACCACACCACACCAGCACCCACAACCGCAACCTGTCAACCTCTATCTTACCAGCCGTTTTAAAAAATATCTCTATCCTTCACCACACCTCCAAGCAAGACTCCACCCCGAAGACATGGCTATTGTCAGAGGACAGCGTCCTTTTGGGGACTTTGACATCGTCAATAGCCAAGCGCGTATGAAGAAAGTGCCCGTCTATAGGGGCAGCACCGCAAAACCCTCAAAGGCACCCCCTCCCGAGCCCTTCGCTGCATCCATCAGCCCTTCGCGGTTGATCCTCAGCCCTTCACGGTTGGGGAAGCGTTCAATCAACGATACTAAGGATGGACGCATCTCACTTCAGCCTATAGACGTAGACCGGCCGGCCAAGAAGCTGAGATCGATGGCAAGCACATGGACCGCGATAAACCATAAAGCGCCTGCCGAAGATGACGAAGAAGACTCTATGGATAACATCCAGCCGAGCATCGAGGAGACGGAAGAGACTCCAGTGACCCCTCAACGCAAACTGGCCATTCCAAAGAGCCGCAAGCCGGCTCTCGCCAACATCACGCAGTCCTCCCAGACCTCCAATTCAGCAAACCCATCTCAGCCTAGGAACCAATTGAAGTACAAGGAAACTTCAAAGGGCTACAAGCACACGGAGAAACGAAAGAAATGGAAGGTAGCTTTGCCTGGATGGAACGGAGGTCCGAAAGGAGAAAATTCATGGATGGCAAAGAAAGACAGGCCCAAGCTCAAAGCGGAGCTGCAAAAGCGTGGCCTCTCCCATCTATTTCCGGAAGAAGAGCCAGCTAAGAAGCGAATGGTCCGAGCTATCATAGACTGGGACAACCACAAAGCCGCCAACGGCCTCAAGGCGGTGATTCGTTCGCGCGGACGAGGCCTCGCAAACCGGATTGATCCGAGCTGGGGCACAGATAAGGTGCATGAGCTCATTGCTCTGCTCGATCAAGATGACAAACACCTCGATGAGAACAATGTGGCGTACGACTATCAACTAGCAGACTTCAATTAGGAGGCTGCGGAGAAGAGATACAAAGCTATGTCTTACGAGGAGGTCTTTAATATTGTGTCTTAGAAGTGGCGATTGCCCACCGAAGGCCCCGATAATCCCTCGAAAGAAGACCTTGCCTCACGAGCTGCACGGGATAAGTGGGCAGAATTTATCCCAGTAGAGGATCCGTGCCGGGCGTTCTTCCTTCCTGGTTGGCACCATCGTTCTGTAGAATATGCGAGGACAGGACTAGAATGCGGACATTGCAAGTCCCTAAAGGCATTCCTCAAGCGATACAATTTGATGGCCGTCTTTCTAGACAAAGGTACGTTGCGTGCCGAGGGAGTCTGGGAAGAAGATGCAGAGAGGGACCGCGATACCGACAGCGAGGATGGAGACGACGAGGCAGAGGATGAAGGCCAGTCGAAAGACGCTGAAGAGAAGTTCGAGGAGGAGGAGCTGTAGCTGCTAGTAAAGTTTCAGATGGGCCGAACCTTTGCGCGGTTTGTGCAGCTGATCTTGATACATTCGAGAAGTACGAGAAGTCCTGGGAAGCGGAACAGCATCTCTTCTTTGGCTTCTTCTGAAAACTTTGAAGGTGTAAGACGGACTGTACTATAGTATATCTCTTTCTTCTTTTTGCGTCTTATAGTACGATACTAGAATATCTTGGCTTTATGATAGAGCTCAAAGGCGTCAGAACGGCCGTTGCGTTCATCTACGCCCACGTCACTGTTTTATATTGATAATGAAATTATGCGTTTTATAATACCTCGGTGCTTTTATGCCAGTGAAATGAAATTCCTGGAGTGTTCTTTAAATCTTTCAACACGGGTAGAGTTTGTGACTGGACTTCATTAAGAGAGGAAGACGGAAAAAAATTAACATGTCCTATAACTGTGTATAAAAGTATCTCTACACTTTGAGATCGGGTATCATGTGTCTAGTACTGAAACATTTGGAAACAATGAAGAGCATAGATAGGGCCAGATAGGGCTCTCTAAGTGGTCGATGCTTCCTTGGTCTCGCTTAGATATTAATAGCTAACCGGTGGTGGGTCTGTGATGACATGATCTCCAGCCTTCTTACAACGTTCACTCTCTCTTGGCCCAAAGACATTCTCTCTCCCTAAGCCTAATTTTCGACGGATGCTCGAAGTTCAAGTCTTTATATGGAAGACTTATATACTACACGATCAGACAAGCACCATTCCCGGAGCGCCCTTCGTCTCATGTTTGTCTAGGCACGCGCATGACCACAACTCCAATACGCCATGGGAAAATCCGAACGTTACTACGCCGCAATTGCGAAGTGGAATTAAAGTAAGAAGCGCAGTCTCCCTCAGGGAAAAGACTTCATTCTACGCCTTCCTGACGAACTACTCGAAGAAATCCTCATCTTAAGCACCCCGAGATGACCCAGCCACTTCTTCTTCCCTCGATACAAAGCATGGCTGAACTTGTTACTTGTTTGCAAGCGGATTAGTAGAATGGTACACCTGTTGCTATACGAGGTCATTTGCTTCGGGTACAACGAGTTTTATCTCATCCCGCGGAGCAAAGCCATGCAATGTTTCTACCGCTCTTTACGGGGCAATCCAGACGTTGCACTACTCTGCAAGCACGTGGAGATCCATGTTCCCGATACCCCAGACTTACGAGACCTCCGTGATTGTATCAATTTTCTCGAACTTACGAACCCAAGAAACGCCGTCCTCATTGCCGACACGATACCGAAGCCCCATTTTTGGGTGGGACCTGCGGCTACAGCGATGTGGCGCCAAATATTGAATATGTCTACAGTGACCGAGCTTGTGCTGCAAACGCTCAGTCTTAGTGGCTTGTTTTCTGCAGACCTCCCGCAGCTTCGTACATTAAGAATGTTCGGACGATCGAATACCCCTCGAGGGAGTATATCACTAAGTGCGGAGGATCGCGAAGAAATTCGAAAGAAGCGCGGCACCTCTCCGATCGCCACACTAGAGCTAGTACCAGGGACGCACGACGCAGAGTTTGTCGTCTACGCCGACCTTCTCGCCTGGCCCACAGCTCTCGAGCATTTCGAGTGCCAGCTTCGTGTGGCTCCCCGTACGTCAGCTGACGGGCCTGGTAATATTTATCTGCCTCCTTTGCTACAGGACACACGTGGAGGCTCACTGGCTGGATGGAAGGGCACGACTTGGAATAGCAGGGAGGTGGAGACTTGGGAGTGGTGTTGACGCGCAAGTACCTATCAAATGAAGATTCACGTAAGCTTGAAATACGGTCATGTTCTGAAAGCTCGTTTCGCTTCGCTATCTAGGGTGCGAATGCATGTCAGGAAGCTTAGACATGGATCGGTCATGTGACTAGAGCAAATTCAACAGCAATATTCCTCGTTAAAGAGGGGCAGATATGGATCAAGCCGTAGCTATAAGAGATGAGATACAAACTCTTCATATCTGATATATCATATCTTTCAGTAGCACGTGATTGACTCTGGCTCATTAGCCTCGCTTAGCTGCCAGGGGGCGGCAGCATGCAGCCTTGTCGCCACCTCGAGGTCCGTACCTAGGCACCCCCCCATTCATCAACCTCCTCACGTACCCACTGTTCCACATCCACCCCTCCGTGTACACAACACCAGTGACCAACTCGCCTCACAGAACAATCTTCGATAGGACCTTCCAAGGCGACTTTCGCACAGTCTTCGGCCCAATAGCAGCGACGTCGCGCTTCTCGCGTCTCACATCCCTTTGAAAAAGTCAATGCGAACCCAGAAGACTCTACAGACCATGGAACATCAGCTCTAGTACTTCAGTATATGTTACGCTGATCATAAGCTGGACAGCCAAATGGGTCAAACCCGATCACCGAGCCGAACCGAGGGCAAAGACTTCATACTCCAGCTTCCAAACGAGCTTCTTGTTGAAATTTTCATCCTGAGCATCCTGGGAGCAGCCAATTACTGGGGTTTCTTTTCGGAAACCTGCTATCCGGCTTGGCAGAAGTTGTCGGGGGTCTGTACGCGTTTCAGCGCGATCGCGAAAGACTTGCTCTACAAGAACGTGTCATTATACCCAGCATATGATCCTTACATGATACCACCCTGCCGAGATGTAAACCTTCTTCGACAACGCTTATGCGAGAATCCTGAGCTCGCTTTGCTTTGCAGAACCCTCGAGATTTATGTTATTGACGATGGCGATGAAGCCTGCGTCCCTCCCCATACAGATGCCGGCCTTCTTATGAGCTTCAAGAATGCGCGGAGAGCCATCCTGCACGGCACTCCTGAATTCTCGGCAAGAGGTATAGATATGCTGCCTGAGACGTTGCATGCGTTCCCGGCACTCACCGAGCTAGTGCTGCTTGGCATCAATATCAATGACTTACTCATCCTGGATCTTCCGCACCTTCGCACTTTGAGAGTCCCCGGACCTATACGTAGGTTTAAGCGCATCAAATCCGGGCTTCCTGGCGCTTCTTACAGTCGGGGCTCCTCTTCAATTACTACGCTTGAGTTGCCCTTGCAGAAAGACAAGTTCGACAGTATCGCCGAACTTGCGAGGTGGCCCAAAGCTCTTGAGCATCTCGACTTTTACAACCGCGACGATCTGCAGCGTCGTAACATGGATTGGTCTCAGCGGGATATGGATCGACTGCAAACCATATTAGACACCCAACGCTTATCGCTGAAAAGCCTCCGTATCGGAATAAACAAAGGAAGCTGCGTCTACGGCATCCAGGACACGACGGGCATTAGTTTCAATTTGGATTTTAGCAAATTTCCGGCCCTCGAAAAGATCCGCTTTGCCCCATGGTCGTCGAGCACACCTAGCAATCTCTCTTTACCTCCATTACTACATAACTCACCTGGACACTCACCAGAGATTGCATGGATGCGCACGAAGTGGGAGAAAGAGGTTGAGAGTCGGGAGTGGACTCGACCCTGATGCGGACGATAGACTTAAAAGCATGCAATGCGACTTGTGTGCGATGAAATTGGAGATTAGTTGATTGCGGTTATACAAGAATTGCGCGCGGGCCCACGATCACGAGTTCCATAACGGAACGTGTTTGATGATGCAAATAGTCACTTACTATGAAGTGTTGCACGGCGATAAGCTAGTAATACTCAAATGACAGAGACGCTCACAGCCTCGACTTCCCACCCCTCGCCAAACGTTGATGACTCTGCGAAAACGTATCATCCGCAAAAGCGCTTGCTGTACTCAAATCCAAGGCCAGACAAAACGCCGCAACCGTCTCCGCCAACGCGAACTTCTTCCCAGGCCCGAAACACCCAATGATCTCGAGCGTCTCTTTCTGACTCTCATACCCCGTCCCGCCTCCCATAGTTCCAACCACCATACACGGGAAATACATACTAACCGTCAAATCCTGCGTCTCAGGGTCAATCTCATGGCTCAAATGCGAGAACCCACCCTCCAACACACTCGCCACATCCTGCCCACACGCAATAAACATTGCCGCCATAACATTCGCCGTATTGATCGAATTGCCCATCCCCCCATTCCTTATCATTCCATCACGCGCAATATCCATCGTCCTATGCAACGCAGCAGTACTACATTTCAGCACCTTCTTACATACCTCATTCGTCAGCGTCGCCCACGCCATAACCTTCACACCCCTCCCCAACTCATGCACATTCCCCCACGCCATCTTCTTATCCGGCGCAAAGTGGCCCTCGAGCTGGTACCCGATAACCTTCGCCTCCTTCGCGCCCTCGCTCTTCAAGAACGCCTTGCAAGCAGTATGTGTCGCGATCGTCGTCATGTTCTGCCCGCACGCATCGCCCGTCGTGTAGATCATCTTCACATGTACCGCTTTCCCGATGATATGCGGCACGATCTTCACCAGCTTGCAGAACCGAGAGGTCTTCTCCGCCGTCTCTCTGAACTGCCCTTCGAGCTCTGGAACACGTTCATAGAACGCGACCGCGTCGTCCACGGTCCCAAAGAAGAACACAGGTGCACGCGACATGCCTTCAGCTAGCGCAGCGGCTTTGACGCCGCCACAGAGTTGCAGAGCTTTGCAGCCACGAGAGCAGCTGGCGACGAGGGTGGCTTCGAGGGTTGCCAGGGGCGCGCTGACGGGGGCGCGCTGGTGGCGGCCGGTGATGGTGAGGGGGCCGGCGAGGCCGAGGGGGACTTTTGTGAAGCCGATTTGGTTTTCAATTGCGATGGACGGCGTTGGATTTGTTTTGGTGGGTAGAGGGGTAGGCATGATTTTGCTGGGTGGTGGTGTCGGTGCTGTTCCCCTCCAGCCCAGGATTTCTAGTCGGTCTTGAGTCTTCGGGCTCATGAGGAAGTTGCTTATTGCTGAGGGGGTGTCGGTGTGATGGTGTTCGAGATAGAGGTGGAGGAGATCTAAGAGCATGGGAGCTGGAAAAAACTAAGATGGAGGATATGAGAACGAGAGGGGGTATGAGGTAAGTCGGTCCCTTCGCGATATCTCAGCTTCGGCGTCGCTGGCCCACTAATCCGCATTAGTGATTTAGAAAGAGTAGATCCACAACTCCACACCGCCATACAGAATCGCTATTAGACCTCTGAGATCTGATGGCACAGCGCCTCAAACACATTGATGTCGACGGCGTGTGTAACCCAGCGAATCCCCTCAGATGCGCATCTCTTTGCAGCTTCAACCGAGCTCACTTATTGTGGACTGCCTCTGCCAGCTCATCAATCACAGAAGATCTTGGAACAACCAGTTGTCGCACAGGCCTTGATTGGAGGGGTTCCGCGAGGACATCGCGAGCTTAGCGATAGTGGTGGGTCTAGCGTGGAAAGGTATTGCCGATTGGAGATCGATTTGTCGGAGATCTGGCGGGAGCAGACCGCCGTGCACCAACCAGATCGCATCGGGGCGTGTGGATACGGACCATTGCATTGCTGAGCCTAACTCGGCCCTTCTTTGTGTTCAATTTTCAAATGCGTACGTCCGCTAATCCAGATCAGACGACGGGGAAAAGCGGTTGTCAATATTCCTCTTGCCATGCATTCTGATATGATATTCTCTTCTGCCTACGACGAGTACGAGGAAGCTCTGAAAAAAAAACATGGCCTCGACAAGGTCGCCATTTGCTCATTCAAAGTCCGCGTCGACACGCCCGACGAGTACCGAACCGGCGTCGTCTACCCAGGCGAGATTACCGGCATTACTGATGCGTCGTCCCGCGCCATCATCGACACGAAACCTGCGCGAGCTGCTCGTGCTGCTGAACATCAGGCCGGCAACAACTCTCTCCCAGCTGCTTCTTCCCGCGCAACCGCTCTGGACAGCACGACTCGACCAGTGGTCACGCCTTCGAGGCCTATCAACAAACCCAACCAGCCCAAGGAGCGACCAGTAGTACCAGCAGACCAGTCAATTCATGTCAAACCCATGCAGCTACGCCCCGAATGGCACGCCCCTGTTATCAGCCTCCACCCCGTGGCCCGCTTCGCGCAGCGGCGAGATGAGGGCAAGGGTAAAGCCAAGGAAGTCGAGGAAGACGATGCTCCCATGGCTGCGCCGCTCGAAAGTCGAGCCGGAGACGCCTCCGAGCCGACAACTCCTCCAGCTGAGGAATACGCCGCCTCCGAGCAGGAGACCACGCCCAAGGACAATGACCCATCTGAAGAGGTCACACATACTGAAGTCGACGCCGCACGCCGTCCTCTGTTCGGTCTGTATTCAGTCGGCAAAATCCCCTACTAGAAGGAAGTTATTCCTAATAACAACAAGTTCCTCCCGGAACCCCTAAAGCAGCTAGAAAAGCTATAAAAGCTAGGTAAGCAGAAGGGCAGGCCTTAAGCCGCCTTTAAAACCCTTTAGATCGACTATAAACCCCTATATAAAGCTATAATAGTTTATTTAAAGATATTTAGGAACTCTAAAAACCTTATAAATTTTATACTTTACTTTAAATTCTATTTTATTACTACTAAAAACGGATTTTAGCGCTAGGAATATAAGCGGCTAGATATCCGCTTTAGGGCTTAAAATATCGGCTAAGTAGATAATACTAAGCAAACGATACCGGCTTAATAAACAGCGTAGGTTATAAAAATATATTAGCTGTAAAGCATATTTTAATACTTATAAAGCTTTTTCCGTATTTTTTAAAAAATTATTTTACTAAGTTAATAGCCGAATTAACGGACGATAATATACTATACTTTATCTAGCTAAGCTAGAATTTACTAATACTATAGGCTAGCGGCGTTTAAAGTACTAATAATATTTATAATATTAAAGGTTATATTTATAAGCTTTTTTATAAAGTTTTATATTAGCTAAACTAGTTTTTTATTTTAGTTTAAAGTAAAAATCTAACTATAGAAATATATTATAACCCGTAATATAAACTACCTAAGTATAGAAGTATTTATAGAAATAAATAAATAAATTAGACTAATTATATAAAACTAGGTTATAGAACTAAAAAAAACACGTATTAAATAAATAGGTATCCTATTTTCTACTATAGGCTATTAGTAGATAGGAATAATTTAGAAAAATATTATAGGAATAAAAGTTTATATAATAGCTTAAAAAGCTTAAAGCTATAATATAATCTATAAGTTAGTAGCCCGTATAAGCTAGTAGCCCACCTAACTTAACACGCAACGCGTTGTTTAATAACCACCCTAATAGCAGCACTATAATAATAAAAAGCTATTTTTTAAAAAGGTAAAGTTATTTTAGGCGTTTAAGCCTATAAAACCAGCTAAATTATATTTTTCTAAGGCGTTAAAAAACTATATAATATACCTAGAAAAACGGTTATGCGTCGCGCCTATAGTATTCCTCTATAACACGGTGCTATTTCTAAAAATCGCCGTTTTACACCTATATAAAAAAAGGTTTTTATATAGAGGATTTTGTTAATAAACTAGTATAGTATACCGCCCTGTATTACTACTATACAGCAGATAGCTAGTATTCTAGCTAGCTAACGCGTTATATAGAATACCCCTTTTACTATCGGCTAGAACTAGGTGCGAAATTTTATTAGCCGCTATAATAACCTAAAATCTAAATTTAATCGTAAATACGACTATTAGCGTGCTAAATACGAAAATCCTGTGCTTATTCGGGCCTAGTTTAAACGCGTGTAAGATATTAAGATATAATATAGAATTTTTAATAAAAACACCTAGAATTTTAATAAGACCGGCTGCTAAATAGGTGTTATTATAACTGCCCGGGTTATTACTAAAATAGACTGTGCCGGCCGGCCTAGAACTATATAGCCGGGCAATTAAGAATAGGTTATAATTATCGAATATATTAATATAATAGGGGTTGAAATTCCACCTCTAGTTATTTTTAAAGTAATAATATACTAAGCCGCTTAGTATAAGGTTATTCTAAAGGAATAGTTAATCGGTGTTAGTAAAAATAGCTAGACAATAAATAAAATTGGCCTTACCTAGCTAAAACTATTCTATAAGTATATAAAAAATCGCATAGTTAGCACGCATCGGATACTTATATTAGACGGCTATAATAGCTATATAAACCCCGAATTCGACTAATTCTGCCTAGATTATAATATTATTATTGTCTATATACCTGCATATTTATCGCATTTACTGCAGCCCCTAGATATTAGCTATTTCTCCGTGCTAAAGCGGTTCTATAAACGCCTAGTTAAATAGATTATAGGCTATAGTATTAACTATATTAATAAACACGAATTCCTACCTATATATAGGCAGGCTAGGCAGAAGGCACTATATACAGGCAATATACGGGCGGGATTTACAGCTACTAGCCTAGTTCTATATAACCCCGATTATATACTATTATTACTGCATGCCGGATATTACACGCCGCTACCCCCCTTTCTATAGCTATAATTAAATAAATCCTAAACAGCCGAAACACCTTATAATATCGCTGAGCTATAAAAGCAGACAGCTCTGCTAAAGCGCTATTACTAGCGGCGTATATATAGCCTATAAAGTCTAGCAGAACAGGCCCTTAGCTAAATTATTAAGGCGTGCGAAATAGTAATATTAAACGCCGTGCTGCTTATAAGCGAAAATAAAAAGCTGCGTATAGAAAATTAGCGCTAGAAATAAAAGAAGGTAAGGAAGCGCATATATATAGCTAGAAAGGGTATTCTATTAGGTAAAAAAGCAGCCGATCGTGTATAACCTGTATAGGAAGGGGCAGCAGAGAAGGCAGTAAAGCTACCGGCTAAGCGGCCATAGCAAGCAAAACCTAGGTATAGTATATGCGAATTAATAGAATATAATATATATATATACCCTAGGCAGCAGGCAGCTAGCTAGTATATAGCTGTATTAAATATATTTGTTTATAGTAGAGTAATTCGGAATATTTAGCCTTAGTAGCGTGGTTAGGTAGGCTACTAGCTTATGCGGGCCACTAACTTATAGATTATATTAAGCTAAAAAAGCGGCTTAAAAGGCTTAAGGCTGCGAGCTATATAAGTAAAAAGTTTTTTAAAATAGTACTTATAATACTATATTAATTACAGGTAGAATAATTAGGTATTACTACTACTAATAGCCTAGTTCGCCTATAATAGTATATTTATAGAAATAATAAAAGTATTACCCTTTTTTATAAACTATAGTTTTAATCTAAAGGCGTATTAAAAACCCTAACTTAATAGTATAAAGGCCTAGAGGGCACTATTATTAGTTAAAAATATTAAGAAGCTATAGAGGCAGCTTTTAATAGATATCTAATTCCTAATACTAAGGTTAGTAAGATATTATAATTAATACTAGAGTATTATACTAACCTTTAAAAGGGGGGATAGAGTCTACCTACTCTATAAAAATATTAAAATAAAATAACTAAGTATAAAGTTAGACTATATAAAAATTAGACTATTTAAAATATAGAATATTATTAGCCTAGTAAACTATAAGCTTAGGCTACCTAATAGAATAAAAATACACCCAGTTTTCTATATATTACTACTAGAACCTATACTACCTAATACTAAGCTAGAAAATAATATTAAGGTTAATAATAATAATAAATATAAGGTTAAGTAAATCCTAGATTCCTAATAGTATAGTTAGTAAAAAAAGTACCTAATTAAATAGAAAAAATACAGCACCTTTAAAAATATATAAAAACCGGTTAAAAGTTTAGCAAACTATTAAAAACTCCTATAGTAGTTTTACTGCTAGAATCTAGAATAGCCTAAAAAGATAGTAATAGTATACTATTTAACTAGGAAAAATTAAAAAAATCCGGAGGTAGAGTGCTACTGCTTTATAATTAAAATATATAGTAATAGAAGGAACGGCTAGTAGTGCCTAGTATACCCTAGAAAAAAAAAAATACCTAATAGTTTCTAAGGTAGAAGGTAAGCCTTCCTGCTTAATATGCTTTTATTTTTTCTACTTAGCCTCTTTCCGATTATTTTCCTTAAGCTTTTCTAAAGTTTTAAACCTATAACGTATTATCTTTTTACTATACTTATACAGCAACTTTTTTTAAAAATCTAGATAATCTAGCTTTACTATAGCCGCCTTTAAAGTTATATAAGTTTCTAACTTTTTATAATAAAGTTTATCCTTTTTATAGGCTAGTTTCCGCTCTAGAAAAGTTAGCTAGAATATAATTATAAGTAATAGTAGACTATAACAGCTTATAGGTAGCTGCTAAAATGCCAGTAATATTATAGTTTAATTATTGCGCCCGAATACAGGCTATATAATAATCTAAGTTAAATATAGAAACTATATATAATAAACCCTAAAACTTATACTAAGAATAAGGTATAACTTTTAAACTAAACGCATTAATATAATTAGTAAGTATAAAATAGCTTTCTTATTTCTTAGCTTTTAAAGCGTTAGATATTATAAAAAAAGAAATAGAGTAGTATAATACTAGCCTAGTAGATAGGGCATTGCTAGCTACTTATTTAAAACCCCACCACGGAAATATAAACCACCTAAGCGCAGAGGCACTTATAGAAATAAATAAATAAATCGGACTAATTATATAGAACTAGGTTATAGAACTAAAAGGAATATATATTAAATAAATAGGTATTCTGCCTTCTACTATAGGCTATTAGTAGATAGAAATAATCTAAAAAAATATTATAGGAATAAGGGTTTATATAATAGCTTAAGAAGTTTAAAAGTATAAGTATAGTAAGCGCTTAAGGAACTTAAGGCTATAAGCTAAAGAAGTAGCTTAAAAGGCTTAAGGCTGCAAGCTATATAAGTAAAAGGTTTTTTAGAACAAAGCTTTTATATATAAAAACGCTTCTTTATATAAATAGAAACCTTATATTTAACTTAAAACTTTAATACTACCTATTAGAAATAATAACCCCGTTTTATATTTTAATTAATTATTGCCTTACCTTTTAAAAACTATTACACCCTAATAATAACTTAACCTATACCCTGCCTTAGTATATAATACTTAGAAGGTATAGAAAAAATAACCTATTATAAAATAGTTAAAATACTTAATATTCTATTCTAATACCGCAAATTTAACCCTTACTAAAAGTTCTAGAAAAAGCTAAGTAACTATAATAGTTATTTTCCCGGCCTTAGTAATTTAGTAGTATAAAATCTATAACTATCTATTATAGTACTAGTATAAATAAGTTTTCCTATATTTTATAAGTTTAAAACTGTAATAGCAGTATATATAGTTAATTTATATAAGGTAAACTAAGCTATAATAAATTTTTAGTGCGCGACTGCTTTTATAATACTAATTCCCTTTATTAAAAACTTTTTAAAAATCCTTATTATTATTAATTATTATTATTAAGGCTCCGGATAAAAGTAAGTATAAATTAGAGCTAATATATA